TTGTTTCTCTGCATTTCCTTTATTTTATTTTGTTGTTTTTATTTTATTTTGTGGTTTTTAAAATGACAGAGAAACAGAAAAATGTTAACCCCCCCCCCAAAAAAATATATACATTGTCAAAGAAAAAAACACATAAAATGTCTTAAGGGGGAAAATACAACAAAAATAACTAACATAAAATTTAGCTATATAGGTATAATTATCTAATGCAATTATTCAAGTACATGTATTTTTCTAATACATTTATATAACTATCTCAGTTTTGTGTTGGATGTTCATAAGCATTATATTGGATAGTGTTGGATTTTCATAGGCATTATGAAATAGGCTCTTCTAAAGAAAATACTTTTAAAAGTAGACCAACTTTCTCCTCATTCCCAGTCTTTATATACAACAATATGTTTTAATTTAGAGGTTAACAGGCAATACACTATAGTAGTTGGTTTACATAGCATGCAAAACCACAAGCCCAACTGACAAAACTGAACTGCTGTTTTTATGATTGCAGTCTCCAGTTAAACCATAATGTGGTTTAATGGGATTGGTCCAGTTTGCACAACATTCCAAAACAAAGTCGGGGTTCCCACCCCAAACCACAAACAGCCCAGCTCATTTTAATCTGAATGTTAAATTGAATGTTAATTCCTGTACAAGATTGCATAAGTAATAAGGCCCAAATGTGCAGACTTGTAAAACTTCAATCACAACTAAGGACACTGTGCCTACATATGTTTGATCATGGAGTCCTTTCTGGAAAATGAAAGAAGTATGGGAATGAATGGGAAAAACAGAAAGTTTAAAAAAAAACAATTCTCCATATTTACCTATATTAAATTGGTTTTCTTACAGTTTAGTTTCTTTTCTACTTAAATAGTTTTCTACTTGAATAGTTCAGCAAATGGTGGCTTCCATGCTGACCCCAAGAGACAGAAAATGTAAATCAGACAGAATAATAGTGATGAAGTGATCCATAAAATTTAAAAGAACTGTAAAAGTATATTTAATTTAAAAACAGCAACATTACATTGGGTTTCCTTTTGGTTATCATTGACAAGATAATCATTTGCTTGAGATATTCTTGGAAAAGATTCTTAATTCTGAGATTTTTATCAATGGTCTTAAGCTTTCACTGAAATGGCCATGCCTTAGTAAGATATTCATATATCCATCCAAAGCAAATTTATATATATTTATATATATCCATCTTGGCAAATTTAAGACTTGTGGACATCAACTCCCAGAATTCCTGAGCTAACATGACTGGAGGAGGAATTCTGGGAATTGAAGTCCACACGTCTTAAAGCTGTCAAGTTTGAAGACCCCTGATCCAAAGCATCGGAACTAGTTCTTTGAATTGGGGATGAATGTGGGATCTTCTACTTGCAAATCATGAAATGTGTTGCCAGTATTTCTTCATTTTTTGCTCTCTGGACACTTTCTAAAAATACTAAATAGGGCACATTTTAAAAATATTTTTGCAAGTATCTTCAAGATTTGGGAAATAACTTTGATTTCACAGACCTGAACATGTCTTGTGGGACCTCCAAGGACCACACTTTTAGAAACAGTGATATACACTTCATGAGATCCCCCCTCCCCCCATGAAAAAGATGAACATAGAATGTAATGCTTATTAGAAAAGAGAATGACATGAATGGGCTACATCTCTATTGTAATAAGTTTGCATCTTGTTTCTTTCAAAGTAACAGATTATCAAGAATCTGCCACCAGATTTTGCCCCAAAAGAGAGAAAGGCTGTAGCCAAATCATTTCAAGTAGGTAACAGACCTGAAATACGTCTACTGAGATTAAGACAAACTCATCACTTGTGATGTACAATAGAAATAAGCTTCAGATAATATATTTATAAATATATAAATGCTTAAACATTTAGTAAGACCTATACATGTACCTAATGTGCCTTTGGGAAGAAGAAATGTGATTAAAGCACAGGAAAGAAATAGTATCCAGATATATCCAATTTATAAACAGTTTCTTGCACAACTTGGGACAGCCAAGAGCAATAGAGGCATAATAGTTTGTCTCACACAAATTCATTCCCTCCAGATGTGTTGGAAAGCCCATTCTTATCCTCCACTCCAGTCTCGCACATCTATTAGGAATTATTGTAATCCCGCACATCTGGAGGGCCTGTGCTGGAAAGGGCGGTAATTTAGCATCAGAATCTAAACCTTAAGGACAGCGTCCTCCTCTTTTCCTACAGTACAGGTTATTATAATCATATGCTTGGAGAACTTGCACCCGTAGAACGGAGATTACAATTCTCGCTGCGGATGCCTCGAAAAATTGTCGAGGGTGAGATCAACAGTGCTCGGATTCCTAGAAGAGCCCGGAAATCGAAAGAAAGATGACTGTCTTCCTGTCCTTGCCTTTTTACTTTCCCCCGCTCTCGATTTCGCTAAAAGACTCAGCTGCCTTACAATGGTGGTGGGTGGGGAAGGGGTGTGATTTCATAGGTTGGTTTGTTCACGTCCGAATGAATCGGAGGAAGGCAAAGGCTTCTGGAGCGGCAGCCCTCCACAGCTTCGCTCTGCTTCGGAGCCAGGATTGGCTCAGCTCCTTCATGCAAGTCCCAGTCTTGGCTGCGGTTCAGAAAAGGACACACAGGAAGAAAACAAATATATAAACACCCTTTGTCTAAAATGATAGTGGGTTTCCCAGCTTGAGCAGGGAGTTAGACTAGAAGACCGCCAAGGTCCCTTTCAACTCGGTTATTCTGTTAAAAAAAAACTACACTCCCTCCCTACAAATCATCTCAAGGGGCTTTTATACTGCAAACTCAAATTTAACGCTCCCCGCCAATGCACTGCAATCTTGCAGTACAGTATTATACAAATGTATGCAGTAGCTCTGGTCAATTCGAATAAGTAGCAGAGCACTTCACTGTCTGCTGTCCAAATAGAAGCCACCAGAAAACAAGCTCCGGATTTACTGTATGCAGAAAAGAGTCATCCTGTAGGGAGATGAGTGGCATAAAAATTTAATAAAAAGTATAAATAATAAGCAAATGAGGGGCCCATGTCACAAGATGGCTGTAGCCATATTGAGCTGTTTTGAACTATCGTGCTGTGCTGAACCCCTTGTTTAATCTGTCCATTATGGTGGAATGCAAGCCCCTATTCAGAAGCTCTGCTCAGGAGTGCACCATCAGCTTTCTTCAACTTGGTGGCTTCCACATGAGTTGGTACTAGAACATCCAGAATTCCCTGCCAGCATAGCCATGGCGGAACTTTTTAAAGACCCCTTAGAGCCCCAGGACATAATTTTCATCTGAGTGACCTCCCCTTTGTTCTGATTTGTACCCTCTTGTCAACATAAACATCCTTTGGTTTTTGTGTATTAAAACCAATGGCCCAGTAAATAGGAATGTGGGGGTAGATATCAAAATACTGAAAAAAAAGTTCGGGATTATATTTGATATTCTCATTTGAAGAATTTGGTTGTCCAGTAAATTTCATGTCTGGACAGAGATTTAAAGCCATTCATTTATGTTCTTTTTGAGATGATGAACTTGCCAATAGTGTTTAGGTATTAATGCTGATTTAGGAATGACTGGTTATTTGTATCTCTATCCCTGTGCCGTTGTGGTAATAGATATTTTGAACAGAGAGTTCACATATCTACCCAAAAACATGGCTATTTTTGTATGGTGCCTGCTTTTTGTGCTAATTAAGAACTGGATTTTGCTGGCAGCTGCAAGAAAACAGATGGGAATAAAAATACAAGAGCCAACAGAGCTCATCACAAATTAGATATTGGAAAAGGTTACAAGGGACCACCCTGTTGTCCCAACTGAGATAACTCAAGAGAGTTAGGCAGAGACTAGAAGTGACCACTGCACAAAAGATTCAACAGACCCCCTGGTGTCACTGTCCAAAAGAGATTAGGCAAAGAGTTTGTGAACAATTACAGCACTGCAGCCAAGATTTTATAAAACTGTGAAGTCTTGAAAGACTTCCACTGCTTCCCTTCACTCTGGGAAAGAGTAGAAACAGTACTTTAGTCAGCATTCCTCACACAAAAGCTTCCCTCCCTATGAATAAAGTGTCTCCTCCTTCACTTTGACATGAATAGCCAGGGAAGGGGAAGAAGAGTGGCAATGGACAATGGTAATTCCTTAGGACCAATTCTGCAATCCCTTCTGAGTAGATATGCATAGGACTGTGCTGTAACAAGCTACTCCAAGAATTTGTGACATCCAAACTTAAAGTCAGCTTCTGATACTTTAAAAATCTCTGGTTAAGCCAGTGTGGAAGTTGCTCTTGAGCAGCATTTATGGGTAGGTTTTAGATGCACATATGTGGAACCACTTCACAAATGCTTAGAGAGCAGAACATGGCAGAAATAACAAAAACCTCTGCAAAGCAGTTCCTATAAATCTTAAGCTTGCAATACTCAGTTTAAATAAAAATTATTCTCTAAAATGAAAATGGATTCTCCCATACACACATACAAATCATAAGCAGGATGCGTGTTGCCTTTTGCTTCCCTGCCCCTTCCCTAACCCAAGAACAGAAGCAGGCTTCATTTTCATAATAAAAGACACATTTAGAACAGTTTAACCTTTTCCCATCAAGCCTGCCCTATCCAACCAGACTGCCTTGGGAGCTGCAGTAATTATAATCTTCAACTGGCATTTATTGTACTTTCTTTTCATCTCTTCAATGGGAAACATTTATTTACAGCTGCCCAGATATGGTAGCCCTAACCTGAATATCTGAAAGATTAATGGCTCAAGAAATGGCATCAAGTAATTAAGACTCTCTTGATAATCCAGATTTTTCCTTACAAGGAAACTGCTCAAGTTTGGGAGCATTGCCTGATAGAAAGGGAGACAAAAAAGAAGAATGAAGATTCTTATTTTTCCTGACTGATAAATTGAGGGACCTAGTGTTTTATGTTATCCATTAATCCATTTTATTTGTTAACACTTATAAAACAAATAACATAAATTCATAGTACATAAAGTAGAGAAGAAAACAGTAAGTGGAGATAAACAGATAATAAACAGTTTATTTGCTATATATTAAGAATAACAAATAGGTCATTATAGTAGGTTAATGCCCAGATTTGATATAATTGCATAAACTATCCATTAATCTGGAAATCATTTGCAAAGAATATTAAAGCACAAAAGGAAAAAAATGGAAATTACTGGAAGCTGCTTTACTACACAGGAACCCTTCCAAATATTTATTCTGCAGGAAAATTGGGAGGGATATTATTTTGCCCAAGACTCTTATTAATGATGAGCATCTTTATGTAACCCATTGCAAGTCTTAAAATTATGAAGTCTCTCTACTGATTTTCCCTACTACAGCATGCAAAACTTTCAAAAGCCTTTACAATTTCTAATTTATTTTGGAACGGTGGAAATTCCAGACAGTCTGTTGTTTCACTGTGTAATGATGAATTAAGCTTTTCTCTCACTCAAGTGAAGACGGGAGACCTTGAAAGTTGACAAGAAGAGTCACCAAAAACAAATTCTAAATCTTGTTACCCCAGAGGAGAGATAACCTGAGAATCCTTACAACGGGGAAATCATTTGCCTCCTTTCTTTAACCCGGTTCTACCGCGTTTTTCTAATGGTTGGATTCATACGCTGCGCTAAAAAAAAAAGTGAACTTGTTTCGTGTGCGTATGTGAAGCCCGTCTTTGCTTAACGAAGCACGATTTTAAAATGCACGCGAACCTTGTCTTCTATTCGCACACACGTCCACTAAAAGAAACCTGCTGACGTGTGAAGCGGCAATCTGTTTGTGACAAGTCCAGGACGTTCGTACAGCTCCTTAAAAACCAATTTATTATTATTATTATTTCTCCACGGCTGACTGGAGACGCAGTTCAGCTGCGGAAGCGTAGATGGTTGCAGTCCGGCTTAGAAACCGTAACGGCACAGGAAGGGGTTGGCTCAAGACCGCGGAGCCGTGCGTGGCCAGCAACGGCGGACGAATCCGGAGGAATAGATCCGGGGTGGGGAAAAGAAAGAAAGAACAAAAGGAGAGAGGCGGCCCGCTCTTCCACTCGTGTGTTCGCTTATGTATCTTCTCGTTTAGTCCCCTAAGTTACTTTAAACGTCGAAAGTGCGTCGCGAAGTACTTGCAGAAATCGCGAGCCTTGAGATTTAGGTCCACCCAGCCCCGGATGGTCTGAGCTGGCTCACCGGGAGCCCGACCGGAGTGAAGACGGCCGCAGCTCGGGGTCATTTCTCTTTCCCGGGGCACTACAGCCGTTAACTCTTGCGCACCCACAGGTAACGATTTGGAAACGATGTGGGGGCAAATTCAATACATACGACTTTGCGGTTTTATTGTGTTAGACACGGAGAGGAAGGGATGGGGGTGCATTGCTCGTGACGAAGGCTGCGTCGACCCACCAGGCGGCTTAGGCTCGTTTTCGTCCTCATTTGCAGTCCTGGCACACTTACTGGGGGAAATTTCCCGTTGATTTCAGGGAACAAAGACAACGAAGTGGCAGATAGGTTACCTTGAATGTCAGGGCTCAACCCCTGAATATAAAAGAAAGGGGGGGGGGAAATACAGAACATCTTTACTCCACCGTTGTGTAGTCAATAAATAAGTTGCATAAAATGCTTCCAATCTTCATAGGTATTCGTTTGGAATCAAAATCTTATTTTAAAATAAGTAGAATGTCTAAACAAGTGAACATAAATAAGACCCAAGAGTGCAGGATCATGAAGATGGATGAATGAAAGTTCTCCTGCCATCCTAAACCAGCCACCTCTTTTCTTCCAGGAGTTGAATAACAGCTGCTTCAGATTTCCCATCAGAAAAGTCTGTGGTCATTGTTAGCTGTGAGCTGCAATAACATTTCTGAAGGGCATCAGATTGAAAAAGATTAACCCATATTTGTACTTTGTGTGTGTGGGGAGGGGGGAGGATTCTGTAACAAAGGTTCCATTTTATGGAATTGTTTAAATTGCCCCTAAATGGCAATTGGGGAGTTCAAATAAGTTGGGACCGGAGCTGGTATTCAGCAGGTTCTGACTAGTTCTGGAGAACCAGTAGCAGAAATTTTGAGTAGTTTGGAGAACCGGCAAATACCACCTTTGACTGGAGATTTTACAGTATCCTTCCCCTGCCACGCCCACCAAGCCACTCCCACAGAACCGGTAGTAAAAAAAAAATTGAATCCCACCACTGGTTGGGACATACAATTCCCCTTTGATATGACATGGCTTTAAGTCAATTTTGAGAGAAGCTGATATTTTGAGAGAAGCTGATATCCCTGATATTTCTTTTAGATTCCTTTCAAGGTCAAGGGACTGAAACACAGAGTTTCCTGCAAATGACCTTGTCAAAACAATGAAGAACTAGATTTCTGATTGCAGTGTTCCTAAAACATGTACCTTAATATCGGAATAGGCAGCTTTAGAGATTGGGGGCCCAACCACTAAGGGTCAAATAAGTGTTTGACATCACTGGAAGAAGAAAATTGAACATTTTTGGACCATATTTTTCATTATATTTGGTCTTTTGAGATTTTTTGAAAAAAGGAATATTTTACCTTCCTTCTTATTTCCTAAAAATCATATTTCCATTTTTAAGTCAAATATCATGACTTGGAAATCAGGTAATTTTGTGACCAAATTTCACTAGCACAATTTCAGTATGCTCTGGGATGACCCCATCTGTAAATAATAATGTAGTAATGGTTTATAAATATTCATCAAAATTCACCAACTATTTCATCAAATATACTTATTTGGAAAGTAAGGTTCTTGAGCTTACATAAGGCCAAATACAATACAATTGTGAACATGCTTACTTAAAAGTAAGTCCTACTATTTTTTATAGTATTTACAACCACATTTAAGGGATTGTAAGGCTATGAATTTATGGCTTGCTTATATTTGACTCAAGAATTTCCTAGCAAATTCTAAAATGCTGCGCTTCACAATATTGCTTTAATTAAATTTACTATAATCAGTCATTGGTCAGCCTGTAATAGGCCAAACACATTCTCGGGCTCAAGACAGTTCAGCTTTTCTAGTCAGATTAGGTAAAATATTACTTGTCAGTCGCATTATTTGCAACAAAAGACCCACCTTACAGGGTTGTTGTACAAATTACTGACGTAATAGTTATTTTCAAGTGCTGTACAATGCTACTGAATTTTGCCCATTTTTAAGAAAGAAATAGACTTGAAGGGTGCTAAATCCTGCTTTCGATAGTAAGGATTGATTGAATAAAACCTCATAGTACGATTTCTTTAATATAGAAATTCTGCTTGTTTAAATTTTTTAGCTTTTGTTTACCTAATTTCCCCTCCCCCTTTCCCTTATTCTCTTGTTTCCTAACTTCAACTTGCTGATGCTATGGCTTGTATATTTCAGGAATCATTTTGTTCAAGCAGGTTAAAGATGATGAGAGAAGAGGAGAACCTGGTAAAAAAGGAGGAAAGTATGTCAGAGGAGGAAGAGGTGAAAGAGGAGGAAATATTCACAGTTATAGCGGATGAAGAACACCTGGTGAAAGAAGAGAGAATATTTGAGGAGGAGGAGGAGGAGGAGGAAGATGAGGAGGAAGAAGAAGAAGATGATGAGGATAGTCTGGTGAAAATAGAGGTGATTCTCCCAGAGGATGAAGAAAATCTAGTAAAAGAAGAGGTACTTCTTCCAGAAGAAACTTCCCTTCTGGAAGAATATGAAATCAATGTTTTTCAAATCCAAGGGGATGAAATACCCTGTGACAGTGATCTCGGTCCTGAGATCTCAGGTTATATTCCAAGAAAGAGACATTGTAAAACCATGCCACGGGCAGGAACTGTTGGAGAACCCAACCAAGCCACAGCCCGGAAGGGTGGAAGAATCTATAAGTGCCCTGACTGTGGAAAAATATTTAAGCGCTGTTCACCACTTATCAGACATCGAAGAACCCATACTGGAGAGAAACCTTACGTTTGCCGTGAATGCTTGAAACGTTTCAGTGACAGCTCAGCCCTTGTGAAGCACCAAAGAATCCATGCTGGAGAGAAACCTTATACATGTCCCGAGTGCGGTAAGAGCTTTTCCCAAAGCTCAACCCTGATTGCACATCAGAGAATACACACTGGAGAGAAACCATATAAATGCCCTGACTGTGGGAAGAGTTTTAGTGTGAGCTCTAACCTTGTTGCTCATCAAAGAATCCACACAGGAGAAAAACCTTTTGGGTGCCCTGTCTGTTTAAAAGGTTTTCTGGTCAGCTCCCATCTTATCAGACACTTGAGAATACACACTGCAGAGAAACCTTATATTTGCAGAGAATGTGGAGAATGCTTTACCCAAAGCTCTCACCTTGTTGTTCATAAGAGAATCCACACGGGAGAAAAACCCTATCTGTGTTCTGAGTGTGGGAAAAATTATCGTGGGATCTCCGATCTGATCCAGCATCAAAGGATTCACACAGGAGAGAAGCCCTACAAATGCACAGAGTGCGGCAAATGCTTCAGCCAAAGCTCATGTCTCAAGAAGCACCAGCGAATCCACACAGGCGAGAAACCTTACATGTGCCTCAGGTGTGGGAAGAGATTTAACCGGAATTCACATCTGACTAGGCATCAAAAAACCCATGTTGGCTAATTTTTAAAGATGAGTTCTCAGCAAATTCCTCTTGCTTGCAGCCCCTGAAGAAGTAACTATGGATGTCTCAAACAGTGATCTATTCCTTATCTCCTTTTGTCCAAATCCCTTGAACTTATCCTGCAAGAGTATAAAAAGATTTGGCTATGTTACCAGGATGCCTTTGCAATGTTTTCTTCTCTGGCACTGGTTAAGATCCTCTTTCTAGATTCCCTCCTTTCCATCCAAGATTCTAATAGGATCCTTAGAATCTTCCCTGGAATATCCATACTTTTCCTTGTTATGATTTTGAAAATGACATCCCATTTCAAACACCTTCAGGCATAACAGCCCTTACTTTTTCCCGGATTGTGAGAATATCTTAACCTTCTACTATCCCTCAGGTTTCAACAGTGAAAGAATTGAAAGCTGTGAAAGGTTGTGTTGATAGCAGTGGAGGAGAAACAATAAGCACTCTTTATCAAACCCTGCGATGACATCAACCTCTTTTATTTGTAATGCAGTAGCACATGAAAACCGCATATATTATTACATGAAATTGACATACATCCTCCAGTGGACTGCTTCATGGTTTCATGCTGCTACTGTTTAAAGCCAATGGAAATCTGCATGTGAGGAAAACCTGCTTTACTTTGTCCATTATGGGGTTTGTTGTAAGGCAGAGAAGTGGTCAGGATTTAGTGTACTTGCTTGACCCAATGACCTACCTTTATTTTTTTAATAGTAGACTATAGAAACTTCACTGCTTGGAATCTGAGATATAAACTTGATCATCCTATGCTTGGCGACTCTTCATTGTGGCTGTTCCCAAAGCTGGCAGGTGGGTGGTGGGTAGGGAAGGCCATAGAATACTTGCTGAGAGCACATTCTTGTATGCAGCAGACCCTAGATTTAATCCCTTGCCTTTTCAGCTTAAAACATCTTGGGTAACATGAGGGGGAAAGACTGTTGCTATAGAACAGTACTGCTAATTGGAATAAAAAGTGCTGGGTGAAACAGCTGAACGATCTGATCTCCGGTTCTTGGCATCTGTCTCCACGGATGTCATGTTACACCCTAAGAAGCACAAAAGGCAGATGGCCCTCCTTGGTATTCTGAAGAACGATCTGGCCTCTTATGTAGCCTGGTCACTACCATGCGTTTGTAGGCTTGTAGTGACAATATCAGAGGTTTAAATTATCAATGCAATTATTTTTTTTATTTTTATTTTTACTTTTTAGTGGAGTTTATTAAACATTTTGGAGTAGATTTCTCTGTCAAGTGACGATAAGATAGTGGCTATTGGTTTCAGTGATACCACTGAGATTCTTGCTTGGTGGCCTTCGGCAAGTATTTTCTTGGTGTAAGTCAACCCTGTGAAATTTGCAGTATGGGGATTATAGCCCTTATTTGCTTATAAAATTGTTGCAAAGGTTACGCAGCTTGAACAGCTTAACTCTGCTCCATTCTCCATTGGGTGTGGGATAATTTTCACACCCCTTGATGGGAAAATTCAAGTGAGTTCTTCTAATAGAGGTAGTTATAGCAGCCCCTCCCCCCTGCCAAAGGTACGATGCCTGCAGTGCCCTCACAGACTGACCAAACGCAGAGATGCTGCAGTATGAGCCCTCCACCTAATTCCCCCTTCCCATCCTGCCCTGCTAGGTCCCCACAGACCCTGGGCCTGCTTTGCCACCCCACCTGGCTCCATACACTCTACCCCAACCCCATCACTGCTCACTTTTTGAAGAGATTCAGAATTCAGGAAGTCAGGGTGGGGAAAGGGGACAGGCCCCTCCTGTTGCTGGGCCATTGCTAGGCCATGTGGCCTAATTGAAAAGAAATCCTGAGAGTTTTTATTTTATCGCTAGTCTTTGCTCCCCAGGCATTAGCTACGCTAGTTTTATGCCAGTGCAGCTAATGCTGGGGGAGCTAAGACTAACAATAAAAGGAAAACGGCAGGATTTCTTCTTAATTTTGCTACGTGGACCAGGAACAGATTGGGCCTGGCCTCCTTCCCTACCTAGACCTCCTTAGCTCTGGGGATCTTTGAAAGGTAAGCATGCTGTTGTGATGGACTGAGATGAAGAGGAGGCCCATAGGACTGTGAGGACCCCAAAGGGCAGGAAGTGGAACGGGGATACCAGGGTGGGGAGAGCCCTTGGGAAGCCCAATGCAGGTTGGTTTGTGCCTGCACTAAGCCTCCCAGTCTCCCACGCTTAAATGACACTTAATGACAAATGTATTGGGGAAAAACAGAGATGGGGGGGTCATTAATGAGGCAATTTCTTTAGAGATCATACTGACAGCTGACAGTAATAAGCAGGCTCCATTACAGTTGTAACTCAAGGACTACCTGTATTTTTGGTGAGTGCTACCCTAGTTAGAAAGGTCTTTACGCAAATAAAGATGTCCCTCCTAGATTAGAACCCACATAAGGAAAACAAGTATTGACCTATTGGAGGGATAATTTTAACAGCAGAAAATCTTCAGTTTTCCATTATTTTCTTGAAAGAAACTTATTAGAATAAGAGAGGGCTTCTCGCTATGGAAATCTTCCTTGGCGCTTACAGAACTTATGGCAATGGGAGAATGAGGAGCCAGGAAAGATGACTGTAATAGGCTTGCCCCAATCTCTACATGAGAATCACAGAGGAGTAAAAATTTCAGAATACTATACAGATCTGTTCTGAACATGAGCAAGAGAAGTTCTTGCCTTCCCTTGAGGCAACTGTGATAGCTGACCCTAATTTCAGCTGAAGAGCAGATGGAAGACTCATTTCCTGAGAAATAAGGAGAAAAAAGACTGATGCCTTAATTTGGATGGCTGCAGAATAAATAAAGTAGTATTTGAATGTTTCTCTTCTTTGCCCTTTAAAGCCCTGCTCCAGTTTATATCAGAATGATCTCCATCCCATTATGGTTCAGATGTATTATTCTGCTTATACCTTGCAAAAAGTACCCGATAGTTTTCTACTTCTGGTATTGAGAAAAGTGTGTTGTGGCTTTTGTTTGACTTGGTTCTTGAACATCAAAATAAGATAATGTGTTACACTCCTAAAATATATACATGTCATATGTCATATGCTTACCAGTGATTTGTACTGTTGTGCAGTGCATGCTCATCCATGCTTTTTCAGAAGTTCAGTGTATTTGCAGAGATATGTATATAAAGATATGTATATAAAGAAGGAAGGCTACAGTATTTCAAACACAAAAAATAGAATGGTTTTAGATTTAAAAAAAAGTTGAGGCTCCCCAATCCTATATTTCTATTTTTGATGTATTGCAGCAAATATTCTATAGTATAGTTAGTTTTGTTTTAAATTGAAAGTGGCAAATCATTTTAGTCTTGTTTACAATGCGTTAATTAAATTGATGTTGAGGAAAGGAAAATTGGAGGGTGCATCATATAATAGTAACATAAAATAATATACATTTAACCCCTTGAGCAAATTGTACCAGGACTGGTGCCCAAGGGACATGGTGAACTGTATCAAATATATGGGGTATGGGCCAGGGTTCAAACCATCTTCCATTTGTCTTGTATTTTCTGCAACACAATCTTAAGTCCCATTTTTTGGATACTCCCAACTTTTTCCAAAACAAAGTATGCTTTTAATGACTAATTCAAGCACTAGTTAGAATTCTGTAAAAGCGTCATAAGGTAGATGTTGTACTTAATACTCATTGAAAGTACTTGAAATAACTAGTAAAGCACAGTGTTGGATTCACTTAAGATACTGTATTATAATCTATTTTTGCATTGTTTGGCACTTCTGAACTAAGGAGTTCAAAGGGAATGTAAATTTAAATGGAGGCCCATGTGGTAAATGTACATAGCAAATATCATTTCTGTATTACATAAGGAAGGTTATCACACTGTGCTGTACTTTATCCTGGTTGAAAGCTGAGCACAGAAATCAAGCTATGGTTTGAAATTTACACGTGCACACTGCTTTAATTCTGATAAATATCTGGAGATCCATGGGTTGTCATGGTTGTTCCAAAGGTGCTTTTTCAAAAGGCAGCTGGACTTTCTTTGTTTTTCCTTGAAAATATTTCGCTTCTCATTTTAGAAGCTTCTTTAGTTGTGACTGAATGGTGGAAAATGGAAGGATTTATATTCCTTGCAGTCATCTGGTCATTAGTACTCTTTCTGAGAGTTGTTGAGGCCACTTGGAGATTTATCTGTGCCTTCAGGGTGCAATAGTGCAAATGGGTGTGGAACCTTCTTGGAACTGCTATCATTTAATTCAGATACCAGTTTTGACTACAAGCACCAAAGGACATGATACAGTATTTTTCCCTCCTCTTTTGAAAATATATGGATTGAATACTCACTTAGCATTAAAAGTGGACATACAGTATAATATATTGAATGGCTGGGTCCACACAATTTACTAGACTAGGATATAATAGTTGAGGGGAATTTATGATTCAGCATCTTGTAGAAATCCAGGCACAGTCTTAGTTTCCTATGAACTACACTACCACTTTAAACAATATGTGATTTAAAAATAAACAAAGTTGTTGGGCATTGCTTGTTATGTGAACACAGCAAATGTATTTTAGTCCATTTTAAAGTACTGCATTGAGCCAATTGTATATACCAGATTTCATTCTGATAGTTCATTGGTCAAGATAATTCATCTACCCAAAAATGCTTAATCAAAGTGTTATGAAATGTTTTAAAAAATAAAAAAATGATACAAACTAGAAGAATTCCAAATCAACTGTCCCTGAAAGGGCCTTCTTTCAATAAATTTTCTATAATGCTGTTTTTTTCTCTTTTCAAGCACTATTTCTGTTTGGAATACCAGATTGTAGCAAAGCCGTGTCAAAGGAGGTAGCATCGACCAACTTCTAAATGAAATGAGCTGCAGTATTACTTCATTTCCCTTGAAGCAAATTCAGACAATATGCCCAGAGGCAGAGGTGAACTAGCCACAAGGGAAAATACAAACTTCAGAATATTGTTGCTCAGAAGTTAAGCCTCAGTATGGAAAACATTTAAAGTTGTAACAAACTTGCCTGAGAGTAAACTTTGGTCAGTTCTGTATTTATCTTTCATTATCATCTTTAAAAGTACCTTGAGGCAGGATGCATAGCTCTACTTGATCTTCACAACTATCTTGTAAATTAGATTAGATTGAGAAATGGTTACTGTAAGGTTTTTAATGGAGTAATTTAAATTCCTGGTTCACAAAACATAATAAATCACTCAGGCTGGTAACCAGGAAAGTTCATAGAACTGCATCCTCTTTGTCTTGTCTCATGCAAGTCTTTAATTATGGTCAGTGGTTTCCACATAACTACATGTCTCAACCTGTAGACATTTCCAATTAATACGTGAATTTGAAAGTGACAATTGACCTTTCAGATCCTGGGAACCAAAATTGGCAGCTGCCCTAAATTGTGTTACAGGTACAGTATGGGAAAATATGGATCATGAACGTGCTACCTCTTTATCTCCATCCTGATTAAGGAGCTATTGAGGATGGAGATAAAGAGGTAGCACGTTCATTCCCATTAACCAAGCTAAGTAACTTTGCATTTCATATGGATAACTATTCCATCTCCTTAACAACTGAAGCCTAATTACTGTAATTAATATATTATATTGTCTCTCAGTTTATCACATTTTGGACTGTATCTCTTGGAAAAGATTTGGCTCCAATGCTGCTCTGAAATGAAAACACTGACATGTAACATGGGGGTGTATAGATGTTTGAGGGATATGGAGTGAAACATGCTCTCCTGAGCTTTCACAGGCTGAAACAGACCATCCAGAGATAATGTCTAAAAGGAATAGTAGCATTTTGGGGGAAGACATTTGTAGATGTTGGACCATAAAGCTTCTGAAAGGAACACCATTCCCATTCCCCATTGAAATCACTGGCAGGTAGACTCCAATTCCTGCGTTTGGAGGCTACTTTAGAGGTGACGGGTGGGAGTGAGCAACAGAATCTGGCAGCAGAATCTCAAACTGCCTCTGGATTTTGGCTATGGGTTTTCTATACCCACACTAGCTCCTTCTGGCCATTCTTACAAGACATAGCAATACTAGGTGTTTCTGCCAACTGGTGGATATGAGCAAGGTAAGATCCTGCGGTATCCCAAGGAAGAATATTCTATTCACTTTTTTCCAGTTTAGTGTTTAAAGCACCAGCCTAGAAACCAGGAGACTTGTGAGTTCTAATCCCAATTTAGGCATGAAAGCCAGCTGGGTGACTTTGGACCAGTCATTCTCTCAGCCCATACTTTTAACATTTTCCTAATATTGTCTGACAAGAAGAAGAAACCAAAAACGGATAGTTTTCCCCCCTGGGTGTGGTATAGTGGTGAAAAGGATACTATAGATGACTTGGTAACAAGGATAATTCAAAGGATCCAGAAAGATTACTGAATTTGTCCATGTTGAATTCATGTATTTCATTGACTCACATTACGCGGAACCAACTCAAATAGAGTGGGGTTTGCACAACTTAACAAAGCTCCTACCTCCCAAATACATAAAATAATAAATTACAGTTGGTGTTAATGATTAAGGTGCTGGATTAGAAAGCAGGAGACTATGAATTCTAGTCCACTCTTAGGCCTGGAAGGCAGCTAGAGGACTTTGGGCCAGTTATATCTTTCGACCCAACCTACCTTTAAAGGGTGATTGTTGTGTGAAAATTAGAAGGTAGGAACATTGGGTCTGCATGTTGCTTTGAGCCAAACTAGAGTTTGGATAAAAAGAAAACAATAATTAGGTAACAACACAACCAAAAGTTCACTTTCTACTTAATATTACTTCTTCACACTCTAATTGAAGGTTGGATTCCCATGGATCTCTTTGCCAAGCAGATTCCTTCACCAACCCACCCACTCCTTCCCCACATAAAAATTACTCAAAACTCAAGTTCAGCATGGCATGGTAGGAAATTATGCATCCCAAACTATGCTGCTTCTCATTAGCTCACGGATCCCGTAACAGCAACTTCTCTTACTCTTCTGCTTCAGTGCTCTACTCTGAGTATTTCCCCTGTTGCTTTGCTACCACTGAATGTTCAATTCAGTTTTATCTCCAAATCAGCTGTTAGCTGGCCAGTAGTGTAGTATAATAGTAACTCAGCTTATTTAGTGAGCCGTTAGCGCAGCAATTCATAGCATGTAAACCCACTAAGAACCCAATGCTCAAGTACTTTTAGTTTTCTAGGACATCTCCCCACTGACTGAAAACAGCAGGCTTTCAGATCTCAATATTTGTACACAAGAGTAAACAGTACATTCTGCACACAGCTGTATATATTTGAGCTATCAGATATTTCACCTGTCTTTCAATTCAGCCTGAATTTAGTCACCTCAAGAATTTCCTGAACTTTCCATGATATTTATGACTTAGATTCTCATTCCACTTGGTTTTCTGCTTCTAGAAATACTGTCAAGTAGCATTAGATCAAGAAGCTGTTTGAATCAGAATGCTGTTTGAATACCATTGTAACTTTTATGAGACGTTAAAGCATAATATATCACTGTAAAATAATAATCTAAATAACCATTATGTTAATATAACACAATATATACCTTATCACAGATATATGATTAATATAATTGCCTTCCTAGCATAGGCTATGTTGATCACAGTGTAAGAATATTATTGCCAAAGAGAACAAGTGTGATGACCCAGAGTGTAACACAAACGTAACAAAATCCAAAACGTAAATAAATGTCCTTTAATGCCTCCAATTTGGTCCCACTGTTCAATAATACTAAATTGGAGATAAAATGTACTCAAAAATAATCTTCAAAAGAAAGCAATACAGTCCGAACTTATTAAGCAGATAGAGGTGAAATAAAAAACCAAACAAACTACAATGATGAAATTCTCACAACGGAACAAGAGAAATATTCACCAAATTCAAGGAGATAACAAGGCACAGTCTGTTGGAAGGACGCCAACCAAGATAACTTCAGACCAAAATAAAACATGCTTTGTTTCCAGCATTTGCCAGTATGCAGGCCCAAACTCTTATGCAGTTCTCACACCTGCAGCCCATGAAGAGGATCAAGGCCCTCTCCTCCTGAGGAGACCACCTCTCTCCCTTATCCTCTCCTCCCTGCATGCCCTAGGATGGAGAGGGGATGGGCCTGGGTCCTCCTCTGACGGCTCAGCCGGCCTCTGCCCTTCCCCAGCCTCCTCCACAACCTTCAGAGCCACCCTTCCACTCCCTGTTGGCTGTTCCTCCTCTCCCTCAGAGTCAGTCTCCACCAGGGGCATGACAACAAGTACAAAGAGTGCAGGCAGTTAGCAAATTGAACCCAATAGCAGCCTTGCTTGCTTTTATTAGATTTATGCCTTGACCTACTACCTGATGATGTTCAGGGTGGATTCTACCTATAAAATCACGTAACAGCAGTATAATTTTAAACATTAGCCAAACATTTCTGGCCAAATTGAATTCAGGTTTCAGGGAATACCAAAGTAAGCAGCAGCAGCAGCCAAAAAAGCTAATGCAATCCTAAGTTCCATTAACAGAGGGATACAATCGAGATCAAGTGAGGTACTAATAGCACTCTATAAAGCCTTAGTAAGACCACACCTAGAGTACTGCATCCAGTTTTGGTCGCCACATTATAAAAAAGATGTTTAGACTCTAGAAAAAGTACAGAGAAGAACAACCAGGATGACTAGGGGACTGGAGGCTAAAACATACATATAGTTGCAGGAACTGGGCATGGCCAGTCTAGTAAAGAGGACCAGGGGAGACATGATAGCAGTCTTCCAATATTTGAGGGGCTGACACAGGGAGGAAGGGGTCAAGCTATTTTCTAAAGCGCCTGTAGGCCAGACAAGGAATAATGGATGGAAACTGAACAAGGAGAGATTTAACCTGGAAATAAGGAGAAACTTTCTGACAGTGAGAACAATCAACCAATGGAACAGAAGTTGCCCTCAGAAGCTGTGGGACCGCCATCACTTGAGACTTTCAAGAAGAGATTGGACTGCCATCTGTCAGAAATGGTGTAAGATCTCCCGCTTGGGTGGGGGGTTGGACTAGATGACCTACAAGGTCCCTTCCAACTCTGATAATCTGTTATCTATTAGCAAGTCTTTAGCCTTTTTTTCTTAAAATCCAAAGCAATAGTACTACTGTGGAGAAGGCCCTTTAATGTCTATACAGCCTCTTGTAGAGTAGAACCATAACAGTTTAGGTTACTTCGCCCAGTATTGACCATTTTGTAATCTTTCAGATATTGGTATCTAGAATCAGAATTAGGACTTTACAGGCAGGTAATCAGTATTATACATTAAGACTGTTATTGTAGTGACAATCTACCCATCTTAAAGATTTGGTTTGAGTCTATTAACTATTTAATCTGCTGACCTGCTTTTCTTCATCTATAGATATTAAGTAAAATGGGATTAGATCCTATGGATCTGCAGTTTGACACTATGGGGACAGTATTTCCCAGAACTACTTTTGGGGAATGGCTCCACGGGTAGGAATGGAACCAATATAACACCACAGTGCCACTCTATAAGATGTTATGGTCTATTGTATCAAAAGTTACTGAGAAATTTGAAAATGCTTTAGTGTTTTCATTCTAATTCCAATATTCTGAAATAATTTTTGAGAATATTTTTCAGGCAAATGGAAAATGAAATATAGTGGTTGTCTTTCAAAATAATAGAATAAAGAGTCCAGAAAATAACAATTTGATGCTCAAACTCCTGATGGTATAAGCTGATGCAGAATATGGAAGCAGATAAAAGGTCACTATTAAGATAGCAGAACAGAGGAAGGTAAAAACTTTTTTGAAGTAATTAAAATATATAATTTTTGAAGAAATCTAAAAAGGGCAACATTGTAATAAAATGCATATTGCATACATTTTTGCTGTTTGTTCATCTTGGCTTCAGAAGTTATGGGCGCTCTATCAGATTTTAAAGAGATTGGACAGCCATTTATCTGTAACAGTATAAAGTCTTCCTGCTTAAGGATTGGATAAGAAGACATTCAAAGTCCCAACTGTTATTCTGTTATCTTGGTAGGTTGAACAGGAATACATGCTTCTTAAGACTTATAATAATGTTATCGTTACTTTGAATGTAATCTTCATACATTTTAATGTAATCTTCATACATTAAAATGAATTTTCCTTGCATACAGCTCTCAATGGTCACCATCTCCAATATAAACTACATAAAACGTAACATAATAAATAAATTATGCAAAGACCCACATATATGACAGTGAGAAACAACACAAGTCTAGTTCGGATGTATATGTGTACACTGCAAGAGGATTCAATTGGCCAATTGCAAGCAAACTGACAAGTAGTTCAAATATTCAACTTCTGCAATTTACAGTTATTGCTATGTTCACACACTACCTTTCCTTCTACAATCCAAAGCCCATTTATGAAGCATCCAACTATTTGGTGTGCTTTTCCTGTCTATGTGAGGTGGTGCAATAATTGCCTTTTATAGCAGCTTTCCCTCAGTAGTCTTACACAATTTAGCTACCTCTCTCAAAATTAGGTGTCATTCTGCCCTCGTGCTGGTTCTTGGTTTTACACAATTTCCACTGGGCTGAATGGAAATTCCGCTTGACAAAAAAACAGTTGCAAGTCGCGGTCGCATTTTCCAGCCGTGCTTTGCGCAAGAGTGTAACTTCTAGATTCTTTTTTAGCCCTTCTTTTTTAGCCCTTCTTCGTGCATTTAAGAGCTTTCCCAGTCCAAGCTAGGAGAAACTGGGCACAATAGCCTCTCCGTTCTTCCCCAGAATGATCAGATGCACTTTAACCCCTTCTCCCTTCCGCCAATAAAGAATTCTAATTCTAATCTATCTCGGGCGAATACTAGCAGCTTCTCTTCTCCCTCCGCCCCGGATCAACACCTGGGAGGGTGGAGCAAGGAGAGCCGTTGCTCGTCATTGGCTTGTTTCTTATGGGGTGAGGGGGGTGGATCTCGCCTCCAGGCTGCGCGGGGAAGTGGGGGGGGGGGGGAAGCATCGCTGCTTTGCAAGACGGGAAATGGCAAGCTAGACGGTCTTCTTCGGACCGCCGCGCTACTACGCTTCCCTGCATGCTTCTGGCCCGCAGAACGCTGTGGGGAAGGGGATGGAATCGCGCAGTGCACTCTGGGAGTTGTAGGAGCGGCAAACGGAGCCGCGCTCACTTCCCGTCGGCCCTTGCGCCTCTGCTGCCTTGGGGCGGAGGCGGGGGAGGCAGGCAGGGAAGGAGAGAGGAGGCGGAGGCGCAGGGAGGCGGCGTTGCGGCATCCAGCGGCAGATCGTCGGCCGGGGTGACTCGGAGCCGGGGATTTACTCAGTCCAGAGGCCCTTCCCGCCGCCATCGATGTGAGCAAGGCGGCCCTCGAGGGGAGGATTGGGAGGGCGGGCGGGGCCGTATGCGTGGGTGGGGCCGGCTCGGTGGGGCAATCCTGCCTTCTTCACGCTCGGCTCCGGAGGGACGGCGCGACTTAAAGAAGCGCTGCCACTGGGGAGTTAAAGGCGTTTGTGCCTTTAACGTCGTACCCCGGCCTCTCCCCAGCCTAGTCCGACCTGGGCTGCCTCCGCCTCTGCCTCCTCCTCCGCCGCCTCCCTCCGGTCCCAGCGCCTCTCCTTGAGCGGTTGGTGCTGTCAGGCCGCCGCGCGTGCGCGTGCCACCTCCATTCTCTCCCCCCCCCTCCTCCCGCCGCCGCACCTGCCGGCACGCGACGAAACCACAAGCCGCGAAGCCGGCGCCGCGCTCGTGCCTCCTTTAGCCCCGGAGCTTCTCCTCCTCCTCCTCCTCCTCCAGTAACATCGAGACGCGAAAGGCTGCGCCCGAGCGGAGTTGCCCACGCAAGGGCAGCGGCGGAGATATGAAGATCAAAGATGCCAAAAAACCATGTAAGATCCTTTCTCTCTTTTGGAGACATGCCTTTTTGGTTTTGTTTTTTTGTTTTTGTTTTTTGCTTTGCTTTGCTTTGGAAAAAGAAACGGGTATCTGTGGGTGTTTCCACCACGTAGCTTCTGTATAGGGTTTTCCTGCTTCTATCTGTATGGGTTGTGAAAATGTGTGCGTGTAGCATAGGCAATTACTAGTTAAGCACCCAATGCATACATGCATTCTTGAAAGTAAGTCCCATTGAGTCTTATGTAACTTAGTACTGGGGGGGGGGGAGTGGTGTTTTTTTTTTAAAGTCAAAACGTAAATTAAGCTGTGTCCTTCAATCCATCAATTGTAATAGTGCATTTTCAGAAAAGTGCATTTTCAGAAAAATCGGTATTGTTTTCTTTTGACGTTGCACGGATGTAGGAAACTAAATTCTGGGTGGAGAGGAATTGATTAGGTATGTTACAAATGTTTACAATAGCAATAGTATTTAGGTTTATATACTTCCCTATAGTGTACAGCACTCAATGCCAGAATAGCAGAAATGATCAAGGGGAAATACAATTTCCTAAGTAAAACTTCGCTTTTTCAGAATACCTGTAAAAGTGACATGTCTCTTGCTGTTTGCCTTGGCATGATAATGTTTTTACAAGACTATTTAAGTTCTAACAAAGTGTTGCATTTGGTAACTTAATAAGAACATGCCCTATACCTAAACATTTTTTAAAAATTTGAGAATATGCTACTTGTATTTTTTATTTCTATAGCTGGAATGCAGTATTAATACCTAAAGTACCAAAAAAGGGAAGTGGTTAATTTAGCACTTTGACATTTGTAGAAGATTATATATGTGTGTGTAATTGTATTCCTCAGTTTTGTGTGCAGTGCAGTATATTCTTCACATTTGCAGGGATAAAATGCTTTCTGATTTATTGGAACAATGTGTACAAGATGACTGAAAAATCTGCTGTACATGCATAATCAGCTAGTAAAAAGTTGTTTTAACAAGACAGCTTTTGTATTAAAATATACCTCACCTATTATGGAATAGTACTCCTTGGTTACAGTGTGCCTTCTCTATCTGAGATCTGGGAACAAAATGTTGATGGTTATTGCTTTCAAGGTTACTGCTTTCCCTTCCTAATGATTAAAATTAACACAGATCCCTTGAAATGCAGGACTGTGAAAGAAATGTCTCTCTGAAATTGTGTTAAAGAAAATTCTGCTTTCATAAAAACAAAAAGATATACTCTGGAAGATTTAAGATCTTCAAATAAAAATGTGCCAAAATAAAGTTTTCTGAAACTAAAAGAGCTAATTTGCCACTCATAATGACGTTTAGAATAATTCAATCAAACTCATGTTTTCCAACAAATCCATAAAATCCAACTTCAAATATGTGGTTGTTCATTTTTTTTAGGCTGAAAATTATTACTGTTCTGTTGGCAGAAAGAATGTTCAAAGTTTTCTTAGTTCATTTAACTTTATTGTACAATAATAAAAAGTTATAAACAGGTGACTTATGTTCCAATATTTGTTTCAAGTATGGGTTACAACATCTTGATTACAATTTATGAAGCAACCAATGTAAAAAGCTTTAAAGCAGGAATTCCACATCTCCCCTAAAAATTAATACCCCAAACTAAATATACATGAACTAGAGAAGGGTGAATTTGTTGTAACAATGTGCAACTAAAAGATGCTTTATACCTCCCTTGGACTCTGTTTCCACTTCCCCAAGTGAGGTATATGTCTCACAATTTGGGAAATGCTGATTTACAGACTCTTCAAATGAATCACCCTGTTGCAAAGTGCTATTTTAAAACAATATCAAATCTATACCCAACCATTGTCATCTAATGTTTTCAAATGTTTAAACCATTCTGAAAGTGTTGTGGTTGGCCCTAGCTTCAACTCACTGATTTCTGAGTAATTTAAATAGCTGCTTTTGAAAAAAAAAAACAATGAAGTGTTTTTGTTCTTAGGATTGTACACATACACACATATTTACATATGCACACTTGACCATGCCATTGGAAATAACAGAATTTTTTTAAAAAAAAATATTGTGTGACAAAATCTTTATGATATATGGGAATCAATAGAAATACATAGAAGTGAACTTGTCCTCTGCTCTTATGAAAGCTTTTATCAACACCAAGCAATTTCCATTAATTGTTTAACAGAATAAAGAGGCCTGGCAAATAAAATAGTATTTGGTATTTCTAACAATAAAGCGCTCTCTCTCTTTCCCCTCCCCCTTCCTCCCTCCCTCCCTCCCTCCCTCCCTCTCTCTCTGTCTCTCTCTCTCTCTCTCTGTCTCCACAGCTTTCCCATGGTTTGGAATGGACATTGGTGGAACGCTAGTGAAACTTGCATATTTTGAACCTATAGATATTACTGCAGAAGAAGAGCAAGAAGAGGTTGAAAGTCTAAAGAGTATTCGCAAATATTTAACATCAAATGTGGCCTATGGGTCCACTGGTATTCGAGATGTCCACCTTGAACTTAAAGACTTGATACTCTTTGGACGAAAGGGAAATTTGCACTTTATCAGATTCCCAACACATGACTTGCCTACTTTTATTCAAATGGGAAGAAATAAAAACTTTTCCACGCTACATACGGTGCTTTGTGCCACTGGCGGTGGTGCTTATAAATTTGAAGAAGATTTTCGCACAGTAGGTAGTTTAGGTGCAAGTTCTCTCACTCTGATAGACAGAGTGTGTATACTGATTGTCTGTGGTGATAAAGTCATTAATGTGGCAATTAGCATTTAGACATATATCTCCCCATAATCTTTACAGCACTTTGGGCAGTTTACAGTATCATCATTATTTGTGCATTGCTCCCAAAAATCTGGGTCCTTATTTTACCGACCTCAGAAGGATGGAAGGTTGAGTCAACTTTGAGCCCTATCAGTATTGAACTCCAGACTGTGGGCAGAGTTTCCCTACAATGCTGCCCTTTAACCACTGCGCTATCAGCGCAATCACTTCTTTTTCATAAGGCGTGGGTTTGATAAGGGCAAATTAGATCTCTGGATTTGTACTTTGGAATTTGATTGCTGAAGAATTACTGTCTGCATGTGGAGAGGAATAACTTCCTAAATAACTCCATGTTTTCTTTGCAATCCTGCACAAAGGAGCTGGCAAGATTTCCCCTGATTGTTATTTTAAGTCTTACAGCAAAAAAATTTAACATACAGTGACGTAGATGGGATTTGTAGTATGTGGGTATATTGGGCTTGCCCTGTTCAGGCAGTTTCCTTTTGTCTTTTTCTTTATTAGCCAGCAGTTCCAATTATTACATGCAAAGTAGGAAGGCAATTGGACAAATTCATATACTTGCTGGGCATGTGAGCTGAGTGGCATATGCTTATATAATGTATCTTAGCAATTGTCATGCACTGCATATTACGTATACAACCCTCTGCTCCAGTATGTTGCAATATAACTTTCAACAGCTGCAGCAATCTAAAGTCTTTTTTTTTTTTAAAGAAAAGTGATTATAACATTTTAATAAAAGGTTTAGGTGTGGTCAGGATAGTATTACTGATACAGTGGAACTGAAACTTGACATCCATATTTTGATAGTGAATAGATCATGTCGCTCTGTAATATATCAATATACCAAATCTAACGGTCAGGCTCTCCAAAAAAATTTTTAAAAGTATTTTCATCCTGCCTTATTTTTATAAATAACCCAAAGTGATGAACATAAATAATACTGCTTTATCCTATTTTCCCCACAACTCGTTTATGAGGTGAGTTGGGCTGAGAGAATGACTGGCTGTCTTTCATGCCTACAGCGGGACTAGAATTTACAGTCACCTGATTTCTAGGCCAGCACCTTAACCACTAGCCCAAACTGGCTTTTGACCTATAGCTTCCAGTATTACCTTACCAGAGCTATAATTGTAGTTCAACTTCTGGAAGATGACAAGATCTCATTTGGTATAAATGGAGCATTATAGTTGATTTAAATTTTACAACAATGCTAGAAAGAGGGTCTCGAACACGGGTATCAAACTCGCCGCATCACGTTGCTGTCAAGTGATGTTTTGCAATGTTTTTCCCATTTGCGGAGCTGGAGTGGGCGTGGCCTGCACACAATGCATCCGGTCCACTGGCTGCCAGTTTGACACCCCTGGACTAGAACGAAAGATCAGGTGCCCTGTAGCCTCTTTAGTTTTGTTCAGGAACATGTTATACTGATCAGTATTTCCTCTTCTTTTTGGAGATTGGAGACCTCCAGCTGCACAAATTGGATGAACTTGATTGTCTCGTCAAAGGCTTGTTGTATATAGATTCTGTCAGTTTTAATGGCCAGGCAGAATGCTACTATTTTGAAAATGCATCAGAACCTGAAAGATGCCAAAAGATGCCTTTTAACCTAGATGATCCATACCCTTTGCTGGTTGTAAACATTGGCTCAGGAGTCAGTATTTTAGCAGTTCATTCCAAAGACAACTACAAGAGAGTGACTGGAACAAGGTACATACACATATATATGCATGCCAAGTTGATAATATTGTGCTTTCTCAACCATCTTTCAGATAATATGTTTTTTTCAAAATATCTTTTGATTTTACAGTATGAGTTTTTATGCTTATGTATTTATGAAAGATATTGAATGGCCATCTCAGGTTTGTTTTTGAGAATATTATGGTCTGATAATTATTAGATAAATGGTTTTTAAATCATCATAAGTAAAAAAAATCAAAGGAAAGAAAATAATTAAGATTAAGTAAGCCCCAATTGCTGATGATCAGTCCTTTGGTAATAGCTGCAGTAATTTATTTGTGGTGTGAGTTTGACTACCTTTAGTCACATATAGATAAGCATCTTAAAAGACCTGCAGTGAATTGGTTTCCAGATAGACGTCTTAAGCTGTACTTGTTACATTCAGAATAATGTTCATAAAGTACCCTATGGAGTGGCAGACTATAGTAGAAATTAAAGTATTTATTATATGTTGATTCATTAAATACACTTCCTGCTTTATATCTTTACAAATGTTTTTCTCCGTTTTCAGTTGATCATATTATATACCTCTTTCCTAATTTTAAATAGGTAAGACATGATCATCATTGCATTAGTTAAGAGGTATAATTTTACAAATGTTCCATGTTCAGTCTAGGTGGTGGGACCTTTCTTGGTTTGTGCAGTTTACTGACCGGATGTGAAAGTTTTGAAGAAGCTCTAGAAATGGCATCCAAAGGCAACAGCACACAAGCAGATAAGCTAGTCCGGGATATTTATGGGGGAGACTATGAACGGTTTGGCTTACCAGGATGGGCAGTGGCATCTAGGTAGGTATTGCAAAGTAACACAGATCCTGAATTCATGACAAGTGATACATTAGTAATATTTCCACTGCATTACGTTATATTATTAATTTATAAATATCTGAGAAATACAGAACAGTAATAATTTTTGAAATGTAAAGTATGTTGGTGGCATGGAAAGACTAGCTTTAATAGTACTCTCCACTCATTAGATTATATATTTTAATATTTAATAAAGATTTGTAGAATAAAATTGAGTAAGACGTGAAGTTTACTTCCTCATGCCCCATAGTTTCTAAGAAAAGCACTAGAAGGTGGAAGGAAAGAGAAGAAAAGGACAATTGGTAGTAAGGTTCTTTAGTAGCAAAAAGAGGGGGGGTCAAACTGTTCTCCAAAGCACCTAAAGGCAGGACAAGAAATAACCTGGAAACTTACCAAAGAGAGAACTAGAACTAAGGAGAAATTTCCCGACAGAACAATTAACCAATGGAATGACTTGCCTCCAGAAGTTGTGGGTGCTCTTATCACTGGAGATTTTTAAGAAGAGGTTGGACAGCCATTTGTCCAGAATTGTATAGGAACTCCTACTTGAACAGGGGGTTGGACTAGAAGACCTCCAAGGTTCATTCCAACTCTGTTATTCTGTTACGGTGGATAGATTGAATTATAGGGATGAAGATTACTACCACTGGGAGACTTGTAACAGATTAGAAGTCAAATTGTCATGGAGAAAATCTGCCTATGCGGTCACTACAAGTTGAAACCAACTTGCTGGCATATATCAAATCATAACCCATAGAGTTATCTGATTAAAATTGTAATTAATTGCCTTGCACCAACAGTTCTCATTAAAGTCTTGTAAACTGACTTCTGTCATCAAACCTGCAAGCAGTCCTTGCCCACTGAAATTTATTTAAATATGCATTTCAGTTGAAGAGTCCCCAGAATGTCAGTTAAACAATAAAATATGTATATCTTGATATCTTGAAATAGCTTTGAAATCATAGTCATAATAATATAATTGAAGAGGTTTTCAGCTATGTTTTCTTAGAAAACAGAAGATTGATTTATAGTTTAACAAAGGCTTTGTTGCTCAGAATAATGTTCTTTTCCATTGACAATTATGTTTGGCTTCCGTTCAATATCTACTTTGACAATCTATATTTTTCCTTGACAAAAAAAATGACAGAATTAGCTCATTTATACTGCATTAGTTTTTTCCCTTAGATAACAGTGATAGGTAGGTGACTGCTTGGCAGTAAATATAAGAATCATACAGTTGAAAAGCATTTTGCCAGACTATCAATTAATTGCTTCAGTGTCCAAGGATGCAATTAATCTGGTCCTGAAGAATTAAATTCAAAGAACTGCTTCCTGTTCATGTTTCTACTACTTAATCTTCAGTACTGCCTGATGAACATGCTTTTCACAATTTCCAAAACAGAGAAGTTTTTGATTTCAGAAGACACAATAGCTCTTCTTTTATTTGATACATGGTAATATTTTTTTCTTCACAGAGTAGTTAACAGTGTAAAATATACCGTATATTTGACTGCACCTGATTCTTCTTTCTCTTAAATGAAGAATGCCTGCATACATTCATTGTCACCCAATTTCCTGCTACTTCCAGAGGGGAAAAGCAAAACTAAGTAGAAAACTGATTCATCAATAAGGGTGATTTGGAAGCCTGGGCACAAAATAAAGTCTGCTACTTATATCTAAATACTAAAAGCATTTAATGACCATGGGATGTTTCCAGCCTTTTCTTCCTACAATCCTTCTAATAGACTAGACTTAGCTCTTCTTATTCTAATATTTAATCCCAAAGAAGGATCAAATTCCCAAAATCGAAATCATTTCTACAGGTACCAGAGTTGTAATTGGGGAATTTTGCAAGTTTATTTTTATAAGTACACCGGCGCTTTCTGTTTTCTAATTATTTGATTATGTGCCAACACTTAGCAACCGTATAGATTTTCTCCTTGAGAATCTGTCCCTAACCTGTTTTTTCAGATTTTCACAAAATCCATCAAAAGAGATAATGATCTCTGGCAGTGCACCATCTGGCTTAACTGTATTGAGCCTCAAATTCCAAGGTTGTTGAGCAGTTATTGTTGCTTCCAGAGCATGACACAAGTCCTTTCAAGCTTTGTAAGCAGCTTTTATAAAGAAGTACATCTTATCACAGATGGAGAGAGATATTATATACTTTTTAATGAACATCAACATTGTAATTTTTCCCCCCTAGCTTTGGGAACATGATCTACAAAGAGAAACGGGAATCTGTCAGCAAAGAAGACCTGGCTAGAGCAACTTTGGTTACTATCACCAATAACATTGGATCTATAGCACGAATGTGTGCTGTAAATGAGGTAAATAGCGTTAGGGGAAGGATGTGGAAATTTTGTGTTGTCTTAAACGCAGATTGGAACAATTCTTTTGTTAAGGGCAAGCAAGTTCCTTCTCATTATAATTTCTATTCAAGATTTTTCTTTTTTCTTTTGTTGAATTTAAATACTCCAAAGTAATCCTAATGTTGGTTGGCACTTAAATCTGGCTGTGTGTCATACAATTTAGAGATTGTCCCATTCAAAATGACTCTTGAGTTGCTTAATCAATTAAAAAAAAAAACTAGTATCCAGAAGGCAAACACTCTTTAACAAAAAAAAAAATGTCCCACAAAGATCAACCACAACTCTTTTCATAGCTTTGAAGAAAGTGAAATTTTCAGTGACTCTGAATGTTACCCAAATGGGAGCCACACAGGCCTCTGGGTGGATGCTCTTCACTTGAGCAGCTCCTGCCTCAAGAGAAGGGATGCTTCCTGGGTTCTGATAGATGACACTTCTATCAAAAAACCAAGAATACTTCCATTTTGCCTGATCTCACCAGTGGAAAGAAACAATTGAGATAGGCATTCTGTCAGCCAGTCCCTATGCCATTGAGGGTTTTATAGGTGATAATACAGATCTTGTATTTCCTTCAGAAGCTGATTGAAGCCAGTGCAGCTTGTAGAGCAGTGGTGTCAGCATGCCACCATTGCCTGTTCCATTTCATTCTGGACTGTTGTAGCTTCCAAATGATTTTCAAGGACAGCCCCATGTACAGCTTATTGCAATAGCCCATTTAACTATATTAGCTAACTACATATTAATTATGATGTTTGGTCTAGTGCAGTGTGGCTAACCTTTTTGGGCTCCTGTGCCAAAATTTGTGCGCACATTTGCATGCTCGCACTCGTGTGTCAGCACCCAGAAGGCAATGCGCTCCCCCACATCCCCTATGCATGCACGCACAATCACCCACCCACCCATCCCGCCACCCCCTTATCTGCACTGCGCCTCACAGGTGATTTTTGGCCAGTTTTAGGCCTTTTTTGGCCTCCCAAAGGCTTGAGGAAGGCTTCTGCAGACTTCTATAAGCTTTGTATGCCGAAATCTAGCCCCGTTTCATCACTTCTGGTTTTTGGGAGGCCGAAAAAGGCCTCAAACCGGCCAAAAATCAGCTGTGAGGCGTGCACATGCACAGTGAGGTAAGTTTGCCTGCAGCTCGCGTGCCGGCACAAATGGCTCAGGTGGTACGCATGCCGTAGGTTCGCCATCACGGGTCTAGTGCTTGGGGAGAAAGATGTCTTAGTTTTAAACTGTTTTATGGATTGTTGTGGGCCATCAAGGGTCATTGTATGAGTTAGGCAGCCATATAAGTCCTGTAAATCAATCGTTTTTGTCTAGTATACTTTCCTCAGGAAATTTGTGTGATGAACACACTTCTACGTTTGCTGCTTTCTGAAGCGCTGCTCTCTGAATTTCTGCGTCTGTTTTTTATGCATGGAAAACTTTAACATAACCAATTGTGTCCAATAGGAGAGGGAATTAGTTGCTCATTGGGAATATTTCTTGCTGTCTTTGGCTTCTTTACAGTGCTGCCTTGTTGCATATGGATCAAGCAGCATTGTACAGGGCTATGAAGACACTAAGTACTGCTTCACTGTAAACAATGGTTGAAATGTATTAAACCTAATACATCAGAATTTGAGGAATGGCCCATAGTATTTTTGTGTATGCAGGATTAAGATTATAGGGATATGTGAAAACTATCTGATGTCATTGCCCAAAGTTTACTTTGGTCTTCCATTGTGGGTACAGTTACACTTAATAAAATGCAACCAAAATTTATAAAGCAATTTCAAATTAAAAGTGACTCAAAGAGTTACTCAGAGGTTTGAGCAAATTAAAATGTCTTGGCTGTATGAAATACTGTTCCCCACAACCATATCTCTTCTTTTCTGGACAAATTCCAGAACAATTTAAGTAGGAAGTGATATTTTTCTCATATTCATACTGGTTCAAATTGGATCCAAACTGTATTTTTACCAGGAGAAGCATTCCCTGAGCTGAGTTCTATTCAGAGAGTATATGAAAGTGTCAAAAGATTTACATGGTTCAGCTTCCCTGCAACCCGTTATACTAACTGCAGATCTACTGTGGAGATTTGGGACAACTTATAGAAGAGAGTATGATATGGTCTGGGAATAGAGGGAGATGGAGAATTGACAGAAATCTCAATTTCTCTCAACGGGATTAAAAGACTTCTGAGAAGGAAAATACTGCTTTTATTCAAATAAGAAAATATCTGTGTCCAACTCATTGACGGGTCTGCATGTGCTTTAAATGGGTTGTTATGTGTATAAATTGATAAATTACTACAGTTAAATAAAATGTAGGTTGTCCTGGAACAACACCTGGCAAAAGGCAGTATATAATTTTAGTATGTAAAATAAAATAATTCTACTGAATATAACACATAAACTTTGGGACTGTGCACATTTATCTATGAATAAATCCAGAGAGAATAGTTACTGGAAATTGTAGTTTAATTTTTTTCTTCCACTTCAGAGAGAAAATTTGAATTGCTTTTGATTATGTTCAAGAATAGAAATATCTATTGCTTTTTTTTCCTTTAGAAAATAAACCGAGTTGTCTTTGTTGGTAACTTTCTACGTGTGAATACTTTATCAATGAAGCTTTTGGCTTATGCACTGGATTACTGGTCCAAAGGCCAGTTGAAAGCTTTGTTCCTTGAACATGAGGTATGCATCAATCATATCCTTTTTTTACATATCTTTACATACATATCGAATGTTCAGCATCCTGTAGTTATTTTTATATTGGGGGAAATACACTTCTGAAGAGAACAGTAGGGTTCATTACAAAGTTTTAGTAAACTTCTCTATTAGCGGTATGTTTGGGAACATGTATTTATTTATTTGATAGATCTATTTCCCATCTTTTCTTCAGGAGCTCACTGCTCACACCCTCCCATTCCCCTCCCACCCCCACCACAACAGCCATTTAAGAAAGGTTGAACCAAATGACGGATCGAAAGTTAACCAGTGAGCCTAGGATCTGGGAGTGCCAGTCTGTAATCTTCACCTGTGTACTATATTAGTTTTTTGGAATCATACTCTTCAAAATCTTGTTGGATGCAACCCCGTCACAATTGAACTCATTTATTTATCACACTTTTATGCTCACCCTTTTATCAAAAAGTGATTCTGGCAGTGTGCACCAATTGAATAACACAACAAATACATAAAAGCAGATGCCAAAACATATAAAATGTCATTATTAAAAATGAAAATATTATTAGCATTTTAAAATATATAGACAGAGTAAAAATATTCACCACCACTACAGAGCCATCTAAGAATGTCTCTAGTTCCCTAGATGCTGGAGGCTCTGGTGACCCTACAAGGTTTTGAGGGACTTCCAGAATGATAACCTTAATAGTATTCAAAGTGATTGGCTTATATTAAAATATGTTTCAGTTGCTTGAGAAAATATAGGTTGAAAAGAAAAGACTCAGAGATTGTCTTCTAGTGACTTCTTTCAAAATGAAAATGGAGTGGATGCAACCTTATAAGCCCTGTAAAGCACAACATCTCACAGTGAAATAGTATGCACAGATTTGATTTTCATGTAATCTTATATGCAATTTCTTAAATTGAGCAGTAAACTGAGCTCGGTCACCATCATGATAGCCTCTAAACTATATCCAAACAGGTTGGAAAGAATTTAGAATTGACAGTAAGGAGGTTTCCAGACAGAATTCCTTGCATAGCCCATCAAGGAAGTCCTGGGCAATTTTTTATATTTCTTTCCTTAAGACATTATCTCTGGTAGGAAAAAAAGATGAAAGTAGCTATAGATATATACAGAAGAGTTTTAAAGGGAAGATAATGTCCATTGGTACTCTCATACAGTTCTTTGAATAAAGCAGGTTAATTCTTTTTAAGACTTAATAGTTGTAATCTTGACAGAAAGATAGTGTGCAGAAGATAAAGAAGTCACAAATGTCCCAAATATTTATACAAGGGAAAGGAAAAATGATTTTGCTCATACTTCTGTATATTTTTTCAAAATTATCAAAGATAATGAATGTGTCACCAAAAACTGAATTGTGTAAAATCTTCTTTTAAACGCAGGGGTACTTTGGAGCAGTTGGTGCCCTTCTTGGATTGCCAAATTTCAGCTGAAGCTCAAAGCACCACAATACTGAATGGTTCTCTACCTTTCTGGCATTATTACATATTGTTTTTATATCAACTGGAAGAGCAGAAGGGCTGCAATCTTTCTATAAATGTCTTTCACTGGAGGATAAAACTATCTCATTGTTGACATCTGGGTGCTCCTATAAAGAAGCACATAGTAGGGGAGTTGATACGGCATTCTCTAATCCATTTCATCAACATTCTCCAGCTTGGTGCCCCTTCTAATTTGTCAGCTGGTATAGTGGTTAATTATGCTGGTTGCAATACACAAATAAGGGGCATCCAGCTGGGAAATGCCATAATAGACATTTAATATTCAGCATGTGTCTTAAACTCAAAGGCATAATCTTAACTGTCTAGATCCTTCAATACTAACCCTGTTTTGCTTCAAAACTATTCTTAAGCAATTGGGATGTATGTAATTGCACAAGGCTTGACGTGGCCTTGTGTTCAAGAGTTCATTTAGATTTCCAGTCAACTCTAAAACTGATTTTAGCCATGAATGAAGAAAGGATCTTTGATGCAAGGTATTGTGTTTCAATGCAAGTATTTACAGCATGTTGAAATACTTATTCAGGCATCAGTGTTAAGTTTCCAAACATTAAACGTAAAAACATCAGAAACGGTTTTGTACAATTGATTTAATGAATTGAACAATCAAGAATGTGTGTATAACTACCAGTGGTATAAACCAGACATTACTTTCGCAGTTTCAAAGGATGACAGGAAAAAAATAAAACCCATGTATCTCAGAATTACTGCTGTAAACAGTGCCAGCAGATATGACTGAAATCAAAGCAGCAGTGGTGTGGCAAAGGCTGGAAAGGCAGATCTTAATAAGATGCCTTTTGATGTGACTTCCCAACTCTAAGAAAGTGAGTGGATCTCATGGAACCTCTATTGACTAAGAATACTAAGTTGGGACTAGGTTGTGTCCTTAAACCATTGTGGCAGCTATAGAGGTTGAACTGCAGAGTCAACAGTTCCAGTGTTCATTGCACCCTAGTAAACTGTTCCAGTGGTGCAACAGTGTGGCCTTGAGATAAACTCCTATACTTACTGTACGGCACTTCGGATACAATGGTAAAGTTTACAATAGTGGCATATTTAATAGACTGCTGCAACAAAGCTTACCATAAGACCTCAGCAAAAAAGAATAATCTCAGAAAAGAAACTTTCTATGCACAAGGACGTAATTATTGTATCCTGAAGGAATATGCAGTTACCCAATCCATGAATTAAAATTTTCTAGAAGGGAATCTACCACTGACTAGAATTCATCTTGAGTTTTAGGTACTGCTTATTTTACTTGATCAAGATGATACACTATTTTGGCACATGAATATTTGACACAGCAATATCTATATGAAAACAATTCCAGCATTCTTGGAAGTTTGGTTGGTTTAGGTGGGTTTTTTAAAAAAAATCATTTGTCTATAATTATATTTCAATGTGTTAATAATTGGTTTGTACTTTATAGCAATCACCTAAAATATTTTTGGTTTTTAGAACTTGGAAATAATCTCTTTATAGCATAGGGCAACATCCAGAAATTTGTATGTACCTCACTGGTTTGAGGAAGTCAGAAAATACAACTTCAGTAAAACAACTCATCATAAAAACATTATAGTTGATTATTTTAATCCCAGTCTATTTTACAAACTATGATTAATTCCCAATTCATACCAGGAAAGTAAAAAGCTATTGTTTTTCATTTTGAGTTTTGAAACAATAGAAGTGAACAGTTAGACGCCTTTTGTGTTGTGAAGAGACATTTTTGGCACTACTAAAAATGATTTATCATACAATGTTTTTTAATTCAACAGGTTTACATCATGGTAACATCATAGGTTTGGAATAAGTCCCATAAATGAATTCATTGGCAATTATTATGTTAGACAATTTCTATTTTTATTTTTGCATTATGTAATTGCATTTGTAAGAATAGTGCTTTTACAAAAATGCCATTGCAATGTTACAAAATTCTGCCATTGTTCATGTGAATTCATGCTGTTAGCAACCTCATTTAGCACTATTGCAAGAGCTTTCTTGGTTGAGAGCAACAGAGATTTCTCCTGAAAAGATAAAGGAACACTCAGCTTTTTGAGGAGAGAAAAAAATGTTTGGTAAACCAAGAGGAGGGACATTTCTTTTTTTTCTCTCCTTGAGAAATTCTGAGTGTAGTGGCTCTTAAATCCCAACAGTCACATGAGTGCCTTAAGGTTCCTTTTAGAGTTTCAGTGACATGTTGAGCTTTTCCTGGCTTTGAATATTGGCAGCTTTCAAACAAAATTCACCCATGATAGTGCATTTTTTCTTTTTTCCCCATTTTATTTTCAGTTCTAACAGTCCCAGAGTCCTTTCTGGTAGTTAACAATGTTCTACCTCTATCCTTAGGGGATAGATTGATTGATTGATTGATAAACTCAATCTCTTAAAATAAGAGAATGTTGGCTGCTAAGGAGACAGTTTTTATTTCTTAAACCAGATCATATTTGTAGTGTGCTGTTGGAGCTAATAAAATTTTTAAAGAGTATTCCATTAAAGTACGGTTGGGTAAAGTTTCTCAAATGATCATCCCTTATTAAACTACTGAATTAGAGCATTAATGGACCAGTTTTTCCCCTTACATTCCTTGAATTAGTTCTCATTTTTATGTTGCCTTTTTAAGCATTCCATGAAAAAAACAAGATTGTATAAAAACCCGATCACTCTTTTTATCCATTTCAGAATATAACAAGAGTGATCCCGTTGATTTGTTATAAGGTTGTAGTGTGGATTGATTGCACAGTCTTTTTGAATCTCACTGATCAAATGAATTGAGAGTAGTGTGTTGGTCCTTTTCACTGTACTGCTCCTTATATCTTCAATAGTAAGATTGTTTTATGACCATTCGCAAATTCTTTATAATGCTTAGGATTGGCAAATTTAGTGCTTTGCCAACACCAAGCATTATAAAACCTTATAATTTGGCAATGCATATAAAATCGAACTGCATTTGATCAGTGTTCCTTATGTGTTTTGGATTTGGTTTGTAGGGTGCAATTAAATGTTTCAGGTTTAGCATGATGTAATTTAAGGTGATCATCTCCAAAACATGCACCAAAACATTGTTAGTATCAACTGTAGGTGTTTTTTTTTTGTTTTTTGTTTTGCAATATTCTTTCTTGGATTAGATAGATGTATTAAAAGGGAAAGAATCATGCCCATTGAAAGACTGAACAGCAACATGCTAAATTTTAATGTGAGTGTACTTCTATTACACTGTTCTTTAAAGTTAAGTGTTTGGATTTTTTTTTAAAAAAAGATTTTACTTAGAACCAGTTGAATGACCACTCTCCTAAATACTAATTAATTGTTTCGTAGATAGTATATTTATAATTTAAATGCTGAATTCAATATATGTTTTACTAGGTAAATTACATAATTTAGAATTAGCTTTCTAAAAAGTCAGCCTCCTTTTAGGATTTAGTATTTTTGTTCTTAAATGGAAATTAATGCTGTATGGATGGTAGAATTTTAGGAAGTAGATAGGGATTATGACTATAAAGTAATCTTCCATTAAAAGTAACACCTTTCACTTCCATTCTAATGAGCTATACTAAATCTAGCTTTACTTTTAAGTATAGAATTTTGATAAAACACAATGAATGTTCATACTTCTTTGATACTTCCCCTTCTGCCTCCCCCACCCCATCCTTGTCATATGCATGTTACACAGTAGCCTCAACTTATTTATGCCTGTTGTAAATTAAAAGTGACTAAGCTTTTGCATTGCAAACCTTCTGTTTTGGGGAAACAGATCCTTCCTCAGTTCAGAAGTGACCTCCTTTTAAGTATGTTGTAGAATGCATTGCAGCACAATATGTGTTCTTACTCGAAATAATATACTTTATATTCTAAATGGTTAATCGGAAATCAGTAGGAAAGCTTGCAAGCAAGCATTCTTCTTGGTAAACACCTTACTAATTATGTTATGTTAACACCTTACGTTAATTTTCCTTAAAAATTAATACTTTGGGACATGTTTGAGATGCAGGAAGTATCCCTCTTGGTCAGTTGTTGGTCACATGATTGACATGCATTAATTGATCTATTTCCAAAGGTTTTGCCAAATATTTGAACACAAGCCTTATTTCTACAAGTGGTGATGATTCACATCTCTTACCACCTTTGCTGTGTATTTTGTGCATAGGGGACAAGTGGAGAGGAATCTAGAAAGCTGCCTTTATTAATTCAAAATGTTCTCCATCTTATTCAGTATTACCAACATGGACTGGCAACATTCCTTGTTGTGTCAGGCAGGTGTCCTTATCAGTTTTACTGGAGATTCCAGGGAATCAACCTGGGACATTGGGGTATTGTATAAAGCAGCTCCTCTACTCTTCAGCCACAGCCTCTGGGTTACTTGAAAATAAATTATAAAAGGAGTGCCTCAATTACTTAACCACAACTAGAACTTCTCATGAAACATAAGGCTGAGAACATCATAGCTTTGTGCGCCCATGCTATGGGAAAGTTAGATCAGCTTGGCTCTACAGTATTTTTATCCTTGGTATGATGGAGGCCAATTTGATACAGGACAGAACTAGTGCTGCCTTAGCTAAATAGGAAAGCAACAATCTAGAACTCTATTACTCAGTCGTACTCTTTGAATTGTACTGGACTACATTATGACAAAGCAGAATTCAGTTTTGGGTTGTGCAACATGTGCCCAAGCAGCTGCTTATACAGTAACACCTGGAACTTCTTTTAATAGGAGTTTAGGAGAATGAGAAAGAGAGATACAAAGCTGTGGAAAGGAATTCTGGTTAGTTTAAAGCAGCTTTTCGCCTTCCAGATGGGTTAGACTGCGGCTCCCCTTATTTCCAAAGTTTGAACTCTGGGTTATAAACAAAGAGTATTAAAAATACCCTGGCAAGCCCCAATTCAGACAATTTAGCCAGAGGAAAGGAGTGTGTGTTTGTGTGTGTAAGCACATGAGTCCTGTTCCTTGTTTGTACTAAATCACATTCAACTGTTAAAACAGAAAACTTGCAGCAGTACTGGAATTGATCCTTGGAGTTACTTTTATGTACTAAACAGTTAAGGGTCCTAAATAATGAAATAACGGTTACCTGAAGTATTAGCCAATAACTAGGGGAAAAAAACACTGTAAACAGCAGTCTCTTCTATTCTCTCTCCTTGCTTTTTCTGCTTTCTTTCTACTTTCTGAGGGAAATGTGTAGCAAGATATAGGCAGCACAGCAGGAAGGATTAGGCCCTGGAGCTTCCTGAAGGGAGTGCAAAAACATATGCATACCTCCTTATGACTTTAGCATTTCCCTTTGGACAGGAGAAAGTTCCCTGCAGAAGGGCAGTTCTTTATTTGGCTACCCTAAATTCTGCCTTGGATTTCTTTCTCCACAAGTGACCCAAAGAGAAGTGGGTACATTCAAGGAGGCAGCTACACTGGTAGATGCTGCTGCTGCTCTACTACTCTTTCTTAATAACTCATCTGCCGATTCATCCTAGTCTTTGGCATTTTAGAAAGAAGGAGGGAAGGAAGGGAAAAACAATATCAAGTTGTGAAAATGAACTACTTGGGCCTAGTCACCATTACCACCAGGCCACTGAGCGAATGAGATGATGTAGCTGCTTCTCTGATACTCTCTTTTGCTTAGTGTATTTTGCGCCCTCTCTTTGTTAAGATGTCCTGAAGGTAGGTAGAAATATGACATAAGCATGCTTTATCAAATGCTTGTTAAAAGTCAAATGTAGATAAGACCCTTAGTAGCCCTAGATGAGCGGCATGGAAAGAAACTAAAACAATCACAAGTGAGTCTAACATAAAACTATTTCTCATCGTCTTATTTCAAGCTCTGTATCTTGTAGTGAGGAATTTGTCATAAAACGCTGTAATTAGCATATGTATGATAAAACACACAATTTTATTTCCAGAGTTACAAAAAAGAATTGTTCTTGGGTTCATCAATCATTGTAGTTCAGGTGTGTTTGCGTAAAGACCATGATTTAACCAACATATCCCATGTTAATTGAATCCATTGCTGTGTTCCCTACCAATTTTTATTATGAAAACAATTTTTAAACTTCGTGTTGTATTTTGGTTAAACCTATCATTCCTAAAACTTACTAAAATTGCAGACAGAGATTTTTTGGAATCAGAATGAATTTAACTTTTTATTTTAAGCAGTGAAAAGAAATGCATTTTAAGCAATAGTTAACATGCTGCAGTTAGTGATAATTACTAAGTGTTTTTTAAATGAAAGTTTTATAGATGGCCTAGTTTCAATATTCAAGACACTTTAATATCCATGTTATTTGGAAATAGAGAAGATAGTCTTCATATTTCCCAGCAAAGTTGGCATTTTAACTTTTTTTTAAAAAGGAAAAAAATCCAAGTGTCTCAAATTGTACCTAGAAACTCCATGACAAGCTCTTATTTCCAAAATGTATGTATAATATACTGTGAGAATCATTTCCCATATATTGCCTTATTTTGTTGCAGTAAACTTACTGTCTAGGCTTTTAGGATTCTGACAATGGTGTAAAAATGTATGTTTTGCAAATTTAAATCATACTTACTAAATTATTTAACATATCTTTTGTAAAGTGTTTAATTTATTTTTAATGTCAAGGCTTTTCTGTATTGTTTTCATGCAACCAAATAATGGAAACCTATGCTGCATTCATTCCCATCAAAATTGTATAAAAATTCCTGACAGCTTGCATGAGTAAATGTGAAATCTAATTTTGTTGTTCAATTATGGGCTTTTGTGTGTTTTCCCAGCTTTAGTGTTCTGTAGACAGAATTTTATTTTTTTTCTAAATAAAGTTGAATGGACTCTACCATATTTGATTTAATTTGTTGAAGGTATTAATAAAGGGGTAACAAATCTAGCTAATGTTTAAGAAGAAAATAAACTTGACTTTGGTGGATAAAGTCACAGCAACAAAGAAGTACTGTAATCGTCCTGAGAGAAAGAATAATTAAGCTATCACCAGGGGTGGGATTCAAACCAGCATTACTACTGGTTTGGTAATTACGTTTTGCTGCGCGCACATGTAATACACCATAAGCTGTGCTGCCCGGACAACTGATAAGTGCTGCTTGTGGGTGCGCAGCATTTGAAAAACCACTTTTTTACTGCTTTTTCTACCTCAGCTGTGCCGTGCAAAGCAGCTGAGGTTGAAAAAGCAGGAAATAAAGGACAGGTAAGAGCCTAGGTGGGCGGTTGGGCCAAACAGTAGCAAACACAGAACCGGTTCTGTGTCTGCTGCTCTTCAGAGCTGCCGATTCTATAGAGGCGGGCAGAACTGGTAGCATCCCACGCCTGGCTATCACAAAGGATTGTTTGGTCTAATCTTCGTAGCATTTTTTCTTATTTTTGTCATATTTTATCAGTGACTCTTACAAAGAGTGTGTACAAGCAGGTAATGAAATCTGATAAAAGTATTACAACATTTGTTTGGTTTTTGCTGCTTCGGATTTTGGACTATGACTTTTAGTTACTTGAAGTTTCAAGTCCCTGCATACCTAGCCCTCTCTTCACCTTATCTAGTTCCATAACAAAGAGTTAGGTTTGGTAACAAGGTTTTCATTTCTGTGATCTTTTTTTTTTTTTAAGTGTGTAAAAACACATCATGGCCAATAGGTGATCTTTATGTTCCTGCAAGCAGGAAATCAGGCCACTAATAGATAGTCATAGTCACCTGCTCTCACCCTTAAAATAACACTAGGAATGTGCTCGGGCTCATCCTGAAATTTAGCATTTCAGTATCATGGAATTCTAAAAATATATCTTTGAGGCATTCAGATGTACATTCCAATAACAACAGTCTGAAATCCAGTAATTAGTAAGTATAGGCAATCACTGAATTGAAGATCAGCTTTTTAACCAAACCTTTATTAAATTTCAGAAAAAAATATGCAAAGAGAAAAGAATTAAAAAGTGAGGAGGCTAGGGAAAAAGCAAAATTGGGATGTGCAGACAGAGGAAAAAGGTATATAAAAAAGTAACTCCTGACTTGTAACTTGAATCATCATAAAGAAGTCTAATCATCGGTACCTAAGATTAGGGGGCTTTTTTTTTTTCAGTTTCAACCCCAAAATCCAAGAGTGGTTTCCAAGTAGAAATGAAGCTACATAAAAAAAGTATTTTCTTTAATCAAAGCGGTCTTTGTCATCTCCACTAACTACATTAATTTCACCTTTCTTCTATTGTGGTATATGAGTCCTTCCATCCCTGTGCATAAGAGAAGCCTTGCTGCTGTTGTCTTACGTAAGAACAAAGTACCATGTTCTTATTTTTATCCATCAAACCTAAAAGAAAAACCTCTGACTTCAGTTATACATTCAGTTAAAGAATTCTCTGACGTAAAACACATATCTGATTCCAATAAAGTCTTCGCTTTCTCACATGTCCATCAGAGGTGATAAAAAATGCCTTCAGGTTGCATACATTTCCAACATTTGACACGTTTGACAATTTATCAGGCATTAAATGCCAAAAGTACACCTTATAAAAATTCTGTTTCAAGTTATAATTCAGAGTTGAACCTTAACTTTTATCTGCATTTTTACTTACCAGTTTCTTACACTGACCTCTCACTAGAAGACCTGATTTTCTTATAGAGTCAAAATAATTTTTAAGGATAAAGTAGTTTGCTTCACTGGGTAGAAAACTGACTTGTCTTTTGGGGGAATCTTTTCTGCTTCTGACTTTGTCCTGGATGAAAAGATTGCTCTGGGAACACATGGGGCTAAGGTGTGGTGAGAGAACTTGGTCACCAGCATCTCTTAACATCAGTAGGCTTTAAATATGCCCCCTTTGAAGGTCATCCTTAATTCCTGACTTCTCCATGTAGGGTTGGATTTTTTTTTTAACCTGAAATTCTGTTGTGCTAAAAGGTAAACAGATACAAAGAGCCTAAACGTTTCTTTGCAAACATGGGCAACATTCAAACGGCGGCTACTTGTGGAAAGATGAATTTCAACAGAGACAAATGCCAAGTCCAACATTTGGATAGGAAAAATCAAAGCCATGCATATAGGTGGTGAGTGGACAGGATGACATACTGGACAACAGTACTCAAAGAATTGGCATTGCTTGGTCACAAACTAGACATGAGCAACAAGAGAGATTCAACCTAGAAATAAATTTTCTGACAGAACAATCAACCAATGGAAGTTGTGGGAGCACCATCTGTCAGAAATGATGTAGGATCTCCTGCTTGGACAGGGGTTGGACTAGATGACCTACAAGGTCCCTTCCAACTCTGTTAATCTGATCTAGTTATCTTTTTTACGCATATACAATAGAACAATGTTATTACCATAATAGTAGCATTAACATATTGATCGCATTGCATCTACAATAATATGCTGGTTCTGGGTATTGCATTTTAAGGAGGACATTGAAAAATCCCTTGAAAGAGCATCACTATAACATTTGAGAATTCTGTCTTAATGCTAGTGAGAAACGTATTTTTAGCAACCAGTTTTTAAGTTCATGCCTGTCTTCATTTCATATGTAATAAGGGAAATACTTCAAATTATTTTTTTAAAATGGACAGTTCAATTTTGATGTTGCATTAGATAAACAATGGATTAGTTAGGTAGGTAAATAGATGATAATTTTGTTCGTTATGAAGAAAATTTATATAACTCATGGTGATTGGGTAGCTGATGGAAGTAAAATTCCAAATACAAAACCCTCCTGTGATAAGTCAAGCCATTTGATGGGCTTCATACCACCCCGGGGTCCCCAGTCTTACTGGCAAAACCATATCCATGGACTTCATAAAGATTTATCAAAGGGAGAGGTAGTCTTACCTTTCCAAGGATGAGGCAGCCACTACAGAGAGGACCCTTCTTTGTCCCACTAGGCCTACTTAAAGAGTATCTATAACACCCCCTGCCTTTCCACTCTGGTGGGTGTGTTCGGTAGATGTAAATGGGAAAAGATGGTCTTTGAAATCACCTGCCTCCAGGCCATCTAAGATTTTAAAGGTGACAACCAGCGCCTTGAAATGGACCTGGAAGCAAATCGGCAACTAATGCAGCTCCTGCCAGAGATGTGATCCATGCAAATCCTGACTTGCAAAAAAAACATGTGGGCTGTGTATTTTGAACCAAATGGAAGCTTCTGGATATTTTTAAAGGGCACCCCCCCAGATACTTCACATATATATAAAAATATAGGACAAGTGCAAAGCAGGTTGACATATATATTTATTCCCATTCTTGCATGGGAAATAATGTGTCAATGCTAAGAACAGGCCCAGGGCATAGCCAAATGAGTAAAAGAAGTAACTTTATTGATGGATCATGTCAGATAAAGGTAATATTGTGTGTGGGGGGGGGTTCCTCTCAGCTGTTCCTGTAGAGATCAAAGCCCATCTTGGTGCAACGTTTCTTCGTGGAGATGCTGCAAGATTCAGCTGAAGGGTCTTTTATGTCTAAAACAACAAATGTGTCATAAATCAATTACGCAGATTTATGTACAAATAGATACAGAATACAAGAAGTAAGTATTTTCTTTCTTTTGAATTTCCAGACAGAATGCTGGCCCTGTTGAGGTGTTTCAACCTTCTTTATATCTCAGACATTTCATGTTTTAAAAGTATTATTTTGTCCACTTGTTTGCAAATCAAAGCTTTTTACATGTGTGGTGCTGGACTGTTGCATGCTTCTGTGTGTGTGTAACATGTGCTATGTAGCAATAGTAATAGTACTTAGACTTATATACCACTTCACAGTGCTTTACAGCCCTCTCTAAGCAATTTTACAGAGTCAGCCTAGTCAGCCTATTGCCCCCCCAAACAATCTGGGTCCTCATTTTACTGACTTCGGAAGGATGGAAGGCTGAGTCAACCCTGAGCCTAATGAGATTTGAACTGCCAAATTTTGCAGGCAGCCGGCAGTCAGCAGAAGTAGCCTGCAGTACTGCACTCTAACCACTGCGCTACCGCAGCATGTAAAGTAATGGGAGATGGAACAAACTGACAAAGATTCTTCTACCTTTTTCAACACAACAGAAACTGTGGCACCCAGGGAAATGTAAAGAAGGTAGGTTCAAAAGAAAAAGAAAAGAAATACTTCTCAATGTAAAGCACCTTAAACTAGGAGGCTCTCCGCCTCCTAAAGTAGTGATGGCTCTCCTGTCCTTTGGGAGATGCTGTTGTATTCATTATCTACCTGTAGCTTTCACTTAATTATCTGGTGGACCCAACTGCGAAGTTGGAGGTGTTCTTATAAAGGACATATTCCATAGAAATAAGAAATGATTTGTCTACGCACCATGAAAGAGGTGCAGAATAAATTAGCTTCCAGCAGGAGTATTTTATACAGGGAGTCAACTTACAAACGTATGTTTAGCAACTGTTCAAAGTTACAGCAGCATTGAAAAATGAGATTTATGACTAGCACTTACATTTATGACTCATAGCAGCCCCAACATTCAGGCATTCGCAAATGGCATGATTGCAGCATCACCAGATTATGTGATCTGTGATCTCCATTTACCACCTTCCCAGTCAGTTTCTGACAAGCAAAGTCAATGGAGGAAGCTACTTAATGACCACATAGTTCACTGGAGAAGTGCAGTAATTCACTTAACAACCAAAAGACTGTAGAATCTAATGTGACTCAACAACTACCTGACTTAGCCACAGAAATTCTGATCCCAATTGTGATTGTAAATTAAGGACTACCTGTATTGTAAGTGCCAGATGCTACTGTTCAAGGGAATTGTCATGCCCCTGGTGGAGACTGACTCTGAGGGAGAGGAGGAACAGCCGACAGGGAGTGGAAGTGTGACTCCGGAGGTTGTGGTGGAGGCTGGGGAAGGGCAGAGGCCGGCTGAGCAGTCAGAGGAGGACCCAGGCCTATCCCCTCTCCATCCTAGGGCACGCAGGGAGGAGGGGATAAGGGAGAGATGTGGTCTACTCGGGAGGAGAGGGCCTTGATCCTCTTCATGGGCTGCAGCTGTGACAACTGAATAAGAGGACGGACATGCATACGGGCGAGCGCTGGAAACAAAGCGTGTAAATATCTCTAGTTTGTAGTTCTTCTCTGAGTTTGACGTCCTTCCCGGTGTATGTTATCTGTGGACATCCTCCAGCCCTTGTCTTGCCTGGCTTGTGTTTTTTCCTTCTTCGTGTAACTGTTTGTGTGGGAGTATTTTTTGTCTTCCGTCAAAGATATTCGTAACTTGGAAGCAAAGTGAAGGAATAAAAGGGGCTTCACCTGTTTTCTGTGACTGTTTGTTTTGTATCCCACCCTGGGTCATCACAGGAACATATATTTCTGTAAACATGTAGATAACATCTATTTGATTAATTCCGGGAGTTACTATTTTAAAATTAAACCTTGGTTAACCAAACCAAAGAAGACAGTCGCGAGGACTGGAAATTCCCCATTGCACGGCTAGAGGCACAGAAATTAAGGGGAAGATCCAAAGATTTCATGAAGAAGACAATTTTAAAGAGAGATGGAAGGGGAAAAGCATACTGGAAAGCAATTCCAAGCATAAGGGACAGCAGGAAACTTGTTGAGAAAGTCATCTTTGTGAAGCTTAACTATGACAATAGCTGGGCTTGCCATTCAAAACTGTTCAGAAACTTAAGCTAGCATGGAATGTAAGGATTTAATTATAATTGGACAAAATATTATTCATCCTCACTTCATTCAAACCTTTTTAGTCCCAGTTTAACACTTTTTATCTATGTGATCTGAAAAATAGGAAAAACACTTCTGCTAGCTATTTGTGCCTTACACTTTCTTACACACAAGCCCATCTTTCTGTCTCTCTACCTATCTCTGCCATGCAAAAAGTAGACAGAAGGAGATATGATTCAAAAGAGATCCTTTTGGCTAAAGTTAGGATTGAAATCATCAGTCAATGCCCAGCTGTCACAATCATCCTGTGATTGAATCAGTTTAGATTTTTTTTTCTTGGTCTTTTGCTGGGGGGGGGGGGGGGGGGGGGGGGGGGGGGGAGAGAGAGAGAGCATGCACAAACTTAAAGCCCCCAAAATTAATATTAAATTTTCCTAAAAACAATTTTAAATAGAAACCCCATTTTTTAAAATGTGACCACAATTACTGTGCATGTTTGAAGAAGTGAGGAAGATGAGAAAAATTAACAATATTTTAATTTTATCCATAAATAAAATAAACATGATCACATTTAGTACATATTACAGTGATTGAAATTAATACAAATGTAAACATGGTAAAAAATTATTTCATATAACAACTCTAAAATACATTAGATCACGTAAAAAATACATCTCCATACTTGTGTTTAAAATACTAGAGGAAAGTGCTTTTTTAAAGATATTGCCATTTAATATTAATCCAGAGCATCAAGTTTACTTAAATGAAAATAATTCCTAGCACATTTGAGTTCTTTCTATTACAACGTACCTCTGGTTGAGATTTAAAATTAACTCCGTTTGAGTTGCTCTATTACATTATTTCTCAAGTCCTGCAAGCAATTTATTCTAACCCTTGTCATACATTGACATTCCATGACCATGCTATATGCACTGTATCTATGAAATTGAACCTGGGTATTTTGTTACCAAAAGATGCACTTCAGTTGCAATGTTGCCTATTCTGAAAAAAAAAAGCTAATTTAGCATAATGACACTTACAGTAAACGAATGCACTGGGATGTATTTGATTTTGTATTTCGGGAGCAGACAATCTTTTCAGGCTAGTGGATTTATTGGCAATTTCAACAGTATTGCAGATGATTTCATAGAATGACTGCATGGATGGCTGTTATGGTGGAGAGTTCTATCTGTTTCCCACTGCACATTCCAACTTCAAGGTAGCAATAGCACTGAAGACTTATATGCTGCTTCACAGTGCTTTTACAGCCCTCCCTAAGCAGATTACAGAGTCAGCATATTGCCCCCCAACAATCTGGGTCCTCATTTTACTGACCTCAGAAGAATGGAAGGCTGAGTCAGGATCAAATTGCTGGCAGTTGGCAGAGTTAGCCTGCAATATTGCATTCCAACCACTGTATCACCACGGCTCTTATCATTCCAGTAAATTTATGGCAGGTTGTTTTTTGTTTTGTTTTGTATTAGTTAATCTTTTTTCAGGGCAAAGGTTTAACTAAGCACCTAACTAATATAATTATCATTTTTGAAGAATACCTATGTTAGCTTATTTGGAGCTTGGAATATATTAGAATCTGCAGCATGTCTTTTAGAAACAGCACTTAGACTTATATACCACTTTACAGTGCTTCACAGCCCTCTCTAAGCGGTTTACAGAGTCAGTATATTGACCCCAACAATCTGGGTCCTCATTTTACCAACCATGGAAGAGTGGAAGTCTGAGTCAACCTTGAGCCGGTGAGACTCGAACTGCCAAATTGCAGTCAGCCAGCAGTCAGCCAGAAGTAGCCTGCAATACTGCACTCTAACCACTGCGCCCCCACAGCTTTTACTGCATTTCAATTTCAGTAATGATGTACAGACTCTGGCAAACACCAAAGCCACTGAGAATTAACATCCTTTGGCGCTCCTCAAATACTCCTCCACCTTTCCTATAATTTATTTCCATTAATTTCACAGCATTATTTTGTGTACCACAAGAGGAGCCTTTAAGTTCTGTAGGACCTGTAGACATACATACAAATCAATTCCATTGCTTCTCATTTTCTGACCATTAATCAACTCTAATAATAAAAGCTCCTGAGACTAGAGGCAAGTTTTCCCTTCTTGGGAACTACTTCTTCAAAAAAAAAAATAGTTTTGAATGATAAGGGTTGAGCCATTTTAAAGAAAGCACTTAATGTTTACATAGTAGAATAGCTTCCTGCAATTTAAAAAGAAACTATTGCATGTCCTATCCCTCTAAAAAAAATATGTACTCTCTCTAGAAATGAAGTGGGGAAAAAAACATTTAAATTTTTACTTTACATGTATAGTTTTTCCAGGCTTCAGAATTCATTGAAGTCGTACCATTATAAAGAAATACAAGTTATTATCAATGAAATCTATAACCAAAGATAATGATTGAATATTACAACACTGAACTTTGATTTTATCGAACAAGTATGTCTCAATCATGCAATTTTGATAGGCACCAGTTTAAAAAAAGTGGTAGCAATTATTTTATCTCTTTGCTATTAAATCTGGAGCAAATTACTTCATACATTTTGTTACAATCTATGCGCTACTTGGTATTGTATTTTAAATCAGTGATAAACTCTTACATTTATTTGTTATTTTTAGTGCATATAATCCTAAATCATCAGTGAAAATAAGAAACACACCATTATTCTGTTATATACTTCTGGAAAGAGTGGAAAAAACGAATAGATTTAAATCTAGCAGTGCTACACTATCTTGCCTGTAGTTTTGAATTATAATCATATTTCAGATGATCAAAAAGATACTCATACTGACCACCCTTTCAGATGAAGAATTTAAATCTTTCCATTTTCCCACTAGAATTTTATTTAAAAATAATTGGAAGACATTACAATGCTACACACATGTTCAGTTTGCTTTGCAGTATGTTCATGTTTCCATTATCTTGACTGTCCTCCAGAAAGTAATTCTTCTCTAGCTTTCAAAATGTTCCTTTAATCGCTTGCAGAAATTCTTGCCTTCCTTAAACAATGCGAATTTTATTTGAAGAGCCAGATTATGTGAGGTAAGAAAATGTACTGCTCATTTCTTTACTTAGACCAGAGCAAGCCATTCCAGATGTTAGGGCAGTGTTAAGTTCATAAAACAGCATTTAAAAGAACTGGAAGAAGTTGTGTTGGCAACCAACCCTCATGAGGTTGTCCCTGGAAAGCAAGTAGGATACTACTAAGTATCTGTCTCCATTAGTGTATTAATTCTATGAGAACTTGGGATATTCCTCATCTCATGGTTTAAATATTAAACAATTATAATTGTGTATTATGCAGGGATCCCAAATTCCCCTCTTTTACTGAGAGGCCAGATGGTCTTCCTTATGTTCCTTGCTCATTAGTTCTACCTTAGTGCTTCCAGCCTCCTAGGCTGCAAGTTCATGATCAATCAAACCGAGGTGGTGCAAATTCAGGAGAGAATCAGCAATAATTCGTGCAGTCCTCTTCTGGTAGCCCCCAGATGTCACCATCAGGATAGGGATTCTGTGCTTTCGAGCAGCTCTGAACACAATTTCATCTCTTTCTATAATGCCCTGGAAATTTACAACGTCAGTTGAAGCAGCAAATATTGGATTTCCTAATAATCAATTGTACAGGTCACAGTTTTACAATACTGCATGTACTTTACACTGAACTCTTTTGTGAATTAAATATAACAGTTACTAGCTGTGATTACTTGTGAGTCATTTACCATTAATAAAAAACCTAGGGGCTGAATAACAGCCAGCCAAGGAAATAGTTGAAAATGAATTCTTGAATTGCTGCATTCAGTGCATCAAAGTAAGTCCTTTCAGCAGCTACATGAGGTGCATTCTGACACAGTAAGGATGGATCACATCAGATCTGGCATGAAATGTTAAGCACTTTGTTTATTCTCTCTGTACCAAGCAGACAAGATCTCACTTCTTTGCAAAAATTTTATCTAACAGATAACAAATGCTAGCAGTGAAATTCTTTTTCCCCAGAACCATTCCAGGCAAAGCAGTAGGAAAATCACCAGAATTCTGAGAATAAAATCCAAGTTAAAGCATGCAGCAACACAAACCTAGTGCCTTTCTGTAACTCCTTAAACCAATTGCATTTTCCCCCAAGGCTATGTATATTAACTACAAAAGACAGGTGTGAATCCTGGAGAAAGACACAGCTGCTTTAAAGAGTTGCAGTCAAAGTACCTTCTTATGTTCCCATGCTCTTGTATTATTTTTGGAATAAAATTTGAGCACTACACAGTCCCAGTCAATAATTGAGGGGACATAGGGTATGTAGCACAAGTTAAAAACATTCAATAGTTGAGAGTAGAAACAAATAAAAGGAAATATTAAAAAATGAGATTAACTCAAGATGAAGTAGGGTTGTGCCAGGATATCAGAATAAATAATGAGGTGGGCGCCATAGCAACCAACGGAACAGCTTGCCTTCAGAAGCTGTGGGAGCTTCATCACTGGAGGCTTTCAAGAAGAGACTGGGCTGCCATTTGTTAGAAATGGTGTAGGGTCTCCCGTTTGGGCAGGGGGGTTGGATTAGATGACCTACAGGGTCCCTTCCAACTTTGTTAATCTAACCTAAAAAATATTTTGTGATCTACAAACCTCAGGTGAAATAGCTAAGCCTCCCAGAGGGTCGCCATCCAAAATATCAGTTCCAGCATTATAGATAATGATGTCTGGTCTCATTTCATTCAGTGCACCTTCCACATGAGTTTTTACTTTTTGAAGGTATTCAGTGTCTTCTGTACCCCAGTCCAATTCAACTCTCCGTTTTATGGCTCCTAATAATTACAAGGTTTATAAACAATTAAAAGGGGGTGGGAAGGATAAGGAATAAAGATAGAAAAATTAGCTTTTGATACATAGGATACATATCTTTTTAGATATATTTATGAGGAAACTGTTTAAAATAATGTAACTTTACAAATAAACATTAATGGTTTATTCTGTGAATAGGATTTTTGGGTTTTTTACTTTATTCATATATACTGTGGTGTAGGTTTCTAAACATTTACAGTGCAATCCTACAGAATTTACTTAGAAGTAACCCGCACAGATTGCAGTAAATTTTACTACCTACTTATAGGTTTGCAGTCTTAAATTATAATGATGCCTTTCATTCCTCAGGGAACAATATTAAAGTTTGAGTGTAAGAATTTAATGGTTACAAAGAAATTAGATTGTACCAATTAGATCATATCAATGTCAAAAACATTATCTACTTACGTTTAGCAAGTCCATCTCCTGGATAAATATACCTGTTGTAAACATCCATAATATATACTCTCCTGTCTTCCAAGAAGTCTCTTTCGTGTCCATTTCCCTACAAGTTAAAATAATAAAAAACCATTAATTAGGCCAAATCATTTCATCTTTGGTTCTCTTTTTAATATATGGGTTAAAAGAACTGCAAAGCAGTTTATGATAACAAAATGTGATTGTGTGGTAACATTACTGAAATCAAGATTAATTACAGCAAGTAGCTATTGTAGGATTCCTCTGAATAATTTTAATTCTAATAATTTTGAATTATTAGGCAATACTAGTTTGGCTTCTATGTTCAGGCCTGTAGACACATATAGCACACTTCCCAAATATGAATCTGGAAAAGCGTAGGGAACTACTGTTCTTCCATCCTAGATTTCTCCTTTTCACCTTTAAGACACTTTAATAAGATCATTTTTACTCAATGTCTGCAATTTTTAAGTTCCCTGGAGATGACAATTACTTATGGGTGGTCCTCACTTAACGATCGCTCACTCAGCAACTTTTCAAATTTGTGACTTTGGCGTTCCGACCATTCACAGCATCCTCGGGTCACATGATCACCATTTGCAACCTTTACTTTGCTTGTTTCTGACAAGCAAAATCAATGGGGAAGCTTGCAGGAGGTCGCCAACAGCAACCACATGGTGTCCTTGCTTAACAACTAGTGATAATTTGCTTAATGGTGGCAACTGGGAGTGCCAGAACTGCCATCATTAAAAGACCTATCACATCACATTGTATTTTATGATCACACTGCTTATTAGCAACAGCAATTCTGGTCCCAACTGCCTAATTAACTGAGGACTATCTATACTGCATTAAATGTTACTTGTTAAGTTTTGCTTTGTAAAAATAATCCTTAAAAAAACCTTCCGGTTGAGCAATTAGTTTCTTTATGGTAGTATGTCTCAGGACATTTTAATTTCATCACTCACCTGATGTGCATCCAGGTCGATAATAGTTGCCCTTGAAACTCCTTCTACTCTTTCAAATAAAAACTGAGCAAAATAAATAAAAAATAGGAAAGATAATAAATTTCAAAATTAAAACATACATTTTGAACAAGCTATGATCCTGTTAAAGAATTATCTCATACAAGGCATATATTGTGGGCTATTTATTTTAACACCATAATACAGAATATCCATTTGAAAACACTGCCAACATTTCAAACCACTATATATACTTTTATATATACTTTCAAATACTTTGGCCACCAAATAAGAAGAGAGGATTCACCAGAAAAGATCCTGATGTTGGAAAAGATTGCAGGCAAAAGGGGAAGGAGATGGCAAAGGATGGGATGGTTAGACAGTGTCATCAATGGAGTGAACATGAATTTGGGCAAATTCTGGGAAACGGGAGGACAGGGGAGTGGAGGGGGGGCTTGTGTGTTGTGGTCCATGGGGTTGCGAAGAGTCAGACACAACTTAGCAACTGAACAACGAAAGAGCAACAGCCATGACTTAACTGAGCAGGTTTAGTCATGGGTACTGCCTCAATCATCCCTGTTGATTTTTTTGGGCTTTTTTGTTTATAGTACAAAATTTTGTTGGATTCTGTACAGGATTTGGGAGGGGAGCTTTTGTGTTACTATCTCTGGCTCCTTCATTTACCAATAAAACCATTCAGTCTTAATCATAAGCACACGCAAAGACTTAACTCATGTTACAAAATTTGGTTTCCATCACATTTGTTGGTCAAGTTATGCTGTCTTAATTCATACACAATGCTAAACCAAAACCAAGTTACACACTACAATTACTGAGTTCACGGTTATACTAAACCAAAACAAGCCAGGATCTATGAACAGTCAAATAAATATGTGATAATTGTATCAGATAATATTGCAGGGAGAAATGAAGTATATAAACATTAATTTAATCCTTGGGGAAAGATACATCCTTAGAGAAGGATTATCTTATTTCCTGATCTCCCCAAGATGAGGAAAAATTCCATAATTATTTTCATTATATGAATTATTAAGAACAAAATCAGTTATAGATTCCACAGATGTAAGACACAGTTTTACAGTTTCTACCAAGTACCAATTTTTTGCTTACCCTTATAGTCAATGTAATATCAGCATATGCACAGAAGCCTCCACCCCTATCACTTGAACAGTGATGGAAGCCACCACCTGAAAAGGGAAGTAGAAAATCTGAAGTGTATCTATATATCTACAACTATACACACACACACACACAAGATGGCTGTAAGCAGATAAGAGACAATGAGATTATAGTCTATAATTAGTTGTGATAAAGAAAGTAAATCTAGTCCTACTTACCAATATTAATTGCCCATCCTCGCTCAATAGCCAGTTTCCCTGCCTTAAGATAAAGAGACAAAAAAAGAATTAGCTTAGGAGAAGTAGAGTCCCAAATAATTCTGCAAATGTTTAAGCACTGATATGAAATTAAACCTTTGCTATTTATTCAACCAGAATGCAAGGGATTTTGAATTTCAAAGTGAAATTTCTATTAACCTTTTTTTGGAAGAAGTTGAGAGATTTTTAAGGACTCAATGGGTGCCTTAAGCTTTTACAAGATTTAAGATGTCATTCCGTTTAATAAAGCCATCTCAAACACCCCCAAATATTAAAAAGGAGACAATATTTTTGGCCACCCCCACTGGACGAAGCTCTGAGGGCCATAACAGGTATCTTTTCACACTTCTTTGATGCCTTATATATTAAAACTGATCCAGTATGCTCACACCTTTGATTCAATTTTGATTCTAGGCAATTGCCTGGAAAGTCCCTGCAGTTTTCTTGGCCACCTTACGCTTACTTGTGCCTTGTCACCATGCGATGATAGTCTACCATGAACACAGAGGAGGGTGGTTGAGAGAGGGAATACTTGGGGAAAAACAAAAGTAAATGCTGTATCTCCTCTAAATGCTGCCTCAAGGTCACCCAGCTAGGAAAAGAAGGCAGCTGCATATACCAACCTACACTTGAATTGACCATTTTCAAAACATCTGGATCTGATTGGTCATCGGGAGAGGGGGTGTCAGCAATGTGAAGCAGTTAAGGGAGGGAGAAGTTGAACTTAGGGATTTTGGCACATGAGCCTCAGTTCTGGCTATGCACTACTATAATACACTTCACTTCTGATAACACTATACCTTTCTCAGCAATTGGAGCCTAAGATCATTTCTATTTAGAGGTTTAAGTAGTGGCAGGTCTAATGATTCAGTAACATATAGATTTGAAGCCTGAAATATTTTTATTAGGAATGGTATCTGAAGATTACAGTATAGAAAAAAAACATACTTAATTATACATGTATTAACAACAGCCAGAATTGTATTTGCTCAAAATTGGAAAAGTGATAAGATATCGATAGAAAAATAATTGAAAAAATATTTGAATGTGCATAAATGAAGAGATTAACATTAGAAATTAAAAGAAAAATCTGAATATTACATGGTATGGGACTTGTTTTATAAATGACTAGAAAATAAAATTAATTAAAAGGAATTAGACGTAATTACAAAGCAATAAGAGAAACTAGATATACTGAATATTATATGTATGTATGTATGTATGTATGTATGTATGTATGTATGGCATTCAGCTTTGTTCGGGTATTTTCCCACGTCATTGTAGTTGTGCTTTTAAAGTTGTAGCAACGTTTTGGCAGAATCTCATCTGCCATCATCAGGCTTCTGTATAGTGTTCATCTGTGAGTCAGACTTTTACAGTGGTTTCAGATTTAAATTTGGGGCAGCCTATTGCTGTGCCAGAATGGTTTTTTCTTCATCCTGATTGGTTGGGAGTCTTGGTCTGTGTTTATTGGTCTTGGAGTTTGCTGTGTTCTGCTTGATTGGTGTTTCTAATATTTTCTGTCTGTTTTTTGGCTCTTTTTGTATCTTGATTGGCTGGCAACATTGTGTTACTTTATTGGAGGCCTTTAGTGCAGCTTGGCTCCGGGTAAATGGACGGCTATCATTAGTTAGGAAGCTAGGTTTCATCTGGGTGCCTGGTTGGGGTGTGTTTGAGCTGGAGGTATCAGGGGGGATCTGTTTGTGCCCAGGTGTTTGCCTGACTTGTGGTGTGGAGATTTTTTTGTTTGTGAGTGCAGGCTTCCAAATGATTGACAGTCTGGTGGAATCATCTCTTCTATTCATGCTTTCTGATCTTTTTTCAATCTCTATGGCTTCTCTGATTATTCTGTGGCTGGGGTTTTCTATAGTGGCTAGGGTTTTGGTGCCATTGAAGTTGATGCTATGACCTGTGGCTTCCATGTGTTGGACTAGTGAGGAAGTGTGTTCCAGCTTTTTGACTGCATTTTTGTGTTCATCCAGGCGGGTACTTATTCTTCTATTGGTCTGTCCAATGTATGTGGCCGGGCATGATGCACAGGGACTTCGTATATGCCTTGGTTTTCCAGGTCAATTTTATCTTTGGGGTTTCTAAGGATGGCTGCTATTTTTCTGTCTGTTTTGAAGGCAGTCTTGATGTGATGTCTGTGTAGTATCTTACTAATTTTCTCTGTAGTACCTCTTATGTAGGGCAGGACAGCTGTTCCATAGGTCTGTTCATCTTCTGGGTCTCTATTATGTCTCAGTGTGTTTTTGTGGATCAAGCCGGTGATTTTGCTTTTGTGGAAGCCGTTGGCTGTCAGTACTTTAGTCAGGGTGCATAGTTCAGTCTTAATGTGTGTCTTGTCTGCCAGGCGTTTGGTTCTAGTAATTAGTGTTTTAGCCACGGAGTTTATCTGTGCTGGGTGGTGGTGGGATTGGGCGTTGAGGTAGCGGTTAGTCTGTGTTTTCTTCTGGTATACGGTGTGTCCTAGTGTGCCATCTGTTTTTTTGTAGATTAGTACATCTAGGAATGGTAGTTGTTTGTTTGTTTCTGTTTCCATGGTGAACTTGATTTTGGGGTGTGTGCTGTTTAGGTGTGTTAGGAAATTGTTTAGGTTTTCTTTTCCATGGGGCCAAATCACAAATGGGTCATCGATGTATCTTAACCATAGTTTGGGTTTGTGGATGGCATTGGCCAGGGCTCTGGATTCAAATTCTTCCATGAACAGGTTTGCAATGACGGGTGACAGTGGTGATCCCATAGGGGCTCCTTCAATTTGTTTGTATCTTTGTCCTTTGTATATGAAATATGTGTTGGTTAAGCAGTGTTCTGTTAGTTCCATGAGGTGTTTAAATAAATACCAACCAGCTAAACAAACAACTACCATTCCTAGATGATATATATATGGGAATGTGATTATTATTATACTGTTATACTGTTAAGAAGAATATTATTAGTAATTGTTAAGCACATGAAATATGTACTAATCCACACACGATTGAAATCGAATGGATTTATTGTATGTTAAAAATTTAAAAAAAAAATTAAAAAAAGTAGTGGCAGATCTGACAGTCTCCCAGTCTCTAACATGATACCACTATACCAAAATTATTTATCAAATTTATATGGTCACCCATCTCACCCAGGACAACTCTGGTACAGATAAAACTCCATATACAAAACAAACATAAATAAATATCACTTTAAAAAGTAAATATTATAAAAAAAGAGAGAGATACAAACCCTAGATGCAGAGAGGATAAGAAAAGCCAGCTCAGCAATGGAACGATCTAAATATGATCCCAGTAACCTGGGAGCCCCGGACTTGATAACATAAACAGGTCTTGAGCACCTTCCTGAATGTTAAAAGGGATGGAGCTAATCTAATTTTGGCTGTGTCATAAGGCAGGTGTCACGGCAGAGAAGGCATGTCTACTGGGACTCGCCAAACACAGGTCTTTAGCTGCTGGTACCCACGGTGTGCCTTTTCTACCTAAACTAATTAATCTGATCTGATATAATCTAATCCAAGTATAATCCTATGCTCATTTAGTTTCCTTGTGAATTATGGCTATCTCCGTGCTCTTAATCTTGGAAGGGTTACCAAAACGATGTTTCTATCTTATTTAGAACTACATAGCAATTTGGACTTTCACAATATCAAACCTGCAGAAATTATTAGGGAAACACTACTAGATAAAGTGACAAATGTAACAGCATGCTTCTGGTATCTGCTATTAAAAAAAAGATCAGGTAGTAGATGAAATTTGGAGAGCCACTAGCAATCAGAATTTTAAAATGGCTGCATTTACATGATGCAGTGAATAAGAAATAATTCATATCAAATTCAGCTGTTGTTCACTTCTGGTTCAATGGGTCATGCAAAATCAGGAAAGCTGGATTAAGTTGAGAAAACAATGATAAAGTTACTGGTGGGTCATTCTGCCATGTGAATGCAGTATCAGCTGACATGGGACAAGATCTGAGTTTTATAAGCGTTTCTTTCATCAAGTCGATCATTTCCTTCTTATTGCTTAGAGTCCTCAGACCAATGTGCAGATTTATTCAGCCTTACAAACCAAGCAAGACATGCTTACCATTATCGTTCCTCCTGTTTGGGTTCTCAGAGGCCTGAGCACTTTCCTCTGAACAAGGAAATTTGGCATAAAAAGGACTGGAGGGATTTCTGTAATCGTAGCCACTGCAAATGACCACTAGAAGAGAAGCAGGAAAAATATATATCCAAATCTGATTCAAGATTAATTTTTGTCAATACATTTATGCATTTATCCAAGTCCCACTTATTCAAGTCAATGGGATTTATCCACAATCAGCATTCGTAGGATGAGAGCCTGCATACATGATCCCTTTACAACACGGGTGTCAAACTTGATCACGTCACATGACATATCATGACCTATCGCCTTTGCGGAGTGGGCATGGCTTACATATAACGCATCTGGCCTGCAGGCCACCAGATTGACAGGCCTGCTTACAACATACATTAAATATACTGACTCCAAGTAAGTCCAATCCAGTCAAACTGGGATAACTCAATAAGAATGGCTAGTAAATCAACTGTAACATTATTACTATAGCTATATTTATTTTTATTTTATTTATTTTGTCAAACGATTATAAGATAACAGGTATAAGTATAAACATAGTTATGAATACATGAAATATATGCAAAGGAAAAGCATTTATTTATTTCAACGAAGTAGATCACCACAAAAAAAAAAAACATTCTTACAGCGACGTAAAATGTTGATGAACAAACAAGAAAAGTGGATTAAGGCTGGATTCTTGAGCTGCCTGAGAAGATGACTTAAGGTTCCTGACTTTTCTCAGCCATCCTTCCCCTTACAAGGTAGTCCTCAACTTACGACCAGTCACTAAGTTACATCCTACCTGAAAAAGGGGATGTAACCCTCCCTTTTCTGCAAAATCACACCTACAGTGGACAATGGGTTTATACTTATGACCACTGCATTTGCTGAACGAATGCCACGCTCACTTAACTAAAATCCCACAAATATGTGGCCAACCCCTTTTACCACTCTAACAACCATAATGGAGGGCTCCATTACAGTCATAACTCGAGGACAACCTGTAGTAATGTCTAAAAATCCTTGTCTGATTTGAGATAATTCTCCCTTTTTTTCCTGCATCTCCCCCTTGTTGCAGAGGGCCCCCATATAATCTAGAGCCACATCGAGCAGATAAGCATCCAAGAAGCCACACAAGAAGAGGAAAAGGAAGAGGAAAAAAACCCACCAGTTCAGCTGCCTTCTGCTTATTCAATCACCTGACACAGCCCACAACTATATTATGTAATTTTTTTTTCCATGCAGACAGACCATTTAGCTTAGAACAATGTTTGTTACGCCTTAATATCCAATGTCCTTATGGCCAACTACAATCAAATAATTCAAGAACTGAGTTTAACTAGCGAAGAAAAATATTAACAGCAAGAACCTTCTGCAAAGACACTGAGTTACTGAGCAGCAATGAATAATGACAATGATTTCAATTGCTGGATGGAGCTAATGTAGCAAACAGCACAACTGAAAGGACAAGGTAACAAATACCAGTAACTCAGCTGCATTTTTTCTCACTGTACGGCAAAAGCACAATGTGATCTAGAATACCCCTTCAAAAGTTTCCAATATATATATGCTTCTGTAAGCAATGCAAAACAAGTTAAACAGTATTCAAACATCTTGCATAACTTGTAACCAAAATTAATCTGCAAACTCTGCCATTCATCATTGCCTGAAGTGTGATATGAAGCACTACATAGGTCTCTTGCCAATTCTGCTCTGCAAAAATGTTCTGAAGTTGCATGCGCATCTACAATTTATCAAGAGTTTTAAGAGGGGTAGTACATGCATGTTACTTGCTGCCTTTCTATTTCTAGCCCCTAAGAAGATCAGAGTCTGAGAACTGGAAAGAAAATGCTTTTGTTGTAGTTATCTCTATTTCTTTTAAGGTAATTTAAAATTGCCATGGTTTTTTATGCATGTAAGAGTGTACATATGTAAGAGATTCTCTCTGTGTGTGTGTGAGAGAGAGAAAGAGAGAGAGGGAGGGAGGGAGGGAAAGAGAAAGAAACAAAGAGAGAGAGAGGGAGGGAGAGAAAGAGAAAGAGAAAGAGAAAGAGAGAGAGAGAGAGAGAGAGAGAGAGAGAGAGAGAGAGAGAGATGCAAATATGTCAGGGAGGAGAGATTTTTTAAAAAGTTTCATTGAAGAAGATGACACCATACCTTTAATCGATTCAAGTAATGTCTTGTGTGAACTACTAAAAGATCCTCTTCGGTTGCCTCTTGAGCCTGTACAATCAAGTCATCTGTAATTAACTTTGCTTCTGAATTTAAAAAACAAAAATGGGGAAGGGTTAATAAATGATACAACAAATAAGATTCACTTCTCAAACTTTAAAAGCCAAGCCGTACTAATTTTTTTAAAAAATTTTAGGTAAGAAAACATGTGCTGGATCAGATAAAAAAACCTGCCTAACCACGGGTGTTTCTGTATTTTCAGGTTTCCATGTGCTATTCAAAAAGCTTGATTTTATCCTTGAAAGCTCATTATTACTCGATTCCCAGGCACTTTCAGGGCCATCTCTCCCATATGGAACGTGTGTGACTTGCATTCTCCCCATGAAGGGGATGCCTCAGATCCTCCCCCCATTAGTTTTGGGGAGAGGGGGACCAAAGGTAGGCATTGGTTGCCTCTGTCTTCTTGAACACTCCCCTTCCAGGGATCCCTATGACTCCCACCTGCAATTATATTCAGGAAGGCTGATTCTTCGCGTCTTACATGGCTCACCTGCTACCCTTGTAGGATGGGGCCTATTTGGGTGTATTTAATTAGCGAATGTCTTTTTAATTCATGATTTTATGACACTGTGCTTTTATACTTTCACTGCTGTGAATCATCAAGAGTCATTCTGAAGTTGGCAGTACAAATCAATAGATCAATCTACAAATTAAGTGCTTGAGGGATGTGTTTTTCGCTACAGCCCTTGCCCACTGAGTCTACGGGAGAGAAATGAGGTCATCTATTAAGCATGGGTAGACCTTCAGGCCAGGGAAACGGAAGATCCTGCCAATACAATGACTCCAATGTCCTGCCAGCTCGGTTTTTGGCTGTTCTAAGGTTGGAATTCTCCTGGCAGCACATTTCTGCAGCTTCCCAGAGAATGTTTAGGAGGTTAGGGATCCTTCTCCAAGGGCAGCTCTGAGATTCTGCCAAAGGAGACGATCTCTAATGAATCCTATCGTTCCTAAATATCATAATTTAAATGCATACCACAGATTTCCCCAGACAAATATCTCAACACTTTTATCCCAGACAATGATGCCTATAGCTGGCTAGGGAAGAAAGAAGCGGTAGTCTAACTTATTTGGGAGATCATGGAACAATAGAAGGAAATGTAGAGAGTATGATTTTAGGATTTGTTGGAACAATTTTAGTCTCAGGCCTTCATACAATTTCTGTTCAGTGCCATGTTTGGCAACTAAGTTGACTGATAAGCTAATTTAGGGACCAGGTTTTCTTATTTAAAAGCTGTGTTCATGTAAAACATAGTTGCTATGTTCACATGATGCACTAATCCCAAATAAATAAACCATATTATGATTTAATGTGAACGGGTTACTTAAAGCAACATCTGGATTCCCATTAACACTCTACATCACAATCTCCCAATTCCATTTAGTCTAGCCTGGTGTATTGCGAGTACCTAGCCAGATTTTTGGTGGCGAGTATCAAGGTTCCAGGATCCAGTCTTTTGATCAGACCAGCATTTATAAACTGGATTGGCTGAAAAGCAACTGACAGCACATCATGGTTATAATGAATATATCATTTCTTCACAGTAAATTGGATGAATGCCACTCAAACACAGCCTCAGAAAGTTTCTATTGTTCCTCCTGCTCTACTTTCCCTCATGAATGCCACAGAAGCAAGCAGAAATATGTGCACAGCCTGCAAATATATATTCCCTACCTCTTTTTTGCAAAACATTCTGAACTCATTATTATGTAACTATTGTACAACTGAAGTAATCTAAAATTCTAAAAAATTAATAAATGCAAATCTATTTTGGTATTTAAACAGAATGGCCATCTGTTAGAAACATAAGAGTTGATTTCTATACCGGGGAGAGGATGAAATTCCCATGCGATTACAGGTAGTCCTTGAGTTATGATCACAGTCAAGCCCAAAATTTCTGTTTCTAAGCAAGACAATTGAGTTTTGATCCATTTTACATTCTTTCCTGCGACAACTGTTAAGTGAATCACTGTAGTTAAGTTAGTAACATGGTTCTTAAGTGAATCTGGCTTCCCCACTGACTCAAAAAAGATGCTGAGGCTCTAGAAAAAGTATAGAGAAGAGCAACCAGGATGATTAGGGGACTGGAGACTAAAACATATGAAGAACGGTTACAGGAACTGGGCTTGGCTAGTCTAGTAAAGAGAAGGACCAAGGGAGACATGATAGCAGTCTTCCAATACTTGAGGGGCTGCCACAGAGAGGAAGGGGTCAAGCTATTTTCTAAAGCACCCGAAGGCCAGACAAGGAATAATGGATGGAAACTGAACAAGGAGAGATTTAACCTGGAAACAAGGAGAAACTTTCTGACAGTGAGAACAATCAACCAATGGAACTGCTTGCCTTCAAAGTTGTGGGAGCTTCATCACTGGAGGCCTTCAAGAAGAGACTGGACTGCCCTCTGTCAGAAATGGTATAGGGTCTCTTGCTTGGGCAGGGGTTTGGACTAGATGATCTACAAGGTCCCTTCCAACTCTGATTATCTGTTATCTGACTTCGCTTGTCAGAAGGGCCCAAAAGGTGATCATGGGACTTCTGGACACTGCAACTGTCATAAATACATACCAGTTAACCAAATTTTGATCCTGTGACCACGTGGAATGCTGCAATGGCCTTCAGTGTGAAAAACAGTCATAAGTTACCTTTTTCAATGCTGTTGTAATTTTGAACTGTCACTAAATGAATGTCTGTACTGTCTGTATATCATACAATCTAGATGTGAAGATATTCTATTTTCTAATTTGAAAATATCTGATATAAAAATTATTACTTTTCTGTTTGCTTTTTTGCAAGCTGACCTCTCTAACAGAGGACTAGTTTAATTTCCAATAACATTTATATCACTATTTTGTTTTTATTACCTTTCAAGAAATGTATTATTTTCCCCCATTTTCCAGCATCAAATGGATGCAGTTTCTCCAGGCCCAGAAATGAAATGTTGTAATCTGGTGAATATACAATAGGCCAGCATGTGGATGGAGTATCTTGATATAGTTCTGTCCTATGAGGCCTTGAAAAAATAAATATGACATTAAGACATCCAAAATACTGATAGGTGAGAATAAACCACATTTCATACATATACTTCTGAATTAGATAACCACTTTGTTACATTTATTAAGAATGTCATTTATGTTCATCACTTTAATTTCCTTTAGAAATCAGCAGTGGTATTCCAAACAGCAGGAAAGATATAATGAGCCAAAATAATTAAATGCATTAAATTAATTTTATTAAGGAGTCAAAAGGACAATATTTTAAGAAAATCTGATTTTAAAAATCTAAAATATACAGAATTGCTTTACAGCATTTCTAAAACTATTAAATTACCAAGTATTAAAACCAAAACAATAAATTACTTAATTTTAATTCAGTAGCATCTAAAATTTAGGATAGCAATAGCACTTAGACTTGTATACCATTTCACTTAAGTGACAGCTCTAAAATGACAAACATAAATACAGGTAGTTCTCAACTTATGATCATTTGTTTACTGACCATTTACAACGGCACTGAATGACTTTTGATGGGTCCTTGCCCTTGCAATTGCCACAACATACCCATGGTAGTGTGATCAAAATTGCTCTTGGCAATTAGGATATTTTTATGACAGTTGACAGCATCCGGGCTTCTGATGGCCCTGTACAACCTTCCCAGGCGGCTTCCAAAAAGCAAAGTCAATTGGGGCAGTCAGATTCATTTAACAACTGCCTGATTCACTTAGCAACCGTGGCAAAAAAAAGACATAAAATTGGGCATGGTTCATTTAACAACTGTCTTGCTTAGCAGTGGAAATTTTGGGTTCAGTTGTGGTTGTAACAACAAGGATATATAATTTCTTATATATTAATATAAGAAAATTGTTTGCATCAAACAGTGTCTTTTATTTCAATTGCTACGGAGTAAACATTTTACATACAATGAACAGTTGCAGGAACTGGGGAGGTCTAGTTTAAGGAAGAGAAGGACCAGGGGTGACATGTCAGTGGTATTCCAATACCTGAGGGGCTGTCACAGAGAAGAGGGGGGTCAACCTATTCTCCGAATCACTTGGACAAGAAGTAATGGGTGGAATCCCATCAAGGTGAGATCCAACCTAGAACTAAGGAGAAATTTCCTGACAGTGAAAATAATTAGTGAAAAAGCTTTCCTTTAAAAGTTGTGGATGCTTCATCACTGGAGGTTTTAAAGAAGAGATTGGACAACCATTTGCCTGAAACCTTAGGGTCTCTGACTTAGGAGACTAGAAGACGTCCGAGAACCCTCGCAACTCTCTTATTCTATGTTCTGTAATATTATACTCATCTGAACAGTTCACTTTCCCATTTTCTCTATGCCGTGCGCGTGCACGCAGGCACCCACGCAGACAGGTGTACACCTACACCTAACCCAGGAAAGTTGTGGGACGACAAGTCTGTATCGCCATTTTTGATAAACATTCTTGAGCCAAGACACCCCAACAACTACCTCCTAGGCGTCTGTATTCTCAAAACTAGCATGTTATGAGTAAACCTCAGCCCGGGTGGTAAATGAGTTTCAGGACTCAAGATGCAGCCCGACCCCAGGGGAAACAAGTCGTCCCGAACCCAGCCATTGTGAGAACACGCAAATCCATCCCAGCAACCGCTCCGAGGAACGACGCGGGCGGGGACGACGCAGGACTCAGGGCTGTTTTCTTTCCTCCCACCTCCCGCAACATCGCAGCCTAATATGCCGCCCCTGCTTTAGCGTTGCCCCCCGACTGGTACCCCCCCAACCCCGGGTCGGTGCAGCTCTGCAGCAGCAGCCGCTTCCCGTCCCCCCCTCGAGAAGCAGCTCCTCCCCAGGGGACTCTCCCTCGGCGGGGAAGTCCCTGCACCGCCCCGTCTCCTGCAACTCACATGTTGCCCTAAAGCGAAGCTCCGTCCGAGCCCCCGACGTGTCGAAGTCCTGCCCGGGCTCTACTGAGCATGCCCGGTTGCTCTTGAGCACGCTCAGACTCTTCCAATGAGGCCACTTGCCCTTATCTGAGTCCTGCTTGCCCTGCGCTCGGCGTTCTTAAAAACCCAGGCGGGATATGACGTTCCGTTGTGGCGTAGCCGGCAGGTTGTATGAACCCGGAGTTACTGTTCGCTGAATCAGCCAAATTCGACTTAAGTTGGATAACTGAACTGAGGAAGTTGGCTTATTTACGTAGTCAACACTCTGATTATGCGCCATGGGGTCGTTTTCGATTTCTAGCGACTGCACAGATTTTCTCCGAGTTACGCTCTCTAGCTCTAAATAAATAATAAATCAAATCAATCCATCAAGTTAAGTATCCTCGAGGGCAACTTCTCGTTTGCCACAGACTGTTTTGCCCTTTCCTCTCATTTTAGTGCAATCTGGAATCCCTGAATTATAACAGGGTTCATTGTTTTTGTTTGTTTCTTTTTAAATTGGCATCCATATCCGAAATGGTATAGGGTCTCCTGCTTGAGCAGGGGGTTGGACTAGAAGACCTCCAAGGTCCCTTCCAACACTGGTATTTTCTTCAACTTCATCAAAGTACAATTAGTACACAGATGAGGACTAAAAATGGAATTGCACTTATCATACTGACCAATGGTGAGCCTATACTTATTCATTTCTAATCACTGCTGTTTTGACAAATATTAGGTGTAAAAAGGGCAACCAAAATATTAACAGATTGGAGTAGCATCCATTTAAACAAACATCTAAATACTGTAAACAGCAACTGAATCTCTAGGTTAGATCAAGGGAACATAAGATGAAACATGATAATATTTGGAACAATAGAACATTTAAGGTTTCTTTGTCATGCCCAATATTAGAATCCATCAAAGTCAGCTATCAAATGTAAAGCAATCTCCCACCTCCCCAAAAAAGAAAAAAATTGCCACTATATAGATTGTGGAATTAGCTGCTGGCAGTTATCATAATGGTGGTCAGTGAGGAATAAACTTGTCCGTTTCATGAATGATCAGGCTATCAATGACTCCCAGTATTGATGGTTATTGATAGTTATGTTTTGATATATTGATAACTTCCAGTATTGATAACTACTTACTGTGTTGTGAATCACAGCTGCCTTCAACAATACAAGCTGCTGGGAAAGCAGCTGTTATCCTAGGCTTGTAAGCTTGAAAATACATCTAGCAGGTCACACTAGCAGATTCCTGGATAGAATGGTATGATTGGCTGATCTAGCCTGGTTGTATTTTCTTTAAAAGCACAAAATTAACAAGGTGAATAAAGACAATGACGTTTATGAAAACAGCATTAAATGCAGCATTTTAATCATGTGACCACAATTTATGACTATTTGGTCAGAAACTGGCAAAAAACACTGATGGGAATACAATGCTTAATGATTGCCATGTTCACTTTACACTTGTGGTATTTGCATAATGACTACTGCAAAAATAGTGGTAACAATCCAGTCCAATTATGTGGATATTTCAATGTAGAACTGTCATCACTTACAATGGAAAAGTCATGCTCCATTACAGTCAAAAGTGAAGGACTATTCTCCTTTATTGGAAGGACTACCTGCATTAAACTCAATCTTCCATGGTCTGTAAAATAAGGACCCACATTATTGGGGGCATTATGTTGATTCTGTGAACAGCTTAAAAGGGGCTATAAAGTGCTATTGCTATTAGCATTGATAGCAGTAGGACTATCTTTGAAGAGCACTTGCTGGAGTAGGCAGGCCACTGCCTTCTTGAAAACTAGTTACTGTGGGTCTGGCCTAGAAATCGGAAGGCTGAGTTCTAGATTGTTCTTAGCCATGAACATTGGGTGACCTTGGGCCAGTCACTCTCTCAAGTGGAGCCTACTTATGGGTTATACGTGTAGTATGTACACTGCCTAGAATCACACTTGGGCTGCTATATAAATTAGATAAATGTTTGCCACCCTGGGTTATATATTACAAAGGTAGAATAAAAACATAGTAATATAGGATGTTTTGTTTGGCTTTTTCAACTTTCTGGTCTAACCTAAAGTTATGGGATTACTTAGTAGTCTCCCAACCAAACACTTAAGCAGGTCTGGACCTCACTTAGTCCTCTCAACTCAGCATTTCAGAACAATCCATTCTTGCAGAAATATTATAGTTAAAGACTCATGCAGGTGGTAATATGCTCTTCTTTGTGAGGTATATTTTTCTGAATGAACAAGTTTGATAAACCCGGGGGAGGGGGGGGAGTTATTCTCAAAGAAGGTTTGTTTTGGAAGTTCCATCAGAAATAATTGTAGTTTATTAGCTGGCATCTAATCCCCCCATGGTCCTTTTTTAAAGAGAACCCCAAGGTACGACAACAGAGGCAATCTGGTTACAGTCGCGGTATCAACAGCCAAAATTAGCCACAGAAAAGTTTGAGACTTGAGCAGGAACAGCGCGTTCGCGTGCATTAATATACTTCCATGAAGTTCTAAAAAGCACCATCTCCACTCGCCTTCATTCTTTCTTACACTCCCCATATATTTTGTTTTCCTCAAATCCCTTCAAACGTGGAAACAAAAATACAGCCTTTCACCGTGCACCGCGATTTTAAAGCTCTCGGCAACCCTGCTGTTACCTAAATATAGATCAAAGCCAAGCCGGATTCCACGCACGAACATTCCTAGAGTTTTCGAAAGTCAAAAGTTCGATAACAATTCGAAATCACAACCATCTTCATTTCCACGCTGGAGAAAGCCCAGTAGAGACCACATAATGTAGGGAAATGGGAAATAAACTCTCCAGGCAGCCCCCTCGCGTGAAAGATCCTGTTCACCTCGCAGGCCTGAGCATTTACCCCACGCGTGGACGGAGCTGTTTGGGAAACACTGGCCGCGACGCTTTCCTGTTCCTGTTTGCAGAAGCAGCTCCCTCCACCTCCCCGCTTTGTCTATTGGCTCACGGCGTGGCTGTTTCCACCCTTCCCGAACAAGAACCCCTTCAATGGTCGGTGGTTCTGACGTAGCAAGCGGGGATTGGCTCTTCCGAGTATCTAAAACACACCCTTCCAAGTCCGGATCGAAGCTCCGCCCACGACGTTACTCCTGACTAACAACTGTTCGTGTGAACACTCCTTTAGGCAAAAGGTTCCATCTTGCCTTTCTTTCTGGGTCCTGCACTTCTATGCCACCTTTGTTTATTATCTACCCAAAGGTAGCTTCTAGATCAGTTGGGCACTGTGGAGTTTGCATTAATCAGGCTCCAAGCAGAAATGCCACATACCCCTCGCCAACGGTTGCAGCCTCGAGCTCCAATTTGGTCAGAGAAAGAAACTCGAGATTTCCTTGCCCTCTGGGGTGAACTGCTGATTTTGAGGTGGATTGAAAACCGGCCCCCAAACAGTGACATCTACGAGGATCTCTCCGCCCAGATGATAGCCAGGGGTCACGAGCGCAACGCTTCGCAGTGTAGGAACCGAGCCCGGGATCTGAAGCGAAGTTATCGGAGAGCCAAAGATGCCCAGATCTGTGCTGGAGCTGAGCCCGTGTCTTGCCGTTACTTCCGAGAGTTGGATCAAATGTTTGGAGGCGAAATGGATAGGGCCACCAACCGGAGCTTGGCCAGCATGGATGGATCCATGCAGGTGGTGGTAAAAAGAGAGGATGCAAAAGACATGGAGGCCCAGGGCTCCGAGGAAGAGAGCAACCAAATGACACCCCCAAACACCCTCTCAAGTATGGATGCAGACACAGACACGGAAACCGAACAGAACGTGGGGATCATACGAGGCCTAGTGACAGTGGTAGATCCCAACGTGATTGAAACCACAATAGTTGAGGAAGGTCCTGAAGAGAAGCCGGTGCCCTTTTGTGGGCAACCCGTTCCAGGCTGCAGTGAAGATGGGCACCTCAGGGCTACTGGTGAGCGAGAGCCATTTTTCCTCAATGGCATTTTGTTTTTAAATTCGTGCTCTTAGCTCTTCAGCCATCTTATGATCTTGGGTTTAATTTAGTTGTGAGAATCTCTAAGAAGCTTGCCTGATATACCACAAAGATAGAGATTGGCTCTTGGTTTGTAAAAAAAAGAGAGAGAAATGACCTGAATTTTCTCCTGATTAGAAGCCCAAATTAGATACAGGTGGGGAGATACAGTAAATGTGGACAGAGATTTAAATTCAAAGAAGGAGCCAGGCTAAAAGTAAGTTTCCCATCTCAGTATGCCAAGCGAGTCAAATGAACCTGTGGTTTTTCTGATGCACTTTTTTTAAAAAAAAAAAAAAGTGGAAGGAAGGAGGACAAGAGCCATTTAACCAAGATCAAAAAAGGTAAAAATTAGTTGGTAAGGTGGTTAGTTTTTCATTCCAGCAAGCAATCAACTGTTTTCCCTGCGGCCTCAGTTCTACTTTGTCAAAATGATTGTTTGTGTGATGGATACATGGAGAGCCAGTTTGATGTAGTGGTTAAAATGCTGCCCTAGAGATCTGGAGACTGTGAGTTCTAGTCCCGCTTCAGGCATGGAAAGCTGGCTGGGTGACTTTGGGCTAGTCATTCTCTTTCAGCCCAACCCATCTCATAGGGTTGTGGGGGAAAAAGGAGGAAGAAGACGTTTTCCAACTTACTCGAACTCTTATCAAATTGTAGACTGCCCTCAACCCCTGTTCCTGGAAAATAAGAGAATCCAGCAATCTCAGGCTACGTCACCTTTGCTGCCCTGCTGCCGGGCCAGCTGACATTAAGCAGTAGGTAATATTGTCCGGATGCTTAACCCATTTCCCTCTCAACAGGTAGAGGCAGGCGAGAGAAGTCCTTTGGCCATCCCCTGACGACAGCAGAAAGGATGGCATCTATGCGGGAGAGGAAGAGGCGGTCGCATGAGGAGATGATGCATGAGATCATGAGTGACTACAGGAGGACCTGGGAGACCATGGAGGCTCTTCATGAGAGAAGTGAAATCAATGCTGGGGACTTCCGTGAAGCAGTGCTGAGGGAAATGCTTCTGGACAGAGAGGCCCGGACCCGGGAGGCCCAATTAGACCGTGAATCCCGGGCAAGGGAAGCCCAGCTGGATAGAGAGGTTAGAATTAGGGACAACCGTCTGGAGAGAGAGATTAGGATGAAGGAGCTCGGTATGATTGAAGCCGAGCTTCAGCGCACCAGGGATATCCTCCATCCAATGGTTGACGCAGTGGCATCTGTGGCAGAGGCCTTGCGTGTGGCCAGCAGGATGCTGCCACTCTCTCAGCCTGCACAGAAAGTGAGGGCTGGAGTCTTCTTGGAATCCAAGGAAAGCAAGTAATTTCTGTCTCTCTTTCAACTATAAAACTTTATCTTGAATGGGAAAGATGTGTTATGAGGAAGTGAAGGGAGGGGGGGGAAAAAGGGTGCTTTCTAAAGTGCTAAATTCAGGGATTTTCAATAGTAACTTTAAGAGGTTGAGCCAGGTTCACCTACTCCCTCAATTTGCTCATCCTGTGGAACAGAGGTAATGTACATCTAGATGGTTTGGTTTGGTTTGGAACAAGAAAAGAAACTTTAGAAAAGACATTACAGTAGCTTATGGATAGAATCATTCCTTTTCCTTACCCAGCTGACTGCTTATTTGGGGCTCTTTCTGGAGAGCAGATATTGGAGAACAAAATGCTTGCATATTTTCACAATGGAGTATTGTTCGTACAGGTGGTCCTCGACTTACAACAGTTCATTTAGTGACCGTTGGAAGTTGCAATGGCACTGAGAAAAGTGACTTAGGACTGTTTATCACATTTACGGCTATTGCTGCATCATCATCATCATCATCATGGTCACATGATCAAAATTTAGACGCTCAGCAGCTGGCTCACAATTAATGATGGTTGCCGTATCCCGGGATCATGTGATCGCCTTTTTATGATCTTTGGCAAGCAGATTCAATGGGGAAGCAAGATTCACTTAACAGCCGTATTATTAACATAACCACAGTGATTCACTTAACTGTTCCAATAAAGGTCGTAAAATGGGGCAGAATTCACTTAACAATTATCTTGCTTGGCATCAGAAAATTTGGGCTCAATTATGGTCATAAGTCAAGGACTCCCTATAGCAGTGATGACTAACCTTTTTGTCGTCGCATGCCGAAAGCGTGCCTCAGGAATGGGATTCAAATTTTTTAACAACATGTTCTGTGGGCGTGGCTTAGGTGGTGGGCGTGGCTTGATGGTCATGTGACTGGGTGGACGTGGCTTGGTGGTCATGTTATTGGCTGGGTGTGGCCAATATCACTCACATCAAGGCATGCATCTCCTCGCCTGGCCTCTCATGACCGTGGTGATGCTGCAACAGTCGTAAGTGTGAAAAATGGTCATAACTCACTTTTTTCAGTGCCATTGTAACTTTGAATGGTCACTCCACACAAGCAAAGTACCAGCAAAGGAGGGGGAAAAAACTCCAGAGGAGTTCCTGAGACAGGAAGTCTAGTCCTGCCAAGAATGTAATAAGGGTTAACAGAGAGGCAGTTTCTGTAAGCAACACCAGAATGTTTCCTTCCTCCTTCCTTACAGGATTAGGCCAGTAATTTCTTCTAACAACCGGTTCTCCGAACTGCTTAGAATGTTAACAACCAGTTCTAGCGAATTGGTGGAATCCCACCCCTGGCATACCTGCACCCATAATGCAATGCACACGTGACCCCCTTGCGCTCCCCCGCCCCCCCTGCGCATGCGCACACATCTCACACATGTGCTCTGCCCCCCCACGCATGCGCAGCAGATAGCAGAAAATCGGCTGGCAGGAGGCGTGCACACATGTGCAGTGGAACTGAGCTGGGGTGACGGCTCACGTGCCCGCAGAGATGGCTCTGCGTGCCGCTTCCGGCCTGTGTGCCATAAGTTCGCCATCACAGCCCTACAGTATATGTGTTTGTATATGCTAGGTATGTATCATTCACAACTCTTCCTTTCCAAATCCTCATGAGCAGGCTTCATTTTTCTACCAGTTAGTGGAGACCATCAATAGAGAAGAGTTGCTGCCTTCACATGTACTGATAACCTCCCCTGAAGCAACTAAGTGGCTGCTTTGCAAACAAAATGCTGGACTGGAAGGAATTGGCTTAGCTTCTCCTTCCAAATCTCTCTTATATGTGTAAGCAATGAATGTGGCTCTCTTCAAACCCTTGTGGGCTGAGTTCACAGCAAATCCAAAACCAAGTTATAAAAAAAACAAAACAGAATTGCTGTGTTCATATAACTTGCTATGATGAACGATATGATGTTTTAATGTGATGGCCCATTTCACAGAACATGGTTCCCTTTCTTCCTCTGAGGTCATTCTCAGTCGGTATTGATAAGAAGCAAGAAGCCTGGCCCGTGTTTTGCAGGGTCTTGTAGGGCTCAGTACTTTCTCCACTTCTGCTTAACATCTACATGAAGCTGCTGGGTGAGATCATCTGCCACCATGGACTGAGATATCAATATGTTGGTGACCTCCATCTGTATATAACAGAATAACACAATTGGAAGGGACCTTGGAGGTCTTCTAGTCCAACCCCCTGCTCAAGCAGGAAACCCTATACCATTTCAGACAAATCGTTGTCCAGTCTCTTTAAAAACTTCCAGTGTTGGAGTATTCACAACTTCTGGAGGCAAGTTGTTCCACTGATTAATTGTTCTGCCAGAAAATTCCTCCTTAGTTCTAGGTTGCCTCTCTCCTTGATTAGTTTCCATCCATTGCTTCTTGTCCTGCCCTCAGGGGCTTTGGAGAATAGCTTGACTCCCTCTTCTTTGTGGAAGCCCCTGAGATATTGGAACGTTGTTATCATGTCTCCCCTAGTCCTTCTTTTCATCAGACTAGACAGTTCCAGCAACCATTCTTTATATGTTTTAGCCCCCAGTCCCCTAATCATCTTTGTTGCTCTTCTCTGCACTCTTTCTAGAGTCTCAACATCTTTTTTACATCGTGGTGACTAAAACTGGATGCAGTATCCCAAGTGTGGCCTTACCAAGGCATTATAAAGTGGTATTATTAACACTTCATGTGATCTTGATTCTATCCCTCTGTTTATGCAGCCTACAACTGTGTTGGCTTTTTTGGCAGCTGCAGCACACTGCTGGCTCATACTTAAATGGTTGTCTACTAGGACTCTGAGATCCCTCTCACAGTTGCTACTATTGAGCGAGGTACCACCTACTATATTCCTGTGCATTTGGTTTTTCTTGCCTAAATGTAGAACCTTACTATTTTCACCACTGAATCTCATTTTATTAGATAGCACCCAATGTTCAAGTCTGTCAAGACGCTATCTTAAGCCCATGGTAAATTAAGCAATCCTGTTATCTCCTTGCAGTGCTTAGAGGCTATATTAAGGGCTGGATGGGGAGCAATGGACTGAAGCTGAACCCTGTCAAAATGGAATGGCTCTGGGTTTGGGGTTGTCTGGCTCATGGAGAATTGCCACCTTTGGTCTTGGGTGAGGTTCCACTGCCCCAGACAAATCCAGTACGTATTCTGGAAGTTCTCCTGAACTCATGACCCCAGCTCAAGGAGCAGGGTGGCAGTTGTGGCTGGAGGCCCTTTGTGCAACTGGGCTGTGTGCCAGTTATGTCCTTTCCTGGACCAACGATCCCTACTCATAGTCACCCATGCTCTACTTACCTCCTGTCTTGACTGTTGCAATGTTCTCTACATAGGCTGGCCTTGAGAAGTATCTGGAAGCTTCAACTGGTTCAAAATACAGTGGCCCACGTGGTTTTATACGGGCCTAGATATGAATATGTGTCATCTCTCCTGCAAGGACTGCACTGGCTGCCAATTCGCTTCAAGGGCCAATTCAAGCTGCTGGTTGCCACCTTTAAAGCCCTACATGGCTTGGGATCAGGTTATTTGAAGGACAGACACACCTACCCAACCCCACCAGAGTGGGGGGCCAAGGGAATATTATGGGTCCCCCTCTCCTAAGGAGGTCCATCTAGTGAGACCAAAAGGAAAAGCCTTCTCTGTGGGGGCTCCTTCCCTGTGGAACATCATCCCACAGATGATAGGATCAGCCTCCACTTTTAACACTCTATCACAGAGGTCTCCAAACTTGGCATATCTGGCTGAGGAATTCTGAGAGTTGAAGTCCACAAGTCTGAAACTTGCCAAGTTTGGGGACCCCCTGCTCTGTCATAAGGGCCTGGAGTCCTGATTTGCCAATGGGCTTGGGTGTACCCCAGAGTTCGATGGAAACCCGTCAAATGGTTCATTTGATTGTTATCGTAAGGATGTGTGGGGTTATTGCTTTTTATTGTTTCTGTATTGAGCTTTTATCCTCGTAAACTGCCCAGAGTCACTGAGAATGAGTTTGGGAAGCCATATAAATTTTCTTAAATAAATAAATATGCTAAGGCAACAGCTGGGTTTCCACACCACACTGGCTCACACAAATTTTATCTCATTGCAGCGTGCAATGGTTTGTCACCCTAACCCAGTTAATCTATTGGGGAACATGTGTGTGCAGGAAAAAATAGTTTTTATCATTTCGGATGCCCCATTTAGCTAATCTGAAAATTAAAGTACTCACAGTTGCCTCACCAGAAAGAAGGATTGACAGACAGAAAGGAGGATTGACAGCATCATTCAGATTACATCTGCAGGAAAAAGCCTTTCTGATAAGAGTAGAATACAGTATGTTTAGCTTCTTCCAAGAAGACCATTCTTTGTTCAAAACCAACTTCTTTACTTAGAGCGCTACTGGATATGAGCTAATAGAGACAAAAGCCAAAGAAATCCAACACTGTAAAAAGAAATTATATTTTTATTGAGCAAGATATCCAAGACATTGCATTTGACAAGACACAGTGAAAAGACCATTTAAAATTAGTATTAATTTTCCAAGGGTTTACACTTTAGGGTCAGAATAATGTAGTCACTTATATTTTAGTATCTTGCTAAGGTAAATGGTTGAACTTACAACCGTTCATTTAAAGATGGTTTCAAGTTAAGACAGCCTTGGGGGCGGGGAAGTGATTTTGCACTATCCCCACATTTATGACCAGGTAAAGCATTTTACAGTCATGGGATCCCAATTTGTGACCTTCCCAGCTGATTTCTGACAAAAAGAAATCAACTGGGAAAGCAGGATTCGCTCAACGACCATGGTCAAAATGGTCAAAGTTAGGTCATGTCATGACTTGATTTACAACCATCCAATTTATGACAATAAAATTCCAGTTGTGGTTGTAAATTAAGGACTATTTATAAATGTCAAAGTACCCTGGATTCTTCACTCATTGCTACACATGGTTGACTCCTAAAATTGATAGCATGCACTGAAGAATTAAAAAACAAATGCTAAAAAGTAATCACATGCTCTCCCCAGATGTATATTTCTATTGGCATTCGTTTAATTCTTTTATAGGATAATTAGTATGACTCCTACAATGTTATGTCAGGAAATATTTACTATGCTGCTGTCTCCTATCTGGTATTCTCCAGATGTGCTGAATTATAACTTCCATATTCCACCAACCATTTAAATCAGTGGCCCCCAACCTTTTTTGTGCCACGGGCCGGTACCGGCATCACAAAATGATCCGCGGCCCGGTACCGGCATCAGCACGCATGGCAAGGCGAGCCGAGCGACTGGCCAGCCAGCCGTCCCCCGCTTCTCCCCGCCACCTTCAACTCCTCCTTTGTACCTGTGTCGATGGGCTTCGCGACGGCTTCGGGACGGTCGATCGGCTCGCCTTGCCTTGGGTGCTGAAAGAATCCTCGCGCCTTAGTTTTGTTCGAAGCCCCCCCCCCCCTTCGATGAAACTAAGGCGCGAGGATTCCTTCAGGACCCAAACGCTGCTTTCCAACCGGAAAAGCTCACCGGAAGCACTTTCTCATCAAAACAAGATGGCGGTGCCCAGCAAACCGGCGGCCCAGTAGAAAATGTTCCACGGACCGGTACCGGTCCGGGGCCCAGTGGTTGGGGACCCCTGATTTAAATGACACTGAGTAAAGAAACGCTGAGATACATTAGCATTCAGTAGGCAACAGTGCACTTCTTGTTCTCAGCTGCGTGCGCGCACATACACTCAAATAGATGGAAAATAGGTTTTAATGTCAAACAATGACTTATTACTAAGATCTGTACATGAAATTATAGCGGGGAATTCATCCAGAGTCTTCAAATTAGGTGCTACCTATATGTTAAGGAAATCATGCTCTAATGTATCCAATTTTCAAGGAAAGAATCAGTAACCCCCAATGTTGCTTAACCCCGATAGTAGGCTGGATGAGAGAAAACCAGTTGAAATTAAATCCAGACAAATCGGACCTGCTGTTGGTATGGAAAAAGGTAGGACTCTGGGATTGGAGAGAAGCTTGCTCAGCACAGGGTTGCGACCCGCAGAGGGAGCAGGCTGGGGTCTGGAAGTGCCCCTCGATCTCCATCTGTCACCGGACTTGTAGACAGCAACTTTGGCAAGAAGAATGCTTGCAGAATTACAAGCCATTGCATCAACCGCGACCCTTCCTGAGCCAGCTGGACTGTGGCAAAGTTGACCATCTGCCTTAACTGTGTTGCATGTGAGGCTATTCTTGAAAAGGGTCTAGAAATTGCAAATACTATCAGGCGAGGCAGCTAGACTACTGACCACCATAGTGTATAGGAATCATATGATTCCTGTAATAAAGATCAACAATTGCTGGCGTTTTCTGGGAATGATTCAAGGTATTCTTGTATAAAGATTTTAATAAAAGTTATGTTTAAAACTAAAGAATAATTCAAGGGTAGTAATGACTCATAAAATCTTACACAGCTTAGGGTTTGATAGTCTATGGCAGGGGTGTCAAACTCAAGGCCTCTGGGCCGGGGTGCTGAGATCTGGCCCCGCGTGGTTGTCCTGGAAACAGCAAAGAACTGGCCCCCGGTGCCTCTGCCAGTGAAAACGGAGCTCGGGAGGGCTGTGTGAAGCCCTCTCAAGCTCTGTTTTCGCTGGCAGAGGGTTGCAGGAGTCCTTCCGCAGCTGAAAACAGAGCTTAGGAGCCCGTTTTCTCTGGCAGAGCACTCAGGTCACCACAGGCACCCCTGACACAAGTGACATCGAGCTGGTCACACACACACACACCCTGGCCACACAGACCCCTAGGTCAAACACAACCCTGATGCAGCCCTCAATGAAATCAAGTTTGGCACCCCTGATCTATGGGATCGCCTCTCTTGCTATGAACTTGACTACTCAGAATAGCAGGAAAAGCTGTTCTGAAGATTCACCTTTGTCAAAGTTTCAACCGTCTGGCACATGAAAAGTGACTTCTCCTGCATGGTTCTAGGTGGTGGTTGTTTTTTTAAACTTGTGTTGTTAAAAATTAATTCAAGCAAGTAAATTGCCTTAGGGTTGTAATGGCTACAATTTGATTTTGAGGAGTGAGAGAGAGAGAGTGCCCTCAAAGGGGGAGTTAGTGTGATGGACGACAGTGCAATGGTAGTTTCTCAGGAAGGAGGAAGCACAATGAGAAAGACGAGCGAGACAAGAGGCAGCACAGCCCAAGAGGCTGGATAGGAGACAGAGGAAGAGAGTAAGAATAGCCACTCCTTAGGATCTCTGAAGGTATATTTGTTAAGGTGAGAGTAGTAAGGATTTGGTCTGGCAAGATTCTGTCTATTAGCTGTAAGCAAATCAAGCACTGAACTCCAGCTGAATTGTTCTGTCAACCTTGGACTAAGCCTAACAGGAGGGAGAGAAAATGGTAAAAAGTAAACATCTAAGCAAACAACCATGATCAGAATATCTTTTTAAAATGCATTTTAACATTGTATACTCCCCACTTATTGCAAGGAAACATTTTCAGTACTTTAAAAACTACGGCATACACTATTCTAATCAGCAATGTTATATGTACAGAAGAGTTGTGATTAAGCTGTAATGATCAATGTTTGAAAATGTAATACTGACTGACTTAATATTTACAACTGACTTAATATTTACATTTAATATTTTCAGCCCCTTGGTCTCAAGGCAGCAGACAGCATCCAAATACTAAAGTAGTCCAAGACTGGGTAACCAGTGACCTTCCAGATATTGTTAGGCTGCAATTTCCACCATCGCTCACTGGTGACCGTAATGCCAAGTGCTGTTGAAAATTGGAGCTCAGCAACTGTGAAGAAACCCGTACACTTGTCATAGTTACACATAAGCACATTCAAATCAGTGGTACAGGTTAGTTACAGTGATCTTAACCCTCTCTGGTTTCAGTGGGGGGGGGGGGGTGTTTAAGTGTGACTAAGTCTGGATCCAATGTAGTAATAACAAGAATAATAACAACCATTTATAAACAATCTGGAACCTAGATCAAATATTCAAAAATTAGAATAACAAAAGGCATGGAAAGAGAAGTAGAACAAAATGTTTCTTTTAAAATACCAATTTTGACCACTATTAAATAAAGGGTCAACAGATCACTTGGAGCAGGGAATTACACATACTGGTGTCACACAAGGGCAAATAACAGGATTCCTCAGGATCACTGCAGGGGACAGCCTCATATGGCAATTTTTTTTGAATAATGTAGAGCCAATTGGGAGCACTTTGGATGACGCTCAGAAGCAAGTCTAACTGATTAAATTGAACAAAATTGAAGCTATGTATTAATTTACACAAACCATACTTTAACTTGCATTTGTAACTTTAATGCATTCTCTAAATACTAAAGTCTGCACAGGCAACCTCCTATAAAAAGCATTAAGAGAAAATCTAGAGATTAACAAGGGTGAATTCTTGATTTACTACTCTTTGAAATTCCAAAGTTGCCTCCATACAATATAGTCTAGTATCTATAGAGGAACGAAGATTGACCCATGGCTACTACCTCTGTATCACATCTCTATTCCAGCATTCCATGTTATATGACTTTTTTTGTTTGCAGAAATACAAGATTTCACTTTCAAATCTAAGCATAGCAAACTCCCAAGCCGAAAAGGAACAAAGCATCAAGGATGTGTTCAGCAGTGGGGATCCAACTATCCTTTTTCTCTCTATGCCTTGGTGAGACTTTGGAAAGAGGGCTATATATTTCATACAGACAAAGAATCTATATTAACATATTAATGTTCATTTTAAAGCATTTTCCTATTACTAATTAATCTTTTACATTTCAAACTACAGTATTATTTTCTCATAAAATTAAAAAATGAATGTTAAAGTCTTAGCTTTCTGGCTTTTTTATACTTATTGTAGCCTTATTAACCCCTAACCTCAGTCCTCTTGTTTTATCCACTGCTCTTGGTTGTGACTTTTCTTTTTCTACCCATTTTGAAATACTGAACATGTAAGTACAAATAGAATTTCAAAATCCTAAAATAAGTCCACTACTTTTGGACATACAGATGATGACACACATTGTTCTTAAAAGGCTACTATTTAGAGAGCAAAGATGGTGCTAATATTAATAACCTATACAGAATTGTCTTTAGAATTTAAGTTTTCTGCCCAATATGGATTCTCTGGTGAGAAATAAGGTGCGATTTCTGATTGAAATTCTTCCCACAGCTGGGACACTTATATGGTTTCTCTCCAGTATGAAGCCGTTGATGAATAACAAGCCCAGAATTGAAGCTAAAACTCTTCCCACAATCCTGACATGTGTATGGTTTCTGCCCTGTGTGAATGCCTTGATGCGAAATAAGGTGTGATCTCTGATTGAAGCTCTTTCCACAATCAGAACATTTATATGGTTTCTCCCCAGTGTGGATCCGTTGATGTATGATGAGACCAGAGTTGTAACTGAAGCTTTTCCCACAGTCGGGGCACTTGAAAGATTTCTCTCCCATATGGGTCCTCTGATGCGACAGGAGATGAGATTTTTGGCTGAAGCTTTTCTCACAGTTGGAGCATTTATACGGTTTCTCCCCGGTGTGAATTCGTTGGTGTATGATGAGCCCAGAGTTGTAACTGAAGCTCTTCCCACAGTCAAAGCATTTAAATGGCTTCTCGCCCGTGTGGGTCCCATGGTGAGAAGTGAGATGGGATCGCTGGTTGAAGCTCTTGTCACAATCAGGACATTTATACGGCTTCTCTCCTGTGTGGATTCTCTGATGGACCATAAGTCCTGAGTGATTGCGGAAAGTTTTCTCACAAATGATGCAGAGATACGGCTTCTCTCCTAAATGGAGAATTTGAGGTCTATTAATGCCTACATTGTGGCAGAAGCTATTTTCCTGTTTGTTAGGGGTAATTTTACTTTCTTCGATGTGGATCAGTTGCTGGATTAGTATTTGGTCAAGACGTTTTAAATTCCCATCCTTGCACTGACTAGCTTTGCCTTGTGTTTTATCAGAAGCAGTTTTTTCTCTTCTCTCTGGCAGCAGATTGTAGTGACTTTCAGTCCCCCTCTCTTGTTTACATCTTTGAGAGCTACTCTCTTTAGATCCTCCTCTAAACATCACCTGCATTTCTACATGCTCTGGTTCTTCTTTTATGGTTGTCTGCTTCTCAGTTTTGGTTGCCATCCCATCACCTGTTGAAGTAAACCAGATTTTAAACAAAAAAGATGGCTTTCAGTCTTTTCCACCCGTAATAACATAGGAATTAAAGAAAGGAATCCATTAAAAGTTTTAAACGACATTACTTATTGAATCTAACCCAAGAATAATCTCCAAAATTATGTTACAGCAAAAGCAATGTCAATTAGTAGTAGTAGTAGTAGTAGTAGAAATTTCAAATGCACAATTATACGTTGAGGAAAATAAAGTTGAGGTATGGAAAGCCAACACCATCTTTCCATTGTACTCCATTGACACACGCTGAAGGACGATTAGACAAAGAATTGTATTTATTTTTTAAAACAATAACCAGAATAATAAACACTGTTAGGGAATGTTTGCTTATCTAAGATTCCAGATTCAGAAACTGGCATTTCTGGTTAAGCAGGATCTTCTAAACAAACTTCTGTACACATAATTTCATACTCCAAGTATCAGATTTAAAATAATCCATGGGGAATGTAAGTAAATTTTATTGGATGCAATTCTGTGGTGTTGGAAAACATGGATAATTTCCAGTTTATACCCAGAATGCGCTCAAGCAATCCCTATATCCACATCAAAGCAAGAACATGTGCCACTCAGTTCAGCTAGAAAAAATATATAACTTGACATTATTAAACAACAGCCAATATCACATAGTTAATTGGCACAACCTGGATCAAAATTAGGCAAGTGCAGGGAGAGACACAAACAAGAACTTACATTACAGGAAGTTCTCAACTTATGACCACAATAGGGATCAGAAAAATTGTTATTAAGCAGTGTAGTCATTAAGCAAATCTTCATCTGACTACCCGATTTTTGACACTTTTTGCCACAGTCATTAAGTAAATCAACAGCAGTCTTTAAACAAGACATCACATGACCACGACTTGCGACCCTCTGCTGGCTTCTCTACTCACTTCGCTTGGATAATGCAAGTGTCATAGTTACCAGACAGATGCCAAGCTCCTGAACCACAATCACATGACCATGAAGATGCTGACAGCCTTCAGTGCAAGGATCAGTTGTAAGCTACTTTTTTCAGTACATACATTAACTTCAGTCACTAAAAGAATGGTCATTAAGCAAAGACTACCTGTAGTTACATGTCTCTAGCTATACATCAAAAGGACATAGTCACTGGAAACTATCCTGAGGATAATTAGCATAAATCCCCAAGGGACTGGCCTTTGTTTATTGCAGCTTTAACTCCTTTAAGTATATAATAGGAACAGACTACAAATGGAAAGCAGGTGATCCAATCTCAATTCTGCACCACAAAGGAAACAACTTGATGAGGATGATGTATGTAGCATGTGGAAGGAAAGCTGAAATTCTCTCCCCATCTGTACTATTTTCCTTTGAAAATTCATTCTGAGGCAGTATGAAAAACACCTCTGAAAAGCCCATAAGCAAACGCTTTCAACTGCTTCTTCCCACAGTATTCTTCAAAATGTCTCTGCTATACCTTTAGAGATACTGTTACACATGCAGTAGCAGAGTAGTACTCCAAAAGAAAGATGATAATTAGATTTATTGCCAAAAGCTAAGAAATTAATATGCCACCTTACAAACTGTATAAGCCAAATTCTAACACTCATTTATTAATGAATTCTTTAGGGTGGAAGAATCCAAAAATTGTCTGAACTTCTTGTTCTTTGAATGGCACTCTGTCCAAGAAATTGACATTACTGAATACCTCAAATGTGAAAATAAAAGGGAAGATCTTGTGGTGGAATGCTTGGATTACACAAAAGATTAATACTTTAAATCAGTTGATTACTAATGATGGTTTTAACTATTTTGAGAAATTCCCTTTTGATTGATGTGTCTGCCTATGTGCAATATGATATATTCAGTTGAAACATATGTTAATCGGTTTGGCTGAAATGCTTTAACAATCTCTGGGCTACCTGTAAGTTTAGCTTCATTGTAAGATGCAATGTTTGAACCGAAAAAGTGAAATGGAAGTCACAGGTAATTAAATATTTGAAGCTGGAATGAAAAATTGGAATACCCAGTTTTAGAAAATCAATTGGTCTAAAAATGGAAAAATGCAAAATATACATCATGATTCATAAATAAAACATATTCATCAGAAAACATTATTTGGGGTTTACTGGACCATTCAATTTTAAAAAGGATAGACATGTTCCTTGATGTTTGAAGACCCTTTAACGCATATGATTTGGTCTTGTTCTGTCACAGCCTTATTTGTATTTAGATTTACGAAAGTATGTTTATGTAATATTGGGAAGAAATATTAAGGATCTCAAAAGGATATGAAATTATATCCTTAAAATGGGATTTGTTGTCTCATAAAGAATGTTGAGCTTGAGGTAAGGCAAAGAAGATAATTTTAAATAATTGGACAGAAACATACTTTCCTGATTTTAAGGATGTGAATTACCTGTTTTGGAAAAGCCTTTGTTTTCTAAAAGTAAGATGAACATATGTTGTCATATGGCCTATATTTACTTAACAACAATTTTCTATGTTTATTTATATTATATGGATTTTTCTGTTAGTTTTTTTTCTTTTGCCACATTTAGTTTATTTTAATTACTACAACAGATTTATCTTTTTTATTCCACTGCATAAACACTAAAGCTTTGGGGGTGTTGTGCAGACTTTTTAAATATTTCACCATTTCAAATCAATTTTTAAAAAGGCTGATCATGGAATATCCATCAGCTCATTGTCAATAATATTGAGATAATCCTGTTTCTTTCCCAGTCTGAGATCTCACCTCTGTTGCAGACCTGATGACAGAAAAGAAATTATTGTTTCATATTGTTTTGTCTCAAAATTGTTTAACTATTGTATATTTTCCAGTGTCATAACTAAGTTCAGCACCATCAATTAATTAAATAAATAAAATGGTGATCCATGTGGGACTAGAGACCACTATTCGAGCAATTCTATTTATCATTACAAATAGCTGAAAGCTTCATCAAAATAATTCTGGATTATTTATCCAGGATTTATTTTCTCTATGAGAAAATTTACATAATCTAGAGATTCTATTCTTTGGAAAAGGAAATAAGAGAAAACGTGATATATCTAAAACTATGCACTGGTAGAAAGATTTTAGATTATTTCATACAATATCATAATTCATTATTATTCCATGAAAGCTAATTGGTGAAATAAATATTTCGCATACTTAAAGTATTAGTCTCTAGAATGGTACCCTCATGTCCATCAACTGCAGTTGCTGATTATTAGTATCACGATAATATTTGTAGCTCAGGGTTGACATGAGGAGTCCTTGGTGCACTGATAATGTTACCTAGTTTGGATAATGAAACATCTGCAAGAAAACAAGCAAGCTCAGAGAGCACCAAGGACCCCTCATGCATTTGCTAAAAACATATGGTGCAAATTCAAGAAGGAGATAAGCACATCAGCAAAACAAAAACAAAAGCCCTTGAACTTAATTGCTTCAGTCTTGCAAATTGCTTGTTTACATTGACCTAGAGAAAGTAAAAAACTATCAAATAGAGCTCAACTCCTGATTGAGTTTTCTTAGCAACAACATGGAGGTAATTTGATTGGGATGCCTTTCAATTTTCCAGAGTATTTTCTGCAATATTTCTCACACCCAACCCTGCTTAGCTTCCAAATCCTGACAAGGTCGGCCAAGGTCTGCATGATGATATGTCAAGTGAACCATCGACTGCTTATCCATTAATAACACCATCCATAGGGAAGCAGGAACAGTCAGCACCTGTTATTTCATTTTTCTGCTTGCAGGCTTCTTCTTTCAAAGCCTACAATCAACTGGCTGGCCATTGTCTGGGCTGGAATGCCAGATGAAACAGATTTTGCTCACAGGGCTCATTCAAAACAACATACTGTATTCTCAAGCAACCCCCAACCTGACAAACCAAAAGAATCGCTTCAGTTTGTGTCATTAAACAGGAACTCCGTGCTTCAGTTTAATTCACTAAATATCAATAAAAATATTTGTATAGAGTGCAGGTTCCAAACAGAGCGGCAGGTTAAAAAATACCGGATACAAGTCGACCCCTAGTATAAAAGGTTTTCTGCGATAAGTATTTCTTCCCTACATTCCACCTTACAGTCTGCCTTTTACCTGACCCGCTGCCAGTTTAATTCGGAGTTATCTCGGAACTGATGATAGTCTTCACTCTGGTCGAGTGATGAAGCATTGATTCGATGTCCGCTGGCCCACTTATCTCGGTCCTATCTATCTTGCAGCGTTCACGATGGCGGCAAATCTATTTACTACAGGAAGTTCATCCTCCTGGCTCAGCGGAGCGAAATGGAAAAGCTCAGATACTTCCTAGGAAACGGTAAGCAGAGCCCTCTCCTGGCAAGATAGAAGAGGAGCTTCTTCTACGCCGAAAAACCACTTATTTTAGGTGCCGCCCAGGAGAAGGTTTTTAAATTACCAATGCCTTTTTCTTCAAATTGAGGAGTAAAAAAATCACCCTGGGCAAGTACAGTACAAAGCAAGTACAGTACATCAAGAGAAATTGTTTTGCCAGCTCCACATCACAATGTTTGTTTTTAATTTTCAGGGATCTTTATTGCTATTTACTGGCAGGGTACTACTACATTCAAAAACATAATTTCCACCATGGCTCCTCTAAAATTATGCTGATTATTCAGAAATCCATATTATGTTTCATTTAAATGTGCTATAAGTACTATGTACTATCCAGTCTGGTGAATAGTGTGTGTGTGTTAAAAAAAATTCTGGGCAGGTACTTACCTTATCAGTAAGGGAGTTTGGTGCAAGAGCCCCTAATGCTTCATGTCTATACAAACTAGGATTGTCATGCTGGCTCAGATGTTACATGGATTAACATGTCAGGTGTTGTGAGGAACCAGGACAATCTGGGCTACTGGAACAAAACCATACATGGAGAAGACAAGAGATCTGGAACTGATGGATGCTACTACAACAGTAGGCCTAATGAGCGAGAAGACCAAAGCGATCCCAGTGGTGGTTGGAGCTCCTGTGGCTATGATTCCTAAATTGAGAGTGTACATCCAACATATTTCAGGAACAAACTCAAAGCTCTCTGTTCAGAAGAGTGAAGTACTAAAAACAGTTAGGATTCTAAGCAGAACCTTCCAACTTCCATGCCTCTGGTAGAGGATCTAAGACACAGACCACCCATAAGGGTGAAAAGGGAATTATTATATTGTAAAATAATATTGTATTACTACATAGATATGTTAATATTACTAACATACTATATATAAAATGCACTTTATGTTAATATTACTAACATACTATATATAAAATGCACTTTATATATGTAAGTATTATCTAGAATGTTAAAATGTGACAGTAGAATTATGAGGAAGTTTCCATATTCACTAGAAGGAGCTATTTTTGGATGCATCCCTGTGGTGAAATAAAAATCTCAGCATATCAAAGATTCTTGGTGTCTGATGCCTTGCACTTATTATCCCTATATTATATTTTTATCCTGCCATTTTAATATATAACTCAAAACAGCAAGCCTATATACTCCTACCTATTTCCCTGCAACAACAACCTTCTGAGGTGGGTTGGACTGAGAAAGAGTGACCTTCCCAAAGTCACCCAGCCAGTCTCCTGATTTCTATGGTTAGATTTATATCCATATAAAAAGGGAGGAAAGGCAATTATCAAATTACTATCCAGTCAGATAAGTATATAGAATTTGCAAACTTTATGCAGGCTGCTCTTGGCTGCCTATTGAAAACATTTTTTGTGAATAGAAATGCTGATTTGTGGGTGAGCCAATAAATTGGGAATTCTATATTCCCCCAGCAATTTATGTTTTCCAGGCCAAGGCAGGTGCAAAGGGCTGTGTTTAGAATGACTTCTCTATCTTGGAGGCAATGCAATAAATTCTTGGGGCTCCTTGGTGTGTTCCCCATCCCACACTTCCTTGTTCTTGGAGGCAGAAGCTAGTTTAGTAACAGTCTGAGACTGGATAAGTAAAATAACTTAAACTTTATATTCTGTTATGAGAACTCAGGAAGAGGAGTGATTGAACCCATGCCCAGCAACAACTAGGTTACAATCTCTCAGTATATTTATTTTCTCAGAATGCTCACAGTTTTTATAACATCCATGGCATTCCATCAAATTAGAATGTTACTAGCTTTGGTGGTGCCCTGAGAAATATCAACTTCCCATTAGTTTCTTTTTAATTAAAATTTAAAAATATCAGCTTTCCGTTAGTTTCTTTTATCAGTTTCCCATTTAGTTTCTTTTTAATTAAAAAAATATTTTAAAAAAGTAAGGTGGAGCAGGGAAATGTTATGCTTATTAACTTTACTTCATAAAAGAATGTCCTTGTACACAGGTTGCTTACAATCTAAACATTAGATCAAAACAATGTATTTTATCTTGGTTAGAGGAAAAAAGAAAAATATGGCATCCAAAAATAGAGTGCATCTTAAATTAGAACTCATAGATGATTTCCTAGTGTTCAAATTTATATAGACTTTTCTACAGTGTGGATCTTCTGATGCCTACTTAAATGTGATATCCACCTGAAGCTTTTCCCACACTCTGAGCATGAATAGTGTTTCTGTCCTGAATGTATCCTCTGGTGTGTAAGAAGGCTTGTGTTCACATGGAAACCTTTTCCACAGTCCGGGCATTTAAAAGGCTTCTCAGAGGTATGCACTCTTTGGTGCTTGATTAGAACTGAGCTGTAACTGAAGTTTCTCCCACATTCAAGGCACTTGTACGGTTTCTCTTTTGTGTGTATCCTCTCATGGATAAGGAGGTTGGAGGTCCGATTGAAACATTTCCCACAGTCTGAACACCGGAAGGGTTTTTCACCTGCATGTTCAATCTGGTGCCTGATGAGATCAGAACTATATCGGAAGTTTTTCCCACATTCTAAACACTTGTAATGTTTCTCCCCTGTATGAGTTCTCTGGTGGATAATCACATGGGAAGAGTGATTGAAACTTTTCCCACAGGTCAAACAAGTGTAGGGTCTTTCTCCTGTGTGGATTCTCTGATGAGCAATGAGGTGTGAACTCTTGCTGAAGTTCTTCTCACATTCAGTGCACTTGTAGGGTTTTTCGCCTGTGTGAACTCTCTGATGGGCACTGAGAGCACAGCTTCTATTGAAGATTTTCCCACAATCAGGACATGGATGCTGTTTCTTGGACGCTGGCTTTTTTTGCTGAATTGGCTGTTCCTTGGAGTTTCCTTGCAATATGATGGACTTTATTCTTCTGGATCCAGAGTTTTTGACATTTTGTTTCTCTGTTCTCTTCTGGTTTTTAGAAGTTTCTTCTTCCTGGGAATTACTCTTTTGGGGTATTCCTCCCACTTTTCTGTGTAGTTGTATCTGTCCTGGATTTTTCTCCTTGGAAGTGTTTTCCATTTTTTGTCCAGTGGCTGGAATAGAAGCAAAAATAAATAGTTTTGACATCATATCACCTATCTGGGGGAAAGCAAATCATAAATGGTATCTAGGAAGCATCTTCTTGAACTTGGGGGACTATATACAACATTCCAGAGGTGATTATTTCAAGCAAATCTGTACAATAGGTCAATTTATTGCCTCCTCCATACCTCCCTGCTGAATCTAAAACACAGTACAAAATGAATTCATGAACTAAATTCAATTCTTGAGAACATGTACATTGGAAATGATTTGTCTTTGCCACCTTCTGCAAAAATCAAACAAATAAACAAATCCCACCCACCCCCAGTCTTGCTTATAGCTTTAAGATTCCCTGGAAGTCTCCGAGCCAACTACTAACAGGTCAGGCCAGTGGTGGGATTCAATTTTTTTTACTACAGGTTCTGTGGGCATGGCATGGCTTGGTGGGTGTGGCAGGGGACGGATACTGCAAAATCCCATTTCGTCCCCATCCCACTAACCTGCTTTTCAGCTCTGTTCTCCTGTGCAGGGCAACAAAAGAAGACCCGACCGATCAGCTGGGACTCGGGAGGCAGAGAATAGATGGGGGTAGGACCAGTCCAAGATGGTATTTGCTGATTCTCTGAACTACTCAACATTTCCGCTACTGGTTCTCCAGAACTGGTCAGAACCTGCTGAATACCACCTCTGGGTCAGACTCAATTTAAGTATTACCCAGAGTTAGATATGGTAACTGAAAAGTTTATAGTTTGAATAAGAGATGAATTTCTGAGTGATTTGCAGCCTTCTAACTTTAAATACAGTACTACATTTCATTAGATCAACCATAATCAAGCCATTCTTGTAGGAAATGTAATGGGTAAAAGCAAAGTGATCATTGACAATTAAAAAGAGCATAATTTTAACTGATAGGTTTCCCCTAACCAGCTCATTAAATAAAATGCTACAGGCAAGATACCTTTGATTTTTTTAAAAAAAACAGGTATCATGCAGGGGAATATAATTGACATAACATCTTTAGTTCTGAAAAAGTGTCAATTTAAAGATAAAGAGTACAAAGGGGTTTTGCTGAATTATAACCTTGTGCAACCCCAACCAGCTCAGTCAATAATGGGAGCCTCTATATGTTGTGACCCAGCATGACTCTCCACTCTGGATTAAATTAGCATGTCCCATCACTTGAACACTCATCCTGAATGTTTTGCAGCTGAACAGTCATTTATTGTTATTGTTATACAACAAAACATCAGATTTTTTTTACCAACTCCCTCCTTCTATGCTAAAGAATCACTGAGGGTTTTGTACCAGATGTGTTTCAAAAGGCTTGTATTGCAAACATCAGCTAACAACTGTAAAATAAAATTGGCTTCAAGTCTAGGTAATATTTGAGGGCGGATTCAGTGCCATCATTTTCCCCCTATTTAAATAAGTTGAAGTGCTTTCTTTGCAGCGACTGTTGTGCTGTTAGATCCCTGTGTACAATAGTGAGATTGTCTTTGGACCAGATGATCTTTTGGCTTGTGCCATATCCCCTGACTATGCAAGGCCATGCTTTCTTAACCTTGTCCTCTACTGATTTGTTAAATTAATAACCAACATGGCCATATTGGCTGGGAGTGCTGGGAATTCTAACTGTATAATGCATGAAAGCTATTAGATTTGGGCAAACTGGAATACTGTACTGCGTCTGGCATGATGTGCAGCCAGCTGAGATTTCCATGAAGATTGATACAGTTCCCCTTTAAATCTTACTGTGGTAGGATGCATAAAATTAGCATACAGAGAATGAGCTACAAGGGTGAAATGCAGCACTTAGAAAGACAAAGGACAATATCACAGGATGGACTGTATTGCCCCCTACAGTTGGATCAGCAGCAGGCTAATAAAATGCATTTGATTGATCTTGGTTTCTGTTTCTCTCTCTCTCTCTCTCTCTCTCAAAAAAAAAAACCTATGCATAATCAGACTTAAACAGTACTTGGGTGGGAAACTGCCAGGAAATCTCAGGGCTGCAGACTGGACTGAGAAGTCTAAAAACATGCTGGAAGAAGGTGGTTGCAAATCACTTCAGTATTACTGTATTGCCAAGAAAATAAGATAGCCATGTTCATGAAGACACCAAGAGTTCAACTTGGCTCAAAGAAGACTTGAGGTTATGTACAGTAACACTAGGAGTAGCATTTTGATATGGTAGTTAAAAGTACCAGGTCAGCGACCAAGAAACCATAAGTTCTAATCTTGTCTTCAGCAGAAAGCCCTCCAGGTTAGTTGGTACCCCAAAATCCCTTTTAAATGAAACTGTGAGAAATCACACTCAGAACCATCTACGGTACATGCAAAAATGTTCATGACTAATTATGATTCCAACTTACCAACGAAGACAAAACAAAATAAAATATATGGATGGGATCACATCTCATGGACTACACTTCACAAAAACATTCATAATAAATTAAGATGTTACAAGGCATGCTATTACCGTATTTTGACAGGAGAGTAACAATCCTTACACGCTTCAGCTTTCGTGCAAAAAATTGCAATAGATTAAAAGTGTGCTTCTATTGATTTTTATTGATTTTAACTCCTCCTAATATAGATTTGTTGAATTATAACTGTTGCTCTCCTACTCCCTAAGCTTCCAGTACCTTAGAGATTTTGAACAAATGTTCCTCCACATCCACCACCACCCCAAATCTAACAATTTAGCAAATAAAAAGTATGAGATCTGATTGTCTACTTGACTCTGAGAATACATAAGAATAAGAATAGAATAGAACAGAACAGAATCTAACACATTACATCTCCACATGTAACTCGGTCAAAATAGTTCCCCTCTTTCCTTTTCCCTTTACACACACCGATCCTCCTTAATTTTCCAGTTTAATTATTCTCCAAAAGCATTTCCTTCTTCTCCACCAAGGATCTGTGGGTCCGTTCAACCTTTTTTCTTTCCCCTACCAAAGGCTGTTCCTAAGTCAGGGAGAAACTTCCAAGCCCGGCTTGCGAAGGACCTCAGTCTCCACTTCGGTCGGTCAAAGTACTCCCAGCAACCGCCGAAGTGAAACAGACCTCCAAGGCGACGCTGTCGCAGCTTCCTCTCTGACCAAGTCAGATGTTCCTCAGTAGAGAGTAGACTTCCTCTTGCCTTCCCTAGCTGAAATCGAGAGGCCTCTGGCGGCCAGCATAATTTTCAACATCGGAATATTTTATTTATTTTTGTTCTCTTTGGCCATGGGGAGAGCAAGATTATGTTGACGAGGAAGACAAGCAAACAATCGAAAGCATCTTTGCCACGTTAAAGGCAGAGAGACTGTTGAAAGTCCCGCAGAAACTCAGATCCAGCAGATAGAAAACCCTCTCGTGGTAGCTCGGCGAGAAAGAGCTCGGCAAGGGCACGACGGAGAGCCGGAAGGCAAGGACGAGCAAGACGTGGAAGCGTGTACTGTATTCATGCCAATCTGCAGTACTTTGGCAGAATAGAATATTTTATTATTAAAATAAAAACAAAAAACCAAACATATCAACGAATTTTAATTTATTTATTCGTGTTTTTTTTTATAATTTTAAAAAAGACCTTTGAAGACACTAACTTTCTTTTCCTCTGGTCATCCTTTCAAGTTTTATAAAGGTCTAGTCTAGTTTATTTGTATTGACGGCAAAGCATTTATCTGTTTGATGTTCCACTATTGTATCATAGAGCTGCCTCGATTGTATTGTGATTTTTGTATACAGTCCTCAGATTGAATATATTGTTTTAGTATTTTTTGATGTTTTTTATTAAATTTTTGTGCCACCTATTTCCCCTATGACTGGACTTTTAATTTTGGACTTTTATATTTCACTTAGTTTTAAGCGCAATTGACATCATACAAAATACTAAAATGAATAATTTAATAATTACACTAATTATGTTGATGCTAATAGATTATATCCACCTCCACAAAAAGAATGAGTTTAAATGACAAAGAAAAAAAATTAAAGGTATTGATGAGGAAAAAGAATTACAAATATAAGACACCAAATTTGGAGGTTGGGATAGTTATATGGAATCTCTCTATCGTCATCCTATATTTTTCTGATAAGGAACTAATGTCCAGGAAACACGGGATATGGAAAAGAGGCTCTCTGAAGTCCACCGATATCCAAAGTTAGGACCACGCAGGGCGGCAGCCGCCTTGTTTCACAATAGCAGTCAACCTGTCCTTGATTGCAATTCATGAGCAGAAACAAAAGAGACATCAACGGGAATGTTTCATTTCCCCTCTTCCCTATATTTTCCCTTGCTCGACCTCCTTTACCCTCATCAAGTTTTCACAGGAACAGCCAATACTGTATTCTGCCATTTAACTCCGAAAACTGATTTTAGCCAGAGTGAAGTTTTCACTCAGGTCCGACGCTTTCTCCCTTCCTCCACCTTAGCAACAGAAGCAACAACCGGGGGGGCGGGGGGGGCGTTGAGGGAAAGAGTTGCCTACTGCCTTCTAGCGGCTTCGGGCCAGGCGCGAATTCCAGAGTCCAAGGACTGAGCACGAGCCTAAAGATTCGCGTTCTGTATTAGTCTCACCTGTCACCTTGGATTTTTCTCTATCTCGAAGGAAAAACGATCGGCAGCCACCCTGATTTTCACGCGGAACTATTGATTTGCTGCGCCTGCAGTTACGCGGCCTCCTGCACAACAACGGAATATCGTTGCACGAAGAAAGTGAGACGAGCGAAATAACCAATACTTCTGGCTAGTTTCGTTATACCTGAACTAAGTCCTGACAACATCGGAGGACTGGTCTTGAGAAATAAACCAGATAGTTTTAGCTCCAGATGTGAGGTACTCCCAGAACATGGAAAAGGCTTGCGGGTTTGACTGCTGCTTGATGATGTGCCTTTTCCCCCCTCACCCTGCAGCTGTAGTCACTTTTCTCCTTAACTAAAGCTATGAGGCTCTTCTCATGTAGCTATTTCATCAAGTTTGGGGGATAGATTAATAGCTTTTGATATCTTTTTGGAATGTTTCACAACTTCTTTGTATGACAGCTTTTTAAATCTTTATTATGTATTTATGGCAATCCACACTGAGGATTGAACAAATTATCTGCCACTCAGTGTCTGTGGATTGAAACAACCTACAAACCCTTTAAATGAAAAAACAAAAACAATAAAAAAGCAGAGAACTGAAGGGAAATACAGTCATTACAGTACTTATATTAGAAAGCAAATATAGATAATTAGTTCATTGGTTTTCAATCTTTTTTAGGCTTTAGAATCTTTTTTTTAAAATCCCACAATCCTTGATTAAGATGCAAAGCTCCAGTGATAGAAAATTAGCTGTATCTGAATGAACTTTTTTTATATATAGTTTTTGCCGTAACTGCATCAAATTCTCACAGAACACTAGGGTTCTAGTTTTTAAACCCCCCACTTGAAAACCCTGTACTATTTAAGGCCAGTCCAGCAAGCTGAGAAAAGGGATCCTTCAAATGTAAAACCCAGAATGCACAATTGATTTTACTGGCTTTAGTATCTATCATGTATTCAGTTGCATGTTGTGATAGTCATGAAACTGATATCTCTTTTTTTGTGATGGTCATTAGGTGAATGCTGCAAAGTTTTAAGCAAACAGATTGTTAAGCGAACTAATGGTTCACTGTGGACATAGTTTTTCCCAAAAATCGGAATTTTGCCAAAAAGCAAAACTGTTGTAAAACACGGTCATGTTACTGTGGGACACTGCAAATGGCCATAACTATGGCCATTTTGACTAGCGCCATAAATTTGGTCATATGACTGTGGTGGGGGCCCGACTGTCGTAACTTCGAAACTGGATCATAAGCCCCTTTTACTAGGTTGGTCATAACTTCAGACACTAAGCAACCAGTCAATAGTTGAGGACTATGTGGCTGAAATGATTCACATGCTTCTGGCAGGACTAGACAGCTGAGAAAGAGCTGATGAATGCTCAACTGTATGAACATATTTAACTATTTTCTCTTATTCCAGAGAATATCAGAGCATAGCCATATTGACAAGCTGGAAATCAAATCCACATAGAGACAAATTAAGGGCTGAAAGTGAACGCAATCTGAAGTATATGGATTCTATTGCATACCTTTCTGCATTTTCCCTACAAAGTGAATTGTATTCCACAACAGCCTATGCTAGTATCAATCTGTTGCTCTTTTAGAGTAACTGTACACAGTGCAATCCTCTCTTTATGACCAACACAAATGCCACTTTAGAATCTGACAAATTTTATACTAATTTATGTACTAGGAACATTTTCAGTCACCATTCTTGAAAATTGCGATACTTTTATCAGTTATAAATAAATCTGTTCCATTTCTGTGAATGCTTTACCAAAGACTTTGTAAAGGACCTGTACTTATATACATTCATATACTGTATATTCACGCAAAGTTTGCAAACCTTGTTACCCTTTGATTTAAAAAATGGTCTGTGAACTCATTTAAAATTTTAAAAAATTAAAATTTTCCTGACCTAATTTCTTTCAAATAAACTGTATTATGACTCCCATTCTGCCTTCTGGAGCTTGGATGATGGGAGCTGTATCCTAAAATGTCTGAAAGCACCAAACTGGAAAATCTTAAAGAGTAGGATCTAACACTATGGCAAGAATATCTTGTTGGGCAATGGAAGAGAATTAGGAAAGGAGACAAAGGAAAGGGGACATGGAGAAGAAGAAAGGAACAGATCTTGCTGGACAAACTATTCAGTAAAGGCACTAATTTATTTCTGAGTTGGAGTTGAAGACATTTTTTTTTTACAAAAAATGTTTATTAGTGTCAGAATCTACATACAGTATATTTTTCCTACTCCTTATCCTACTCATCCTGGGTTGTCATGGCATAATAAATTTGGACTTCTAACATCCCAAGGACTCAGTCAAGAACACAGCAGCTGGATTGTAGATGGGCTTTAAAGTAATAAGAAAGGATGCCATTTTTAGCCAACAACACTTTTCTACAGGACAAAAAGAAAAGCAGATTATAATTTTCCATTTCCCAAACTCTTACCACAATCAACCATTTCTTAGCTTGAAGTTCTTCAGTTTAATGGGAGAAGATTCCAGGGGCCCAGTTCTAATTCTAATCACCTCCAAGAGCGGAAAATTATGTTGACCTTCAGAGGAGGAAATCTAACGTCAGGTAATATTTTCCATCCTCTGCAAAAACCTTTGGGGTCCCTATAACTCTTACATGTCTGGAGATGGAAGACCTTTCATTCACAAGAGAGATGCACACTGGCTGCAGAGTTAACATCCATCCCTTGTCTCCCATTGGTCCAGGATGAGGCCATCATCAAAGAGAAAGTCAAGGAAATTTAAGAACCACAATTTACTCTCTCTCCCCACCCCACCTGAAACCCCAGTAGGGGCCCAGTAGGGGCCCAATAGGAGTTGGATGAGCAGTTCTGTTGCCTTCATCCTTCATCTTTAAGGATTACTTTGGCCTGCAGGTTATTGGGTTGTAGGCAAAAAGTATAGCCATGGGCTACATCCAGACCACGAGCAACATTGTTGTGATGAGTTCTACTTTCCCCTGTTCTGAATGCTTTGGGGGCTCGGGAGATGAAGAGGCAAAATGGAAACCTTAAGGCCTATGCTGGCTTAAGTTGCCAATTTCATCCCATAAAACTGGTCAACTCTCCCAGCCTTCCTTTTTTTGTAATCTGGTCACTCAAAGCCTGGTCCAGTGCTTGACTCACACTCACCTACCAGGTTTTCTGACGATTGTGAAGTTTCTGGTGAGCAATAAGAGGCGATTTTTGACTGAAGCTCCTCCCACACTCGGAGCAAACATACGGCTTCTCTCCCGTGTGGGTCCTAATATGTTGGGTCAGGATGGAGCTCACCCGAAAACTCCGCTCACATTTGGGGCACTTATAAGGTTTCTCTCCTGTGTGGATTCTCTGGTGTTTACTGAGGGTGGAGAGAATGGTGAAGCCCTTCCCACAATCGGGGCACTGAAAAGGCCTCTCCCCTGTGTGAATCCTCTGGTGCACACTGAGATGGGAGCTGCGATTAAAACTTTTCCCACATTCCAGGCACAAAAAGGGCTTTTCAGCTGTGTGGACACGCTGGTGCTCTATAAGGCTCGAGCTCACACTAAAACTTTTTTCACAGTCAGGACATTCATAAGGTTTCTCCCCCGTGTGGCTTCTCTGGTGAGTCACAAAATTGGAGCTTTGACTAAAACTTTTCCCACACTCGCCACACACGTAAGGTTTCTCCCCCGTGTGAACACGGTGGTGCTTGATGAGATCTGCTTTGTAACTGAAACTCTTGTCGCAGTCTGGACATTTGTAAGGCTTTTCTTCCATGTGGATTTTCCGATGTCTACTCAGGGTTGAACTGGCCCCGTACCTTTTACCACATTCGGGGCATTTGTAAGGTTTCTCGCCAGTGTGGATCCTTTGATGGGTGCTGAAGTTCTTACTGTGAGTGAAACATTTCCCACATTCCAGGCACTTATACAGTTTATCTGTGCGGCAGACTTGCTGAGGTTCGGAATGATCTGACTTGCCCAAAAGGTTTTCCCCAAAGTTGGGGCATCGCAAGCATTTTTCTCCCATTGCGGGATCCCTTGTGAATTTCTTCACCAGTTGTTATGTAATTCTGAGTACCAAAAATTGGTAAGAAGCTACTCTCCTCTATTTTTTAAAAAAAATGTGGAATAAAAATTAAGTGTTTGCATGAAATAAAAAAGAAGAATCAGTAAATGATGGCTTTGTTTTCTGGAGAATAATAAGATGACGCTTTGGCTAGAATGATCAAAGTATTTCTTTGTTTGATTAGCTTTCATTCAAGGTCATTACATCTTCTCTTGCCTCTTTAGAACCGTTGCCAGAAAGGGGCAAGATGAAACATGCCTTCCTCTGTGATCTCCTGCCAAGCTAGAAAATTCAGATAAAGGACTTAATTGGCAAAAATTCAGAAAGTCAATTTAATTTGAAATACATTGCCACATTCCCTTAGTTCCTATATTTATTTAGGCAATCAGGTTTAGTCCTGTCGGCTTCATTCCTCAGGGCCAACAGCAAGGGATTGAGGGAATTACATCCAAAATACATAATTTGTATTAGGGTATGTTTATTTCTGCTCTACTCAATTGGGAATAACGCAGTGTATAAGTAAGGTAAAGGTTCCCCTCGCGCATACATTTTAGTCGTTTCCGGCTCTAGGGGGCAGTGCTCATACAAAGCCGAAGAGCCAGTACTGTCTGAAGACATCTCCGTGGTCATGTGGCCGGCATGACTAAACTCCGAAGGCACACGGAACGCTGTTACCTTCCCAACAAAGTGATCCCTATTTTTCTGCTTGCATTTTTATATGCTTTCAAACTGCTAGGTTGGCAGAAGCTGGGACAAGTAACAGGAGCTCAGTGCATAATGTGGTTCTAGGGATTCGAACCGCCGAACTGCCAACCTTTCTGATCAACAAGTCTTAGCCACTTACTCTTAGCCACTGAGCCACCACGTCCCTAAATCGGTGTATAGATATATATTAATATTTTCTTTGAAACAAACTTAACTTCTAATGACTATAAGGACATATTCCAGGAAATTTAATCTCCAGATACCAATCATGGATTTTACTTGTTCAACATCCAGGTCACATCTTAACAGTACTCTCTCCTTTATCCTCTCCATTTTTTTCTATAAACCTATTACTAGCATAGCCACCTTCATCTCACTCAACTGCCTAGAATTAAGAGTAGATTTAAAGTGATCAAAAGCAAAATCTTAAATTAAATGAAAAGTGAACAGCCAGAGGAAGAAACCCGGTCCTACACCTCAACAGCGCTCACCCTCCATAGAGCTAAATTTGATTGGTGACAATTCTACAGAAACAAGTCTCCCAGTTTGTGTCACAATATACTTCCTAACATTTGTTTCTAGGTCCGTGGAACCTCAAGAGCAGAGACTACCGGTAGATGCTAGAGTTACTGTGCAAAATTATCTGCTTCAACTCCAACTATAACACATATGAGTCTCCTCAGCACCACCACTTGCTGACTGTACAAAAATAGAATTCTTTTTCAGATGGATCTCTAAGGCTTTTGGCCACCTGGAAAAGATATTAAGTAAACTGGAGGGGGTGGAAAGTGGGAGAGGGGAATCACAGTCAATTCCAGTCTCCCTGATTCTTGGGATCTTGCAAAAAAAAAAAAAAGCTCCTGAATATAAAATATGCTCAGTTGTTTCTCTCTGTAGAACCATCTAGAACAGGGGTGTCAAACTCCTGGCCCATTGGGCCGGATGTGTCACGTGCTGGCCACGCTCCCACCCAATTTAGCAAATGGGGAAAAAGCCCCAATACATCACGTGACGACATGAGTTTGACAATTTTCTAGGGAAACTGGAAGAAATGCTTTTAATGCATATGGAAGCTTATCACGGCTATAATAAAGAATACTGAATTAACTAATGCATGATTGTACAGGTAATCCTCGTTAGCAACCTACCTTACATGCTGGTTGTGAAAAGTATGTGGGACTGGTTAACAGCTAGCATGGAATTCTGTCCTTGAATTCTTAAAGCAGAATAAAACAGGAGGAGAATCAGATTTTTGAAGACTCTTCAGAGTAAGGCGCCTCTCCTAGTATAAAGCAAGCACAGCAGAGAAATGCGGGGATAATTTAGGTTTTTTTTTTTATCATGGGCAAGCATACCAGCAAAGAATTTAAAGGAAGCTAGAATCATTCTAATGTCCTTGTTATACCAAATTAATCAACCCCATATGTAACCCCACAGGTCTTGGATGGGACTTGTCATCTCTTTTATGTTTGTATAAATACAGCCTGTACATGTGTTAACTTTTGTCTGTATGCTTTTTGGTGGATCAATCAATCCTCTCTATCCACAATGCTCTGAGGAGAGAAAAGCAAGTCCTCTTACTAAGGGTACCCTTACAGGTTGTCCACTGTTGATTAGACAGGAAATCCTCAACTTACGACCACAATTGAGCCCAAAATTTATGTTGCTAAATGAAACATTTGTTAAATGAGTTTGCCCCATTTTACAACTTTTCTTGCCATCGTTGTTAAGTGAATCATTGCATTTGTTAAGTTAGTAATACAGTTGTTAGGTAAATCTGGCTTCCCCACTGACTTTGCTTGTCAGAAGGTTGCAAAACATGATCACATGACCTCAGAACACTTCAACCGTCATAAATGTGAGGCAATTGTCAAGCATCCAAATGTAAATCACAAGTGGGGGGGGTGGATGCTGCAACGATCATAAGTGTGAAAAACGGTCATTAATTATTTTTTTCAGTGCCGTTGTAACTTCGGTCACTAAACGAACTGTTGTAAGCCAAAGACTACCAGTAATTGAGATCATCATTTCTGTTGCTAAGCAAGGCAGTTGTTAAATGAGTCGCACCTTATTTTCAACCCTTTCTGCCACAGCTGTTAAACAAATTACTGCAGTTGTTGAGTGAAACACATGGTCATTAAATAGCTCCAGCCTCCTGCATTGATTTTGCTTGTTGGGAGCTGGCTGGGCGGGTGGCAAAAGGCGATCATATGATCTCAGGGCACTACAACTGTCATAAATACATTGTAAGTGTGAGGACTGATTGTAAGTCCCTTTTTTCAGTGCCATTGTAATTTCAAACAATCATTAAATGAATGGTCATAAGTCGAGGACTCCCTGTATTTGCAGAGAAGTTCTACCAACTTCAAAAGAGCGCTGTGCTATGAGTTGTGCACATTTACATTTATATTTATGTTTATTGCTAGGATAAAGCTCCCCAACTGGCTTTAACCCCATTCTGTCACATCATAATAATGTGGCATCAACAGCAGGCATGGGACTTAATGGCCATGTTGACACAAACTATTGACTTGGTTATCTAATTAACCCATTTTCTGGATTTACAAACTACAGAATGAATTAAACATGTGGATTGGGTTGGTCCAATAAATCTCCTCCAATCAAACTTGCCCCCCCTTATCTCTTCCACACAGCTGTCTTTTGACAATGCTATGACAGTGAACTTCACTTTCTTCATTTTTCAACGTTTACATCTAGCCAACGACTCCGGGAATTCCCTAATGGTTCCCCACCTATTCAGACATCAAGCCAGTCAAGTCACTAACACCTTGCGGTGAACGAACCTTGGCTAACACAATAAAGTTTTAACAAATGGTGCAAATGCATTTGCTGGATCTTTTACTTCACCGCGTTACACACGCTGTGTCACATCGTCCTTAAAATAATAACAATATATTTAATTGTTAAGCAGAGAGCACTGACTGAACGGCTACATCTCCAGATCGCTATCAGGTTTGTTTTTGCAACGTCTAAGGCAGATTTAACAATATAAATCCAGTACATTTTGACGGCATCGGCTTGGAGGAAACTGTTCCTCGGGTGCGGGATGGTGGAAAGTTATTTCAAGCCGCTCTGGTTCTTCCAACCGCCGACGGGCTCGATTGCACTGACCCACACATTCCTTCGCGCGTCCTTGTTCCTAGAAAGCCTTGCCTTTGCACTCGAGCAATCAATCGCCTTTCGCCTGGGATCTTACCAGCTGCCGATTGCAAGAAGCGTGACGTCAGAAGCAGGGCGGCGGGCCTCGCGCGAGAATTCCCTTCCCCGTGGAAGGCCCGTGCAAATTCTCCGGAAGCGGAATACGTTTTGCTCGTCTGTGCAATCTCACACTGCTCTCTGCTGGCTTCAACGAATCCCAATCCCTTTGGAAAGCAAAGGGCGAGAAAAACTTAATGCGAATCTCTTTGAAGGGCTTAAACTTGGAAGGCACCTTGGCACCAGCACGATTCCACAAACAGCGCTCTCTTTAAGGATTGACAAGCGCACAAGTTTGCGGATAAAATCAGAGGCGCCTAGGATAGCTGAACATTTGTGGGCAACGCCCTTTTCTTTAACTGAGTGTAAGTAAATAGGAATCGCGAAAAGGTTCAAACGAGTCTTTTCTTTGTGGCACTGTGGCAATCCAACCACTGCACTTTTAAAACCATGATTTATATGTTATTTAATTTATATCTCGAGTTTATTATTTTCAGCATACTTAATACTCCTTCCTCCTCCTATTTTCCCCATAACAATAATCCCGTGAGGTGAGTTGGGCTGAGAGACTGTGACTGAGCCAAGGTCAAACTCCACCTGTCAATGGAGCTTATCTGGCAATTGCAGTTTATGGCGATTAAGGAGATTATAAAACAACATACTTTTGTCCCCAAATCCTAAATTTCATTTACACAGCGATAGCTCTGGGCAGTTCCTGACTGGGCAGGAAAAAGATTTAGAGGTTGTGATAGATGTGACCTGCAATATTGATGCAGTGTGAAAAAGATGAATTCTCATTAAACTTCCTTAGGAAAGGATCTGAAAAATGAAACTGCTTTGTGCCATTATTGCAGATCCTTAACACCATTATACAGATTTATAACACAGCAGTTGTATTGCTGAATTTTGAAGGGGGTCCTTAGTGCAACGAAAAGCAACCAAAGATATAAGGAGATTGGCAACTTTTCAGTCTGAAAAAAAGAAAAAAGCACAGAGAAATGTGAATGCCTACCCAAAGATGCATGGATTGGAGAAAGCAAACACATCTTTTCCCCTGTAAAAATGTATGACTTGAAGACATTCAACCTCTCAAGACAATGCAGGCAAAGATAAATATTTCTCACAAAACATAGTGAAGTCACAGTCCCTCATTCATACAGCTTTAGCTGGGAATTAGACAAGTTTGTGGAAGAAAAGGCTATTTGAATACCAGTTTTAGAGGAGAGGAGGAGTGTGAAAAAGCACACTGAGCTTCACAGAAACATTTTGTTGGCTAGGATAAGAAACAGCACCTTTTGGATATTAGTCTGATCTGACAGGGCTCCTGCATTGTCCTGTATTGGTTCTTTAATTCATACAGATTTAATAATGCTGTATAGTTTTGAGCCAAGGTATAAACTGCCTTGAAGATCTTTTGCTAGAAAGTTAGGATTTAAAAATAAAACTATGTTAAAAAGAAAAAAAACATTGCTTATTCTGTTAGAAAAGAAGAAACCTCTAGTTTAAGCATCTTTCAGAAATAGGTAACTGGTGCAGTGTGGTGTACAGGACCAGAAGTATACCTGGACTTTCTGGGAAGTTGAGAATTGTAGTTCCTACAAGCTGAAAAGTCTTGTTAACCTCTGGTAAATTTTGGCTGCTCTTGATAAGGTTTAATTAGGGTCAGATCTGATTAGTCCTTGGATGATCAAAAGTCTGTAGGTATGATTGAGAAGTCTAAAACAACTCCCCCCAAAATAAAAATAAACTTCGGGCATCAAAAGATCTTGCAATTTTAGATGGAGAAAACGAGGGTTGGACTTTGTCGCTCCAGACCACAGAAGGGTCGAGCTGCACTTCACGCGCTCCCGTGCCGCATTAGGGCAGGCGTCTTTCTGCATCCGTCCGACACTTTAATCCGGCCTTGTCTTTCCGTTAGCGAAACGGACTCGCCCCCTGGATCTCTAGAAGCTCAAGATAATTGTGCAGACAGGCAGCGGCCAGCAGAGGGCTCGGGTTATAATATCGAGAAGGAGGCGAAGGGAGTCCAGGCGCCCCTTCCTTCGCTGTGTTCCCAGGCGGGTCGGCGGCTGACCCCAGGTTTTCAAGCAGGAATTTAGGAAACCTCGGAGGGAGGTACGCGGCAACTCCTGCAGCCCTACGCACCAGGCAAGCAGGACTGCTCAGAGTCCCGCGGCGTCGCCTCCCCCGACCGGAGTGAGAACTAGCCAAGGGCCGCGGCAGCCATTAAATTCCTCCTGCGCCGTTGCGTAGGCGGGCTGCGGCTGTCGAACACCCAAGGCGAACGAGAGGTAAGGAATCATCTGGGCAGAAAATTGGGGGGTTTTTTATCGGGAAACGGGGAGAGAGACAATGGAGAATTATAAATAAACACATACCGCTTTCATAAATCTGATCTGGGCTGGATACAGAGAGACAATAGACATTCTGTGGTTGCGCTTCTCCGAGAATCACCGAATGTAAAGATTGGGAGGGATTTTGGAGATAGCGATAGCACTTAGACTTATATACCGCTTCATAAGTGCTTAACAGCCCTCTCTAAGTCTTATCTGACCCTTTCAGGAGTTGATCTCCCTAAGCCGTGATTTGTTGAACAATGTTTGAGGTAGAGACCAGAACCAGTTTGGTCTAAATGCATCAGGCTAGAAATTGGGAGCCTGAGTTATAGTCCCGTTTTGGGCATGAAAGAATGGCTGACCTTGGCTCAGTCACAGTCTCTCAGCCCAACTCACCTCACGGGATTATTGTTATGGGGAAAATAGGAGGAGGAAGGAGTATTAAGTATGCTGAAAATAATAAACTCGAGATATAAATTAAATAACATATAAATCATGGTTTTAAAAGTGCAGTGGTTGGATTGCCACAGTGCCACAAAGAAAGTAAATGATAGAATACCTCAGGCTTCACACCTGGAGCTCATCCACGTTTCATAAATCAATAAATCATAAATCCTCTTTAATAATAAATCATAAATCCCCTTTAGACAAGGGGATATAAGGGATGCTTATCCCATTTGCAGATGACACAAGCTGTAAAGGATGGTTAATGCAGCAAAATACAGGCTGGGAGTTCAATAGCATTTGAGAAACATGAACAGTTTAAGTGGGTAGAAATGTAGAGTTTTGTAGTTAGGTAAGAAAAACCAGATCTTCAAGAACAAGGTAAGTATACTTCCTTGGCAATAGTACTTAAGAGAAGGATTGGGCATTGACCATAGATTAAACATAGCCAACAGGGTGATACAGCTGCCAAAAGAGCTGGTGCAATCTTAGACTGCAGCAACCGATTTACAGTGTTGAAATCAAGGGAAAGGTTAGCTCTGCTTTATGCTACATTGGTTAGACTGGAATACTGTATCTACCAATAGTTCTGGACACCACAATCATAAAGAAATTGAGGAATTGGAAAGAGTGCAGAAAAGAGTGTCAGAGTTTATGAGAGGCTTGGGTACAAGGTACTTTCCAACCCCATTTTGGTTTAGTGTGATTAGATGAAGAGGTCCAGTTGACTAACGTGTGTAAGTAATATACTGCCCAGTGTTGAGGACAGAGTTTCTTAAAAAGCCCCAGTGCTAAATTTAAAAAGCCACCCATTTATTGTAATGACCCACCAGTTTCTTATTTAGAAGAAAGAGATATAAAATTTCTAAATCATCTCATTGGGGATCCAGGTCTGGTCCACAGCCTAGATATGTTTCAATTAAACAGGTATCATTAGCCAGCTGTTTCATGTATACCTTTGAAACCTGGAGATAGGCTGAGTCCAGACATCAGTTAAGCTAAATAGTGACAAAAGTTCTACAGAATTATACCAGGGTTGGTATCAGCTGTGGATGAAAACCTGTTGCACATTTGTCCTTTTAAAAAGCAATCATTGCGGTAACTTGCAAATTGGAATAAAAGGAATCATGCTGTAATCTGTCATGACAACAACAGGAGTATCAAAAGTGCTACAAATAGACAAAACCAACAGGCAGTAAATTAAATTGGCCAGCAGGCAGTAAAGTGTTAACAAAAGCCTAAGACATTTAAAGTTATTTAAATAAAACACCTTGGATTGCTGATGTTATGCAAGCAGAGAAGGAAATAATGTTATTTATTGAGACAGTGAGGTCTGCAGATTGGTTGCTGTCACAGAGAAAGCCCTTTCAACGTTAGGACACAACAGGTGATCTTAAAGACAGGCAGATTCACATGGGAATTGATACCACTTCCTGTAATTTGACAACACCCACAAAGAAACTGGCAGCCATTAAAATCATGATAGTTAAATAGTTACATGAAGCCAGTACTTTATCCTTTTCAAAAATATCATAAAACTTTCTGAGTGGTTTACTGGGTGGCCCAACACAGAATCTGTTACAATAGTCTAGCCAAGATAGACACAATTTGCAGCATCCTATGGTCATGTGACCATGTTTTATGATGGTTTTGCCAAAAATGGACACTTTGTTTTTGGCAAAAGCATGTCATAGTGAACAATGAGTTCACTTAATAACTGCCACAAAAAACAGTGTAAAATTGGGTTGGTCACATGACCATTCCATTTTCTAACCGTTGCAACTTACGACCATAATGGGCAGACTCTGTTATGGTCGTAATGCAAAAATTACCTGTATTCCCAATCTATAAACCAGCTCCAGTGAATTCCTTTTTCTAACTCTTACATAATTCTGCTCTCTTGCATTTTCAACAGCTGAAATCCATCTTGACTTTCATGTACTTTGAATTAGAGAATAATTGTCATTTGCTACTTTGTGTGCATTCCACATCGCCCAAACAATGTATGTGTCAGATTTGATAAGAACAAATCTTCAGAGGAGTAAGAACATAAATATGTTCAGAATCCTTTGAAATCAGAAAATGTGGGACTGGATAGATCACACTGTGGTTCCTAGAATAACATCTTCCATCTATTTTCCCTTTAGCTGTTAACAAAATGTTGACCCAGGAAATCAAGACGACCTTTAAACAGGAAGAAGAGGAGAAGGTACAGCAGCACGACCCCCACTTAAAGGACTTTATAGAAGTGCAGAACACATCTGAGGAACATGCGGTCCAAAAGAAACACAACTGTTCCACCTGTGGGAAGAATTTTTGCCGCCGCTCAGATCTTGTCCGACACCAGAAACTCCACTCGGGAGACAGGCCCTTCACATGCACCAAGTGTGGGAAAGGATTTGTCCAGAGCACCCACCTCATTGCCCACCAGAAGAGCCACACCTGGGAAAAGCCCTACTATTGTCCTCACTGTGGGAGGAGCTTCAATCAGATCTTGAACTTCAACAGGCACCAGAGGACTCACTCCCAGGAGCCCCCTTTCAAATGTTCTGACTGTGGAAAAACCTTCAGCCGCAGCTCGAACCTGATCATGCACCAGAGGACTCACACGGGAGAACGACCCTACAAATGCTTCGACTGCGGGAATAGCTTCAGTCGGAGTTCCACCCTGGTGACTCACCAGAGGACCCACACCGGCGAGAAACCTTTCAAGTGCCAGGACTGTTGGAAGAGCTTCGGAAGACGCTCCACCCTGGTCATGCACCTGCGGACTCACACTGGGGAAAAGCCCTACAAGTGCTCTGACTGCCCTGAAACGTTTAGCGTGAAATCTGGCCTCCTGAGTCACCAGAGAATCCATATGACCGAGAAGCCCTACCTGTGCCTGGAGTGTGGCAAAAACTTCTGCCGCAGTGCAGACCTCATTATACATCAGAGGATTCACACTGGGGAAAAACCTTATCAGTGCAACGCCTGTGGCAAGAAATTTAACACGAACTCCCACCTTGTGACCCATCAGAGGATCCACACAGGAGAAAAACCCTATAAATGTCCCGAATGTGGGAAGAGCTTTTCTTACAGTTCAGTCCTGGTGGGTCATCAGAGGCTTCACACAGGAGAGAAACCGTATGCGTGTCTCGAGTGCGGGAAGACTTTCCGAAACAATTCTCATCTCATCACTCATCATAGAGTACACTCGGGAGAGAAACCTTACACATGCCCAGAGTGTGGTAAAAATTTTAGTGTAAGTTCAAATCTTACAAAGCATCGGAAAATCCATGAAAGAGAGACGTCCTTGAAATATTCTGAGTAGGAAACACAGTGGATGGGATTCTGAACTCAAGATGCTTCGAAGATAAATATTTGGGGAAATTTTGCTAGAAAGTCCAAATGTTTGCAGTAAAGAAGGTAAAAATGAAAGTAGACATGAGATAGCAAAGAATGTACAAGTAGTCCTAGACTTATGACCACAATTGAGCCCAAAATTTCCTTTGCTAAGCAAGACAGTTGTTAAGCAAATTTTGTCCCATTCTGTGACCTTTCTTGCCACAATACTTAGTGAATTACTGCAGTTAAGTTAGTAACATGATTGTTATGTGAATCTGGCTTCCCCATTGTCTTTGCTTGTCAGAAAGTTGCCAAAGGGGATCACTGGACACTGCAACTGTCATAAATACATGCCAGTTGCCAAGCATCCAATTTTGATCATGTGACCATGAGAATACTGTAACAGTCAACAGTGTGAAAAACAGTCTTTTCAGTGCTGTTGTAACTTTGGGCAGTAAATGAATGGTTGTAAATCAAGGACTACCTGTATGCCATATCTTGTATGAAAGGATTTCATTATTAAAAGATCCCTGATTTTTTTTAAAAAAATCTCTTTTAAGAACGGAATATGATGAGGAAGACGTATTAAGTTCAAATTCTGCAACAAGGAAACAAGCATGTTTTTCTTTCTCTCCAAAATAATGTAACACAAAAAATGTATATTTGCATACTTTTACTTGCTTACTTGCTATTGCAAAATGCTAATTTTTAACATATTGTGAAAACCTAGCATATGGAAATTATGGAAAAATACGGTAGCAGTAGGGAAAGGGCCTTTTTTTGTAAAGTCACACATCTGGGGGATTCCAGTTGTTTAGGATAGTCATCAAGAAGTGCCAATCAATCAGCTGTGAGGCAAATAGTTCAAAATACTGCTGGAACTTAAAATACCTGATTTAGTTCTGCTGTAGCTCCTATGCTGTAAGCTGCTTGAGTGTTGAAGGCTGGTTATGGTAAATAAAGATGGTCATTTATTTGGCTGCCAAAAGTGTAGGCTAATGTGTGAACCTTAACAGTTTTTATTTAAACCACCAAGGAAGATGAAGATGTGCAAAATAAAATGAATTGCCCCCAAACTGAATCCCTAATAAGACCTAAAGGTAAAGGTTCCCCTTGCACATACATGTTAGTTGTTTCCGGCTCTAGTGGGCGGTGCTCATGTCTGTTACAAAACCGAAGAGCCAGCGCTGTCCGAAGACGTCTCCATGGTCATGTGGCCGGCATGACTAAACTCCAAAGACACACAGAACACTGTTCCCTTCCCACCAAAGTGGTCCCTATTTTCCTACTTGCATTTTTGCATGCTTTCAAACTGCTAGGTTGGCAGAACCTGGGACAAGTAATGGGAGCTCAGTCCGTTACGTGGTGCTAGGGATTCGAACCACCAAACTGCCGACCTTTCTGATCGACAAGCTCAGCATCTTAGCCACTGAGTCACCGTGTCCCCCAATAAGGCCTAGCTTTCTTTAATTTTTGTGAGCTCACGGGCTATGTAGCCTTAAGCATTACAAAACTAATTTCATTCCAGTGTTCCTAATTTCACAAATATAACAAATTGCTAGTGATTTGGTCTTAATTTTTTGCTGACACACAATGATAACTCTGTTGCTGTTAAAAGTATCAAATCATTGGAAAACTTTGTTTGACGGTATCATGGCAAAGAAACTGATGTATAGGTAGTCCTTGACTTAAGACAGTTAAGTAAGTTCTGCCCCAATTTGTGATGTTTTTGCCACAGATGTTAAGCAAATCACTGCAGCTATTAAGTGAATCATAAGGTCATTAAACAAATCTGGCTCCCCCCATTGACTTTTCTTGTCAGAAACTGGCTGGGAAGGTGACCCCATGATCCTGAAACAATGCAACTGTCATAATACATGCTAGTTGCCAAGAACCTGAATTTTGATTATGTGACCATGGAGATGTTGCAATGGTTATAAGTATGAAAACCAGTTGTTACCCACTTTTTTTCAGTGCCATTGTAACTTAGATCATTAAATAAATGGTTATGAGTCAAGGACCATTTATAATGTGGTTCACACATTGGGCCAAGCTTTCATATGTGTTTGCTTTTGGCCTAGGGTGGCGTATGGACCCAGACAATGGTAGCTTGTTTAATAGCAATAGCACTTAGACTTCTGTACCACTCCATAGTGCTTTATAGCAGTGGTCCCCAATCTTTGCAGCTCTGGTGGCCTGGTTTGGTGGGGTGGAAACGAACCGGGCCGTGCAAGCAGCAGGCTGGCATCCATGTGCATGTACACACAGCTTGACTAGTTGCACTGCACACACATGCATGTGCACGCCGGCCCAGCACACACGTGAATTGAGATGCACGCAAATGCCTGCTGGCCTGTTGCTTACATGGCCTGGTTGTGGGCAGAGGCCCAGGGTTTGAGGACCTCTTCTTTATAACACTCTGAGCGGTTTACAATGTCAGCATATTGCTCTCAATAACCTAGGTCCTCATTTTATCAACCTTGGAAGGATGGAAAGCTGAGTCAACCTTGAGCCGGTCAGAATCAAACTCCTGGTTGTGGGCAGAGTCAACATGCAATACTGCCTTCTAAGCACTGCACCCACCACAGCTGTTAATACACTATGGTTAAATGAACTGTTTGAACCTATGTGAATAAATAGTATGTGGGCATATTTTCCTGGGAAAGTGGTGCTATACAATGAGCATGCAGGTAGCAACACGTTACCAGCCTTGAATGATCTCAGAAGAAGCTGTGCAGGGTCAGAAGGGATTTGTTTTTTGGAAGGGAGACAGTGCTGGAGAAGCAGTGGAGTTGAGTTTAAGAAGACTTTATGGGTGATCAGAAGCCTCATTAAGGAATGACTGCCAATCAGATTTTGCTCAGACATTGAATCAGCTCCAGTTCTGTGTTGATTGCATTGATTTCCTGGATGCTTAGATGAATTACCCCTTTTGTTCAAGAACACAAGCTACTGTTTTCAGTAACTTCTGTAGAGGTGCCACTGTCCTCCCTTCTCAGGTGTATTTCAACCCGTCTGGGACTTAATCCAGGAAGGAAAGGTTGCTACCTGCCAAGGGATACGCAGGCACTGATGACAAAACATTGGAAGGAATGCTGAAAAACAGAGGCGATTCTATCAATGGTCAGTCCCTGGTGTTAAGATTTCCTGAGAGAGAAATTAAAATATCTCAATATCATGACCAGCAGTCTTATTACATCTGGGAAACAGCAGTTTGGGAGTTTTCAAAACCATTTTTTTTTACCCATTTTTCTGACAGGAAAAGGCTCCTTCCTAGGCTGCTTTATTGAAACACTTAGGGGGGAGACAGCGTGATTGGGCTGGCTGCATAAATCTACACATGAATAAAAATGATTTTAACAAAAGCTGCAAACCACTGAACCTGGCCTGTTTTGCGATTGGAACAATCCAAATAAAGGGGCCACAGTCTGTTAGAAGGAACAGTTTTAGTCTCAGCCATAACATAAAAAAAACACCTTCACATCCAAAAAGCATTAACTTTATTGTTGTTGAAACCTTAAGGATATTGTAGTCAGTGTTAGCTTTCAAAGGAACTGGTTAAAATTGCAGCCAAGATCTATATTATAGCAATGGTGCAGCTCTTAAACAACATTCAGGTGTAAAATCTGAAAGCAAGAAAAATGAGATAATCCAGGCTGGGAATACTTGATGAAACCAAATTCAGCCAGAGGAGTATGCATCCATTACAGAAACATGGAGTGTCCCTTCTTGTATATCTTGTTTTCTGCCACCACAAACAAGTCACCTATTTTGAGGAACATTTAGAATATGCTGTAGAACTTCATTCTGTCAGAACTAGTTAGGCTTCCTTAGATTTTTGCATTAGGGAGCCAATCCATGCCTACCCTGCTGGAATTCGTTCACTAATGCTAAAAACTATTACCGCTAAATAGGCCATTTCTTAATTGGTTCCTTGCCAGACGATAAAGGATGCTTTTAAAAGTTTAAAAGTTTTTTTTTAAGGTTGCTGTTTTCTCTTTTTTTGCAAATTCACTTCCCCACTGCTTTTGATGGTTATTATAAATCAAGTATTCTAGCTTTAAAAATATGTTCTTGAATCAATGATTAATATTTTCATCTGAACTGTGTTATCTTAAATATTCACAAAACTGCTATGCCATTCTATACAGATAATCCTTGACTTACAACATTCGTTTTAGTGTCCAGAATTATAAAGGTATCAAAAAAAAGTCCTCACACTTACGACCAATGCTGTGTCCCTGCGATCACACTACCAAAACTCAGACACTTGGTAACCAACATATAATTTGCAGCATCCTGGAATCACATTATGACTATTTGCTACCTTCCCAGATGGTTTCCAACAATTTATGTCAACGGAGGATGCCAGATTTGCTTAATGACAGAAAACAGGTTGTAAAACCAACAACAAATTATTTAGCAACAATATTCCATCCCATTTGTAGTTATTAAGTTGAGGACTATGTGTTGGCAGGACAGCCATTCCTGATAAGAGTGACTATTGTCTCAGTCATTTTTTCAGCTTTGATTGTGGATTTGTGAAGGGCTAAGGCTTTGGAAATAATTTTATAAAAGTTTTCAGACTGATAGCCATCAATAGAAGTCTCGTGCTTTCTTTTTAACAAGGCATGGGATGTGGGGTCCTTGGTGCTCTCTGGGCTTGGTTATTTTCATTGCCATATTAGGTAATATTATCAGTGCACTGATGATGTCACCAAATTTGGTAATGATAGTTTGGGAAGAAAAAAAAACAAGCTTAAAACAGTTCAAATCTGAGCTACAAATATTCTCTTCTCTCAGTAGGTCATAGTAATACTTGTGGAATCTTTGAAGTGACAACTTTACAATGAGAAGGAGCTTGAGAATTTCCTTTAGAGCAGAGTTGGCCTGTGTCAGTCCTGACTGTTTAATAAAGTTCTTACACCACTGGCCCTTTAATTTCATTGGCTGAGCTGCACAAAGTTGTACACTGCATGATAGATAGCAATAGCACTTAGACTTATATACCGCTTCACAGTGCTTTTACAGCCCTCTCTAAGCAGATTACAGAGTCAGCTTATTGCCCCCCCAAACAATCTGGGTCCTCATTATACCGACCTTGGAAGGATGGAAGGACAAGTCAACCTTGAGCCTGGTGAGATTCGAACTGCCAAATTGCAGGCAGGCAGATGGCTATGAAATCACTGAAATAAGCACCAAACGGTGGTGTTATTTGTCCACTCTGATTCCTTTTATATATCAACAAGACCCACATGAAGTTCTCACAAATACATTTTGAAACATATGCAAACATTGAAAAAGAAATCTGAAAAGGATCATTTTCACAAAATTCTATTCTCTCAACGATTTCCTGAATGGCCAAAAACAAACAAACCCTACAACACATTAAAATACAGTAATAGTTCAAAAACAACATTTTGGATTTGGGAATAGATATTCCAATCAGATTAAATGTTAGCCAAATTAGTTCCATTTTATCACAAGTATAGAAGCTACTTTTCTTGGTGACAGTAAAGACAAAATACAAAGTCATGCTAAATGAAAGAGGCTCTTTTTTTTTCCTTCCCCTCCTCTGGAGCAGACTTCTGAATCCAATTCATGAGACAGAAATAACTTCAATTTATGTCATAATTAAATTAAAGTAGGATCTGCACTACTATTAGGTACAGTGCAGAGAGACACACCCTTTCTCAGGCCAATGCTTGTGCTTGGCTTCTTGGTTGCAGTTCAGCGTCCACGCCCAAAAGACAACAGTTAGGCAAGGACAATAGTTAAATAGGATTGAATGCAGTTTATATATAATTAAAATTACATTAAATTCGTTTCGTATCATTATTTCCCCTTTCTGTTATGCTAACAGTTGCAATCTGTTGGCAAGTGTTGGAAGTGGAAAGCATATGCTAGGTTTTGGTGAGACACATGCATCCCTGGTGCCTCTGTCTGTACACCTGGAAAGTCGAGGCTCGGCAGATTTTCTCAGGAGACACATTCTACAGACTGAGGATCCTTGAGTGCTCTCTGAGCTTGGTTGTTTTCTTGCAGATGTTTCATTACCCAACTAGGTAACGTCATCAGTGCACGAATTCTACAGATTGGGGCAGCAAGGAGCTCTCCTCCCCAGATTCTCCTCTGCCATTTAAGCTAGACTGCCACCTACTGGCCTAGCACAAAAAGATGTCTAATTGCCAAGGTTGACATAAAATCCAGCTATGAAAATTTAGGTGGTATAAACAGAATGAGGGCCAGACACTTTGTTCTTCACTTCAAATAATAAAATATCTTGGCCAGCCTTAGTGGTATTTCACAAATGCACCCTTCAATTCAACGCAAAGGCCGATTTGGTGGATGCCATGAGACGTGCCTTCTGTTCTCCAAAGCTGGCAGTCAGTGCAATCATAAGAACTGTCCTCTCAGGAAACCAAGCTGTTCCTGGTTCTTCTGTCCTTTCCTTGCTACCCTGGATGCTGTTCAGAATGGGCGCGATGGAGATGTCTGGTGATTCCACTGGATGGTTCTCTTTTGGAAATAAATAGTACAGCACCTTATTTGTGGCACTCCGTTCTTGGTCTAAAGAATTCAAAGACAGTAAACCCAAGCTTTTTTTTCTCTCCACTTCATCTATTCTCAATTTTCTTAATAAGATTAGTTTGTGTAATGAAATCCTATGGCTGAAATCAGGTCTTTCCACACCCATGCCAGTATTGTATTGTCTGTCTTTGGATTTCAGTTCTGCCCAACAGTTTAAAAGTTGAGAAAAATCTCCTCTCTGAATCAACTGCCTTGATTCCAGCTCTATGCACACAGAAAAAGGCTCATAATTGGCCATTATAAGAGGCGGCTGGGAGACGTTTTGCCTTCTTTGATTCCCTCGTATAGAAATGCCCTCTTCAACTTCAGGGCTGATTGAACCCAGAATTCATTTCTAATAAGGAAATTCAGGGTTCACACTTAATAGTTACCCCTGAATTTGGCAGGGGCCTGTTTTCTCCAGTGGTGTGACACCTCTTATGCTGAACGAACTGTTTGCTCCCATTAAAACTTTTCCCACAGTCAGGACATATGAAAGAAGCCTTTGCCATATGGATCTTCTGATGTGTAACCAAGTGTGAGCTCACACGGAAGGCTCTCCCACAGTCGGGACATTCATAAGGTTTCTCCCCCGTGTGAATTCTCCGGTGGATAATGAAATGAGCCCTTTGGCTAAAGCTTTTCCCACATTCCAAGCAAATGTACGGTTTTTCTCCTGTGTGAATCCGCTGGTGGATCACAAGGTTCATCTTCACACTGAATTTCTTCCCACAGTCCAGGCACTCGTACGGTTTTAACCCAGTGTGAATCCCTTGGTGTTTCGCCAAATGGGCATTCCGACTAAAGCTTTTCCCGCAATCTGAGCACCGATAGGGCCTGTCACCTCGGTGACTCCTTTGGTGCCTTTTGAGCGCCGAGTTCTGAATGAAATTTTTCCCACAGTCTGTGCAGTGGTAAGGCTTCTCTCCTGTATGGATCCGCTGGTGGTTGACCAGATGGGAGCTGTACCTGAAGTTCTTTCCACAGACGTGACAGATAAGTGGCCGTTTCACCCTAGGAATGCCTACTTTTCTTACAGTGTCCTTCTGAGATATCACACTTCCCGTGCTAGACACAGGTGCTTCCTGGGCCTGATCTGAAGGGTTTCTCTTGGAAATTTTCCAGTCCAAAAGGCATTTTTCCAAAGGAGAACTCTGAGGACAAACTTGCTGGAATGTCCTATAAGTGTTGCTATGCGGTTCTAATTGCACACGTTTTTCAAGCTCAGCACTCTTTTTGCCATTCCCATAGGCTGTTCCATTACCTTCAGGATAAACAGACAAAAAAACAACAACAACCAGGTAAGTATAATGCCAGACAGAAAGTGCAAATAGAGCAATAGCAGCTCATTATGAGAATCACTTCTCAGTGACACATTTTGCATGCAGGTCTGGGGTTCAGTGTCAAGGAACTGGTGAAAAATGCAACTGTATGAGACTCCAAAGAGAAAACAATAAGGGGAGCAGATTTTTATGTCTTTCCAATGTTCAGCTATTGCTAGAGCAGAGATGATTCATGTAAGAAATCTCATAGAACACTCCTTTTGGAAGCGGAGGAGAGATTTGGGCTAGGAAATCCTTTCTTTTTAATTTTTTTTATCTCACCGCCAAATGAAGCCTTCATACATAATGCTAAGCAACCCTCCCCCTCCAATCAAATGCTCAACAATGGCTGGGAATTCAGTAAATATCCAGTTTGGCAAAAACTACACTTAAGCCACCGTATAATTGGTTTATGGGCCTAGCAGACATCAGGCTAGAGAGTGGGTTGATGATGAGTTCTTGTCCCACCTTAGTCATGAAAGCCAGGCTGGGTGAACTTGGGCTAGTCCAGGGGTGTTAAACTCAAGGCCCAGGGGCCAGATGTGGCCCATGGGGTGCTTAGATCTGGCCCATGAGGCTGCCCTGGAAACAGCGAAGGACCAGCCTGCAGTGCCTCTGCCAGCAAAACGGAGCTTGGGAGGGCTGTGTGCGGCCCTCCCAAGCTCCGTTTTTGCTGTCAGAGGGTTGCAGGAGGCCATCGCAGATAAAAACAGAGCTTGCGGGGGCCGCACACAGCCCTCCCAAGCTCTGTTTCCACTGGCAGAGGATTGCAGGAGGCCATTGCAGCTGAAACGGAGCTCAGAAGCCCATTTTCGCTGGCAGAGCGTACGGGCCACCACAGGCACCCCTAACATGAGTGAGGTAGAAATGCTCCCCCCGCCCCCACCTGCCCCCCCCCAGATCAAACAGAACTTTAACATGGCCCTCAATGAAATCGAGTTTGACACCCCTGGGCTACTCACTCTCAGCCCAACCCACCTCACAGGGTTGTTGCGGTGGGGAAAATAAGGGGAGGAAGGTGCATTATATATGTTTGCTGTCTTGAGGTATTTGTAAAAATGATGAGATATTTGAATAATAAAATAAAATAAATAACTAGATCTAAAGTTTTGGGTGGCTGCACTGCCCTTACACTATTACATCATCCACTATTGATGTAAGTTTCCTGAAAACCTTTCATAGCAACCAAGAAGTCTATTTTATTTCTATTGTGCTGGTTACAGGATTTAATTTCTTTTGACTCTGTAAGGTTTCTTATTTGTAATCTCCATTTTCTGTTTTGATCTGGATTTGATGTACATAGCTTGGAATCGTAACTACACAACTTGGTCACTTTGTAAATCTTCTAAATAAATAAAAATTTAACTGAAAAAAAAATCGTTTCTGCAGAATGCTCCAGATACTTGGAGTCAAATATATTAAATGTATATTGCTATTACCATATCATTTGATGGCTTCTGTATTAAGGAGCAAATTAGAGGATAAAATGGCATAGAAATGGCACTGACTTAATTAGATCAGCCACAATCTTCGATATTAGAGGGAAGGCTGAGAATTAATTAATCGAACATGATATTAAAAACAGCAATAAAACAATAGCCATTCAGCAAGTCAGGCAGTATGTAAATAAAAAAAAAATGGTTGGTCACACAGCCAGCCAGGTGTTTAGAATGGATTTGGCATTTTTATCCAACTATCAAGTCCTTCCCAAGAACCTGGGATATAGGCAGATGCTATTATCATGGTTATATAACCTACTGGCCAAGCGTATGAAGTAAAAATCTTCAATAAAATGTTCATTGGGGATTAGTTCACTCAACCTTTCCTAAAATGGCCGTCAGCAGATGTGTTGGGACTGCAACCCCCAGAATTCCCAATTTGGATGATGGGAGATGCATTCCCCTCATCTGAAGGGCCTCTGGCCGGGTAGAAGGCCACTGCAATAGAAAAACACAAGTAGTCCTTGAGTTACAGCCACAACTGAGCCCAAAATATATGTTGCTAAATGAAACATTTGTTAAGTGAGTTTGCCTCATTTTACAACTTTTCTTGCCATCGTTGTTAAGTGAATCATTACATTTGTTAAGATAGTAATATGGTTATTAGTGAATCTGGCTTCCCCACTGACTTTGCTTGTCAGAAGGTTGCAAAACATGATCACACCACCTCAGAACACTTCAGCCGTCATAAATGTGAAGCATCTGAATTTTGATCACGTGACCATGGGGATGCTGCAAGAGTCAGAAGTGTGAAAAAACAGCCATGTCACTTTTTTTCCAATGCCGTAGTAACTTTGAACGGTCACTAAATGCACTTTCATAAGTCAAAGACTACTTGTCTAGGAATGACAGAATAATGGAGTTAGAAGGGACCTTAGAGGTCTTCTAATCCAACCCCCTGCTCAAACAGGAGACCCTATACCATGGGTGCCAAACTCGTGGCCTGCAGACCAGATGCGTCACGCGCTGGCCACGCCCAGCCCCGTTTTAGCAAAGGGGGGGGAAAAGTTGCAATACGTCATGTGACAACGTGTTGTCCTAAGTTTGACACCCCTGCCTTATACCACTTCAGACAAATGGCTGTCCAATGTCTTCTTCAACATCTCCAGGGAACCCACAACTTCTGAAGGCAAGCTGTTCTACCACTGGAACAACCAACCAGCAGGATGGTTGGCCTTCAGAAGTTGCATTCAGAAAAAGAACAATGCTCTCAGGGATCACCAACCTTCCACGCCTTTATGAATTTTCCGGTGCGTAATAAGGTTGGAGCTTTGGTTGAAACCTTTTCCACAATCAGGACACATGTAGCATTTCTCTCCCGTGTGGATTCGCCGATGCCGAATCAGAGCTGACTGGTAGATGAAGCTCTTCCCGCAGTCGAGGCAGGTGTACGCCCTCTCCCCGGTGTGGATCCTCTGGTGTTGGGTCAGAGCAGAGCTCTGACTGAATCTTTTGCCGCAACTGACGCAGGCGTAGGGCTTCTCTCCAGTGTGGATCCTCTGGTGTTGAGTGAGGGCCGAGCTTTGGTTAAAGCTTTTCCCACACTCTTGGCAGTGATATGGCTTTTCTCCAGTGTGGATCCTCAGGTGAGCGGTGAGCGCCGATTTGTGACAGAAAGTTTTCCCACATTTGAGGCAAGAATCTTTTCTTTCTCCTACATCAGCCGGAGGGCCTTCTGGGGCCTGGATGTTTCTTCTTGAAGGAACAGTTTCATCAAATCTTCCCAGCACGATCTGATTCTCCTCTTGGAGTTCCTCTCTGTGGTAATGAAGGTCAGAGTTCAGGGAGTCCGTGGCTTGTAAATGACCCAGCAATCTTCCAAATGGTGTTGTGGTAGTGGGGCTTCCTGGTTGAGAAATGTCTCCTGCAAAGGAAGTTTTTGGACTTTTAGACCATGCGCAAAGCCCAAGAGGCCAGCTTTATGGATCAAAAACATTCCTACCCCATTTCCTCATTCAGCACACTTGCAAACCAAACAGTAACCCAAAAGCCAAAGATTTCCCACTGCTACAAGAGACTGTCAGATGAAAATAAAGCTTTCACATAAAGCAAGGCAGGACTTCGATAACTCAGCATGACTCCAAACGCATCACAAGAAGAGGTTGATATTATACATGCAGATAGTCTTTGACTTACAACCACAATGGAGATCAGAATTTATCTTATTAAACAAGATGGCTGTTAAATGAGTTAAGCCCAATTTTACCTTTTTTTGCTGGGGATGTTAAGCGAATTACTGCAGTTGTTAAGTGAATCATGTGGTCTTTAAGCGAATCTGGCTTGCCCTGCTGACTTTGCTAACCGGAAGCCGGCTGGGAAAGTCATCAATTGATGACCACATGACTGCAACCACTGTAAATAAATGTCGGATGTCAAGGAGCCACATGCTGATCACGTGACTGTTGGAATGCTGTGTCGGTTACAGGTGTGAGGACTGGTTATAGTCATGTTTTTCAGTGCCGTTGTAGCTCTGGACAGTCACTAAATTAATGGTTGCAAGTCGAGGACCACCTGGTGAGGAAAGCTAGCAAATTCTTCTGATATTTTAATTGTTCTTAATTAGATTACTTCCCAATTATGGAGAGCTTTTTTTCTTGAATCAAAATAACTACTAATTTTTATATCTTGGGAAATGCTGAAGTAGACCACCAAGATGGAGCCTGACATCAAAGGCTTCCTACCATTTTAAGAGGATTGTACCACCTGAAGGTCCATCCTAATTCACAGTTTGGTTTAACTTACTTTTTATCCAATCATGTTGCCAATATTCCCTTCCAACTTTGTTGATAATCGCTAATATAAATATTTATTTGTTTGCTTCCTGCCAGACTCCCGTGAGCATTGCCTGCATGCAAGATAACTTGCTTTTTGGCTTTTCAGAGACGAGAGAGGCAACTACTTTCTTTCTCCATGAAATGCTCTGACTACAATCTCCATTTGGAAACTAAGCTTGAACTTTAAACTTTTATGACTGAAGAACCGGCCTAATATTTACTCTTTCTTGCTTTTTTCCACTCCCTGTTATTTATAAAGTTCACGAGGCAATCAAAAACTTGCACATTCTTCTGTGCCTTGTTTGTTTATTTTAATAAGGGTATTACTCAAGTAAGGTACCTTCTGATATCTATCCTATAAAGTATTATTTTTTTCTCCATGTTGTTTAATGAAACAACTACCAGAGTTATCTAGAATTAAGGTGCCACTAGATCAGGGCTGTCAAACTCCAGGCCTGCATCACACGCTGGCCACACCCACGCCCAATTTCCGTGACGACGTGAGTTTGACACCCCTGCACTAGATACATATTCAGCTGTAATCCTCAAGTTACAACTGGCCACTTAGTGACCGTTAGAAGTTACAAGGGACCTAACTGGGAGTGGGTACTGAGGACTCAGATTCAAAGTCCCAACATTTGTGCCCGCCCGGCCATGTGATCGCACTTTGGGCACTCGGCAACCAGGTTGCATAGATCGACATTTGCAGGGTCCCACGATCACATGACCCCATTTTACTTTCAGTAAAACTGGCCCGTAACAAACCATGGCTTCACTTAACAACCATGTAGTTGCTTCACGACTGGGGTATTCACTTAATGACTGCCACAAAAAAAGGTCATAAAATTGGATTGATCATGTGGGTCATCTGATTTACACCCATGATAAGTTACGAGTTGGGCAGGCCTCACTGTGGTTACAACCTGTATGTAATGTATAGCACAGAAATGATGCTACTGTCCCCTTATATACATACACAGATAGCTCCTATAATGAATGAAAATGCACTTTTAACCATAACTTTCCTATGTGCACGTTTCTTCTTGTCCCCTCTATTACATGCATGAGGGCAAAACAGAGGGAGTAAAAATGTAATTGTTATTTTGAACTATTTTAGCCCTGCCTCACCTGGAATGAATTTTGTCAAGGACTGGCTCTTCCAATAGTCCTGAAAGTCTGACTTCCACAGCCCGTCCCTTTGCTCTGTATGGGTAGCCATGCCAGGCTGAGCAATTGGGAAGCCTGCTCAGAGGGAGCTAGTCTACTTTTGCAGTGTAATACCCACCTCCTGTACTCGTTTTCAGATCAGTGGACATGAACTGCCATGGGAAAGGATTTTCCCCCCTCTATTTCCCCTGTCCGCAAAACAGATCCCACCCTAACGAACAAACTCTGAAATGGGCATGCAAGGCAGTCATATTGCTGAATGAAGCAAGACTGAGACCAATCATCCCCTAAATGGGACACCACCAGGAACTCACTGGACACGTCCTGGAAACAGAGTATAAAATATATAAAGGAAGTGGGAACATTAGAGGTAGTTGAGCCCAGCATTTCCCTTGCGAAGCAAGGCAGTTGTTCAGTGAATCATGCCCCATTTTATGACTTTTTTTGCCATGGTTGTTAAGCAAATGACAACAGTTGTTAAGTGCTGTTGTTAAACAAAGTTAAGCAAACTTTGAAATGGATCAGGCCTGTCACAGCCATCTTTCCGTTTCTCAGCTTGCCACACATTGAAGGAAGAGGGAGGTCTGGAATGTCACACCAGGCAGCAACAACAGACCATCCTGTGGAAAACAAGGTCATCTCCACAGGTGCTGGCCAGAGGCTAAAGGGAGTTGCCAAAGAGATGCCCAGAACACCTAATTGGACAATGTCCCAATGGTGCTTTTTTTTTCAAGAGGCAACTGGACTTTCTGGTTTTTCTTTGAAGACGTTTCGCTTCCCATCCAAGAAGCTTCTTCAGCTCTGACTGGATGGTGGGGAATGGAAGGATTTATGCTGCTTGCAGAAAACTGGTCATTTGCATTCTTTCAGCGAGTCGTTGAGGCCACCTGAAGATTGATCTGTGTCCTCAGGGTCACCTGAATAGTGCAAATGGGTGTGGAGCCTCCTTGGAACCGTTGAAAGGACTGTGTTGTAGATTGGAGATAGATGCAGGCGTGGGCTGCTACCAGTTCGCACAGGTCGGGAGAACCGGATGCTAATTTTACATCCGGTTTGCCGAAACGGTAGTTCCAATGACTGGCTGGCCCCGCCCACCCCACCCCGCCCCTCCCAGGAGTCCCCACATGGCCCATTTTGGATCCCAGGTAAGTACAGGGCCTGCATGGAAGCTCGAGGAGGGTGAAAAATGGGCCTCCCAGAAGAGGGCCTCCGGAGCCTGGGGAGCCCGTTTTCGCCCTCCCGGAGGCTCAAGGAAAGCCTCTGGGGCCCAGGGTGAAAACGGTCCTCCCCCCCGTAGTGCAGGAGGCCGACTAGGCCACGCCCACTGTGGCCACGCTCACCCAGCAACCGGTTGCTAAAATTTTTGAAGCCCACCCCTGGATAGATGATGTCATATCACTCCTCTGTTGAAAGAGGGCTGTTCAATTTTGGCATAGATGGCCTCTTTAACCCCTCTTTCAAACCAGCGATCCTGTCTGTCCAAAATATGGACTTGTTGTCTTCTTTGTGGTCTGTGTCTTTTAAATGCAGATGGGCTGCTGAATCTACTCCTGGTGTGTTTGTTCTCCTATGTTGTGCCGTGCGTTTATGAAGTGGCTGTTTTGTTTCCTCAATGTACAGATCTGCAAATTGAACAGCCCCTTCTCAACACAGGGGAGGGATAGACGTCATCTATCTCCAATCTACAACACAGTCCTTCCAACAGTCCCAAGAAGGCTCCACACCCATTTGCAGAAATCAGGTGGCCCTAACGATAAACCTCCAGGTGACTTGAACGACCCGCTAAAAGAATGCAAATGACCAGCTGTCTGCAAGGTATATAAATCCTTCCTTTCCCCACCATCCAGTCAGAGCTGAAGAAGCTTCTTGGATGAGAAGTAAAACCGTCTTCAAAGAAAAACCAGAAAGTCCAGTTGCCTCTGGAAAAAAAAAAGCACCTTTGGGGCAACCATGACCTGGATGACTGAGAATCTCCATAGAGTCTAATTGAACGATATGACCTGTGACACTGGGGGAAGGAATTATCTATTCTTTAATTGTACAGAAACCACGGGAAATATTTAGAACTGGTTTTATTTTCATGCATGCCAAAATGATGTACTCAATAAAACAATTCTTTGAGAAAGTTGAAAGTCTCTGAGTGCTGAATTGGTTGGGTTCCTTAGTCAGAACTTTTGACATCTGGCTTCCCTCATCGATTTTGCTTGTCAGAAGTTCTCTAGGAAGGTTGCAAATGAGAATTCCAGGATACCAGGATGTTGAAACCATCATAAATGCATGCTAGTTCCCAAGCAGTCGGATCACATGACTGTGGGACTGCGGTGTTCCTGCAGTGTTCGTAAGTGTGAGAATTGGTCACTTTTTTCAGTGCCAATTTAACTTTGAACGGTCGTTCAACAAACGGCTGTAAGTCGAGGACTACGGTAGCTGTAATCGGGACACACCAATTTTAGCTGGCTTTGCAAACAGCGTACATTATTAGGAACTGCTGAGGAATATCAATAAACTTTGCAGTTGACCTATAAAAGATCAGGAAGGACATATAAAGTGATGTGAAAGCATTTCCTTTAATAAAGTTAGTTAGGTGCCGTCAAAGCAAGCTTGACTCCTTGTGATTCTAAGACCAAATGCTCACCGTCTTAACCTGCCTTTGGCAATATCTGAAAGTTAATCCAAAAATCTTCTTGATCCTGATCGTCTATTTCAGGGGTGTCAAAATGGATTTCTTTGAGGGCCGGATCAGCACTGTAGTTCTCCTGTGGACTGGCCCAGGAAGTTGGGGGGGGGGGGGGGGGGAAGGGGCCGCTTGCCGCTCTTTGTCAGCCCAAACCGGAGAGGGGGGGGGGGGGGGGGGGGGGGGGGGGGGGGGGGGGGG